TTATAAGTGTTAAGAAAATGCTAACCTTTATTTTTGCAAGAAACAGCGGAATGGGGTGTATTCTTTAGGATTATCAATAACCTGAATTCACACATCATGCGATGGCTACCATCTAAAATACAAAATTTCATTAAAAAAATAAGTAAATGTTACGGAAGTCACTCTATTTAAGTCTTGTATTTTAGATGGTACCCGTTGTTTCAAGTAAGGTCGCCAGGAATCAAGATGTATGAACTATAGTACTATTATATTATAGTAATAATAGTTCGAGTTCCTTATTATATAATCTTGTCTCGGAATCATAGACGGTATATATATATATTATAATTATGATTGATTACCATGACTATAGATGGATCACCATTGAAAAGTGGCGCCTATATTTCAGTACCTCGTATTTACATAATAATATAAGCGTAATTCATTATTTAAAAAATGTACAAATAGCTCATAATAGTATAGTATAGTTCTTTCATCATGTAAATAGTAAAATAAATATAGTATAAAGAAAACAAATACTCAGCTTCTAAATAAAAATAACCTTGCGGTATTTACCTATATTAAGTATATATATATACTATATTATAAATAACATAGAAAAACTGTCTTTATCAAGTGTTACACTTAAATAATAAATTTGCCGAAAAAAATATTAACTATTGTTTCTATTTTTTTATTTCAGTACTTATAATATTATTACTTTTAAAAACTTATCTAAGCCACACTTTTCTAAAGGCTTTTTGAATTTTGACTTTTGTAAACAGTTAATTTAAAAAGTAAGGAGTTTAAGATAGTTATTACGCAATTAAACAATATTGACATACTATATTATACGATATTAACATACTAATCTATTTCTGTGTAAAAGCCAACACTCTACTATAGTATTATTACCATTTCTATATTTTTATGGAAGGAGAAGGGTAATGTATTTAAAAATACAACCAGTGAAAGAAGGGCTAGATCAGGTTGCTTAGGCCATAATTCTTTATACCTCTGAATGAGTCACTGGGCATTGACTTCAATTAAAAACTAGTAGCAAACAATATTTACAGGAAGTCGTTCGCTTCAGCACGTGTGTTTATTTTTATCGTTCAAAAAGGATACTAGTAGATATTTACGATGATGGCCAACGCGATAGGTCTATATAGAACTTATAAGTCTATGACCAACGCTTATCGTGACTATTAAAGGATAAATAACTTTAAAATAGACTAATTTTCGGTTGTTTCATTGTACATTTGGTACGTATAATAGGCTCTCAAAATTAGAACGCCGTGTAACTTAATACAAACAGCCATACTCATGTATGGCAGTCGTCCAATAGAAGAAAAAATCTTATTTACAAACAATAAATAAAACTTAGGCGGTAGGCCTCTTTAATTAGAAAATTGAACTAAATATATTTTGGTAGCATAACAACATCTTGAAGTTATGTACGCTAGCCATATTGCATGACACAATAGTTTTAAATATTATTAGATAGGGACACATTTTACTTATAAGACTCAGTAGGTAATCTGTGTACGGATTTATTGTAACCGCGATGACTAGTTTAAAAAATGATTTTTAAATCAGCTAATGAAATTTATATTTAAGCCATTCACAATCTTTATAAATATATATCAAAGGGAGTATACATATGAGTACATTTGTAAATATATATATATAACTCTCAAGACATCAGACGGCCTAAACGACTGAAGCCATTTGACTTAGTCAAACATATAATATATATATATATATATACACATACAAAACACATGTGGGGTTCCACTTCCAGTGAAGTAGCCCTATTCTTAATCTAACTAGACTAAGTCAAATGGCTTCAGTCGTTTGAGCCCTCTGATGTCTTGCTAGTTGTCGAGGAGTTGTTAGTCAGGCGTCAGCTGTATTTGTGTGCCGCCCCAGTATTTATACGTGTTTGCGGGCAAACCAGGTTATTTCATCCTGCATAACAAGTTAAAATTACAACACGGAAAAGAGAAAAATTCTATAATGGGAATATAAGTTTTTATTTTTTAATTTAAATTTTTTTATAAATGGTAATTCTTTTATTTCAATTCGTTTTATTTTATCTACTCGGGATTGTTTTAAGAAAATAAAACGCAGTAAATCTGTAAAATAAGTTTAATACGTTACATTTTGATGCTAATCTATCAGACCACAGACCATGTAAGGGAACAAAAAAAACCCGAAATTTTGTACCCGAAAAAATAACTACAACATAGTATAAAACGTATTAAACGTATATAGCTATGAATATTTGATAGGCTGTGACGAATATAGAAATTTATGAAAGTCAAACGGACCATGCAGAACTAACCTACAGAGTAATTAGATTGATAATTATAAGTAATAATGATTAATATTAAAACGTTTATTACAACTATTTTTCGCATACCTACATAAAAAACTGAAATATTGCACAAGTATGATGCTCAATGCTGCACGGAGTCTATTTTTTTCCGACATTTTTAGCTTTGATGCGTGACTGAGAAAGTATTGTTTTTATAATGATGTTTTTAAAAATTTTTAATTTGCGTCTGGAACTACGATAATTTCTAAGACGCTAAATTCTTCATGCAGCAACTCTATAATGATCTATAGATCTTTAAAAAATTTACTTTTTTCCTTAAAAATCGCCTAAATACCAAAAAAAATGTACAAATTTCTCAACTTTCAACGGCGATCTATAACTTTTTTGAAAATAGTCGAATTAGCTCCAAATTGGCATGCTTATATTCTCAAAATAAAGTACTACCGACAAACGTTGAAAACCCAAAAAATATCAGAAGTCCTTTTCCCTAGAAGGGGTGGAAAGTTTTCTTTATTTCGCTTTTTCGAGTAAAGTTTTTTATACAATACAATTTTCTTTAAAACCTGTAACAACATATTTTTTACTAAGGAAAATACACTTTGACCGTAGTAAATGTCTAGGTTGCTAGGTGGTGATTGAATCAATGTATAGTATAATTCCTAGTTGATTCCTATCAATACTGTATTTATCGCACACGCATACATATTAATAAAACTCCTCATAATGTACTTTAAGAAATATATACATAGAAAATAACCCGCAGTGGTATGGTTTTGAAATTATTGAGAAATAAGAAAGGAAGGACATTACTAATAAAAAGTACAAATCATTAAAGCGAATTGAAATTCTATGAACCAAGTGCGATTTCTTGTTATGACATCTGAATCATACAAGGCAACGTAATTAAGTTCATATGAGTCGGTCAGTCGCAAAAGTAATAATAATTATAATAAAAAACCCAAATTACGTTTTTAGAAAAAATAAAAGAGAGCTTCATTATATATTAGAAAACTCGACGATTCTCGACATATGCATTAAAAAAGTTACCACTTAGTTTTTGATAGTAGAAATACTATTGAGCATTACCAATAATTAGACTATATTCAACATTTATAATGCACCACAGGCCATTACAGGACCTTTTGTGACTAGAAAAAAAGAAGATTTTTTCGATCAACATTCACGAAAGATTTTAATTTAGTAGTACTTGTATTATTAACTTTCATCACATTCCATTTTAATTATTTATATTTTTTACGTTAAACTTATATTATTAAGTATACGTGATACGCCACAAGTTTTCTAATATTTAAAGTAATTTCATTACAATGTTCATAGCTAAACCTCCAGAAAAACATGTTTCACATTAAATAATACAGTTTGCTAGCATTTAAAATTATAATATTAAAATAGTTGATTCGCGACATAATTCTTCTAAAAAATAATAATACATCTTTAATAATTTGATAATCTTTTTTGGCTTCGATGCTGATGAATTGATTGAAAATTGAGTAACACATAATATACAAGGTGTCTCACAAAGATAAGACAAATTAAATTAGTTTTGTTTAAGTGAATATTTTTAAGATTTTATTTAAAAATTAATTTATACTCATTTAAAAGTAAAATAGTTAAGTACAATAAAAAACGTGGTACTTATAGCGCAAATGAGTATAAATTAATAAAAATAAAAACATTTAAAAAATATTCACTTGGACAAACTAATTTCATTTGTCTTATTTTTGGGGTACACTCTGTATAATATGTCACTTGGTGTACTCACGAGAAAAAATTAATTGTCGATAGACACCTACTCGGCAATAATTCGTTAATAACGTATAAATTCGATGCGACGATTTGCTAAATGTCTCCCCTCTTAGCGAAATTTTTCGTTAATCTTTCGGTCCTATATAATATTGTCTCCCAAATGAAAACTGATCAGTGTGCGCTACAATATTTGGGTACTATCGAACTCGATCAATGACTGATTTAGTTACACGAGAATACTTTAACGTTCCTCGAGGATTTGATTGAGTTTTTATTGGCCGGCTACTGTATACTTCACTGCTGACAAACTCGTCCGAATTTTTCGATATCTTTTGCTATCTAGTGTACAATTTTTTCTCTTCGACCAGATTAATTACTCGACACAGTACTCGGAAACGGGGGGGATAGGGAATTAATAAAGAAAATGTCTGATTTCATGTTATACCTACATAATAGGATTCGCGGAGGTCCTACAAGATGCTGAGCATAGCCAGACGACGGCGATTGTCTAGTCTTTGGCCGTATCGAAATTCGATGCTCTCCAAAGACTCAACAGGGAAGACGTCGTCCCGCCTCCTGGACACCGGGATGTCGCGGAGGAGGAGGAAACGTTTTGGATGTCCCACGTGGGACGACGGCATTCATTGGACATCGGTGGCAATAAAAAAAAAAAACACTAAAGAACAGCGACGATCAAGGGTGGTGGTGGCGGCGGCGGCGAGTATACGACACCGCGGTGTGCCGCCGTCGCGTATGTTTACTAGCGTTATATGCATTACATGTACATAAACATAGAACACACACACACACATACACAAACACGCACACACACATACCACCGTGGTTTTTTTTACACACGCACGCCAATGCCCGCGCTCACGGGGTACAACCCAGCCACACTCTCGTCGCGGCGTCTTCTTCTTCATTGAACACCGCATCGCGCCAGAACAACGCGTGCAATCGCCCAAAACGCACTCACACGCTCATCATCGTCCGTCGCGGACTCGTTGTCCTTTTTATCTACATTCATATTGTTATTATACATTTTCGTGCAGAAGAAATCACCGACCATACATTTTTCCAAACATATGTAAAAATATAATATTTTTTAATTTACCCGAAAAAAGCGAAACTTTGCTGCTTATTTTTTCGTTCAATAAAATATATAATATATTATATATATATATACATATATATTTTATTATTATAAAACCGCCGCGGTCATGTTGTCGTTACGCCGTCACCGGTTGTTGTTTGACGTGTCGCTGATCCTATGTCTGTGGGCTACCCTGTCTCAGGCTCGTCCCGCCGACTTTGCCGACCCGGAAGACGACCCGCCGGAAACCGGCTCAGCCGCCGTTCCGCTGCACGTGCCCACCGTGCCCGGTCGCTGGCTGACCGATCCCAACTCGTCGTTCGGCCGAACCCTGCACCGCCACCTGTCCCGGCTACCAGAACCCGAACTGGACGCCCTGGAGACGGCGCTAACCGCCGCCATAGCCGCCACGCCCGCACTCGCTGCTGACCACGAAATGATGATGGGAGACGCGCCGGCCAGCAGTAGCTCTGACGACCGGATGGACGCGATACCTGAAGAGACACCGACCAACCGGACAACCGGCGACCAACCTCAGGCGGAACAATCACGTCCGTCAGCCGACGACCTCGCCGACGCCGAGACGCCCCAGATGCACAGAGAAAGGTAAACACCGTTAAATAGTTTATTTTTTTTTTTTATGAAAGATGGTTCAAACACCTTAAAAGTTATTTAAGATCAGAGAGCGTTGATTTGTATTTGTTTTGATTGAGAACCTATTTTTTTTCTACAAATTTCACTTTTTGTCGACTATTTGGCGGTATTCCAACGAAATTTCGTGGCTCTCGACTCGCATGTTTTATTTCCGAATCGGTTAAAAAAACATACAAAAACGTATAACGATAATTCCAAAGTCTATCGGTGATTTATTTGCGGCGATTAATCGAGCAGTCGTCTAGTTCTTTTTCAACATTCGCCAGCCCGACCCATATGCGTTCTCGTCGAAAAAACTATATTTAGAGAGAAATCCTTTTGAGAGTGGCCAGACGAACTGCCGACAAAAACTAAACAAATTTAAATGATCTACATAGAAAGCGCAAGAAATGTGATGATAAACGCATAAATAAACATTTGACGGGTAAACAGAAATATATTTCCAATGACGTAGATGTTAATCGTCAGGCGTGCCTAATATTTTTGCCAAACTTCCCTCGGCTAATCGAGCGGAAATTGCTAGGTATATTGTACCTCCATATCTACCTGCTCTGCACGACCTGTTGATACTTATAAATCCTACAAGAGATTTTTAATTACGTGCATACATGTTCTACGGTCGATTGGTTATTTGTTAATTAGCTGTTATCAATAATTATTCGGTAATACCTGTAATTTTCCGGGTAACTGAACTTTAAAACAAAAAGAAAAGAGCTTTTATTTTATACTACAGTTGACGTGATTCATTAGAATAAGACAATAATTTGTTTTTAAAATAATTGAAACGTAGTTTTTTCTTTTTGAAAACAATTATTTTATTTATGTTATTTTACAATATTATAAAATAACTAAATATTTACCTTTTTTAGTATTTTCCAAAGCTTATAAACTTTTAAAACCTTAATGGTAACGTATATATTTAATAAACTTTTAAAATTAAGAATAATTAACTAAAAATGTTGACTCTTCAATGTATAGTTGTCAGTTCTAAATAATTACTTTTAAAGTTATTTAAGTTCAGTTCGTAGATCAAAACAATACTACATTCCACCTCATATCTCGTCCTAAACTTTAAACTTTATGAACTTCAAAAGTAATTTTCAACAACTGGTTATAGGCCAATTAAAATGGCAGCAAACTATTCCTAATTTAAAAAGTTAATAAATATATACGTCACTATTTAAGCTTTAAAAGTTGACGGATCTCTAGAAAATAACAATAAAGATAACAATTTGAATATTGTAATATAACAATACCTTAAGAGTTTAAAAAAATAAAAACTACAAAATTCAAATTATTTTAATAGAAAGTGAGTTTCTAATACTTAATAAATCACCATGTGTAGAGCTGTTTTAGTCACTAACCTGCATCAACAGTTATTGTTGTGGACCAAAAATCTGAATACATTTATTTGGCCCTGATTTTACAACAATGAATGCGATTATTATTATTTATTTCCCTATTTGAAAATCCGGTTTTCTGGTCTGTCGAGACAGACTACCTAAAACATATGCATCACTATCGAAGCATTTTAAACATATTTTATAATTGTATTTCGGCGAAAAACGGTTAATTTAATTGATTAAAACTGACGTTTAGCGACAAAATTATCATCTTTAGGTAATTTACATTTCAGTAAAAAATATTTCATTCTGAACAAACGTAAGTTTATTGAAAATGATTTAAAACGTCGAAAAACTTTTAGTAATCGATTTCGGTGTCTATATCAGTTTTAAAAGATATACAATTCTGAATTTAAAACGCCAGTCAGCATTTTAAGGAAATTTTAGCCGGACCTTGACACCCGATCACCGCCGGACTCATCGACCAGAACTCAAACCATAACAAATTAATTATTCAGCTATAACTGGTTTGAAAAATGATAAAATCCAACAAAATGAAAAATGTAATATTTTGTAAAAATTTGTCAATTTTTCCCTAACCGTTTATCTCTTAAATTGGAATATTATTCCTGCTTAAAGGACCCTCATTTGGTAAACGTCTGGTCAAAAACATATTACATAATAACGACTTTTTTTTTTATAATAATCGCAAATCAAATGTAGTAATATTTGGTCCGCCAAAAAACTGGCTTGGTCGTATAAACCTTGAAAACATGGTACCAGCGACCAATACAATAAAAAGTCGCGAATTTTGGCGTTGCAGCTGGGATCGAACAACAAAAAAAATATTAACCGCTTGGAAATTTATACCACCAACCGATGTGTAAGTTGTCAAACGCCAAAAATACCTCTCGAGTTAATTTCTTTATTTTTTTTTTTTATCGCCGGGTGCTCTTGAAATTACAAAATGTTGATGTACAGATAATAACAATAATGTTAAGGGTTTACGCTTCGTGTTTAATTTTTTTTCCTCCCGTCTCGGTCTCCTAATTTATTCGTCTGGACCACAATGTTTTATTTGATTTTAAATCGAAATTTAGGGGGAAATGCACTTGGCTGCATTTCCAGACGGATTTTAATGCGTCTGCCGGGAGGTTTTTTAAACGATTACAGGTTTTGTCAGTTTCAGTTTTTATATTTTTCGTTTTCGGTTTCGTTTGTGACCCGGTCAATAAATCCAGTAGGAAAAAACCAAACACCCAAAGTGCACACAAGTAAAGACGGAGGCGCGTTTACAATAAATCTGACTTGTCCTCTCCTCTGTGCGCTGGTAATTGCGACGTCTCGTTTAATGGGTATTTCGTCTGCACGTCTTTTTAGGCCTTGGCTGCAACAGACCAAGCTTAATGCCGCGATGGCCATCTGCGTTTTATTGTAATATATATCATCGTCATATAAAATATATCATCTTCTGGGCCGACAATTTTAGGCGTTACACCTCGCTACTAAAAACAAAACAAAAAACGCGCCGGCCCTAGTCACGCAGACCGCAGTGCAGAGTATATTTTGGGGTTGCGAAACCGGCAGCTGGTGTCCGGCGAACCTGTACACAACCAACGCTGCTCTTTAATCATACACTCCAGTCCAGCCCCCCCACACCCACTGTTCCACGTTTAATAGCTGTTTATGTACTCCAAAAAAAAAATTGCTTTATTTATTCACAGCACTGAGTCTGCAGAATCCACGGACAAGTATGTCGAATCATCGGAGCCGTAAGTGTATATGCGTGCTACGTGTGATTTTTTAACGTCGTGTGAACCACTAACCCAATGTTTTGTTGACGCCATGTCTACTACTATATAATTATTGATGGCCTTAACGTACTAGTTACGTATTTAATAATAATAATAATATGCTGCGTAACCGTGTTTTATTTCTGTTTATATTAATGTTTTATTAATTCCATTACAATATAATACTATACCCGTTTAACACCATCTCGCAGCAATATGTAAAAGTATCCGTGTTTTTAGAAACAAAGAACTCAGACTCAAGTCCATCCAGAGTCAAATCATCAACTTCATGGGATGGTCTGGTCGAGCTCCACCGCTGGGTTCCTCGACAAAGACGCGACCGTCGATGCCAATCTCTTCTTCTCAACAAAGGGACGCCATACGCATTCTGTACGAAAACGTCAAGAACTTCCCGGCTTATCCCGCCGATATGTATACCGAGAAAACCCAAAGTTTCTATCCAGCCTGTGAGTACCACATGTAGCTCTAACACACAGTTACATAGATTAAGTGATCAATCGATTTATATATATGTATTATTGCTATAATCAAATTACCCCTGTACCATTTTCAGGTGAGCTACCAAGACACACTAACGAAGAAGTTTGGAATTCCAGAGACTCTATGAACTTGATGTTCAATATAAGTCTGCCGAAAGCCTCAAACGGCATTACGGTGAACGTGAACACCGCGAAGCTTCGTTTGTACAAACAACAGGCCCCCTGCAGCTCACAAGCAAACAACGAGGTACATCCACTAATATAAGAGTATTTTGATTGAAAGGTTTTATTAATAGTCATTTTTATTAGATCAAAAATTGGTAGTTTTAATCTTGTTTTTATACTGTAGAATTTGGCCGTTAAAAAATAAGGCTTTAATAGTTTAAAGGAGGACAGTTAAATATAAATTAGTCACATATTATTGTTATTGATTGTTTTTTTTTTTTGTTATTTCCACTCAATAGACAGACGAGCAAAACATTTGCACTCCGTCGTTTCTGGAAGAAACTATAAAGAGATCTAATACTAATTTGTCAGAACCCGTCATAGCGCCTTTAATTATGGAGGAAAAACAAATCCGTGTGTCGATCTACGCTTACACTAGGTCGTTAAAGAAAAAGAGAGGTATGTTAATATCGGTATAGTCGTAAGCAATCACATTTACTTAACGCATGACGATTTTATTTTTGGTATTTAGTTAAGAGGAAGCTGTTGGATAGCCGCATGATGGCTTATTTTGGCGAAAAATGGACAGAATGGAACATTAGAGGTGCTGTAAGAACGTGGCGTCGTGATCCGTCTCGCAACTTTGGTATTAGCATCGAAGTCGAAGATGAAGAAGGAAATTTACTTCCAGTGCACAGATTCTTCAAACCAATGAACTGCACTGGAGACATCCAAATGAGTAATTATTTATTTTATTTGTCATATAAACGTCCAAAATCTATTACCAGAATTAAGATTTTACTCTAAGCAAATATGAAAAAGGAAACAAATTTATTTTGAATTTCTAAATATTATGTTGTGTGTTAAGAAAGAAATTACAAAATTTAAAAAAAAACATTGAAGATAGACGATTGGTGGTAGGAATTAGAAAAATATTGTAAAATATTTAGATTAGTGACTCTACTTATTTTCTGTAGACTCTTCATAATAATATATTTAAGGTATGATATAATTTAAAGATATCTTTTAAAATTGTTTGCTTTAGCTTTATTTATTTACTAATTAAATTTACTGTATAAAATGATTTCAAAAATTAACTCATCTCATAACGTACTTTTAGTAAAAGTAAAAACTAATAAACTTAAAAAATTCAGACATCTAAATATTTTTAGAACTACGTATGATATTATTTTAAAAGAAACACTTTTCCCGTATTCTCTTTCAAAAAATAATTTCACAATACATAATAATTGAGTATTATTAAAAGTAATAAAAAAAGAACCGAGATTGTCTAACTATAAGAAAGTAAAGAGGGTTTATGAGAAAAGTTTACGTACATATTTTTAACAACGGAGAAAGCAATTTAAATATACCTCATTATTTTATTATTACATATTTTCCATTAAACGGCAACTTATTGTCCGTAAACAGCGATCAAAATTTAGTTATTCGAGTTCTATTTCAGTTTTGTCAAACACATACTTTGCGAGACAACGTAATAAACATTCTACGCACATGCTGTGTAGTCGGTTTTATGCAATTAAGCTTTTCGTTAGACGTTCGATAAATAATATACTTACATCCATGAAGTCGGGCAAAAGAAATCTGATTAAAATCACAAAGAAATACAATTGTACTTGTACTTTAAAAATCATATTTAAAATTAGATACATTTATTTTTACTCTGAATGCCTCAAACTGAATTTCGATATTTTCACTAATTGTTAAATATTGGTAGCTTAGATAAATATTGGTTATTGGTAGCTCGAGTAACGGTTAAATTAATACTTTTCAGCGACACCCAAGCCAATCCCAGGATTTTTAATGGAAGCCGTACAAGATTACAGCTTGTCGAATCCCGAAGCAAACAATAGTGTTTCATTAAGTCCAGTACAGGCGTTAAGCTTCAACATCCAGCGGTATCCCATAATCGACGTGACCACTATCGAAGTGCCGGATTCAGAGGCCAACAACGCGATGCAATATCAGCATGCAAAATACACGTTCGAACAGAACCTGGCCGGTATGGCGATGCAGCCGAGGATCGACGATTACCACCAACACTCAACCGATCACAGGATAAGGCACAACAACCACCACAGAATGGATACCGCAGACTATGATACTTCTGACATGCGATTTTCAAGCGGCAGAGATATCCGAGATAAGATTATCGTACAGGGCGTGATCCACAGAAGACCGTCCACCGAACTCACCGATTAAAGCATATTTTAGCCCAAGTTACACCTCGGCACTCAAAGGCCGTGTTCGACAACCTTATGCTATTCACTATTATGAATTACCTACAGAATCCGAAGATAGATTAGACATAGTTCTTTAGCGCACAAGCCTCCACGACTGTCGAAAAATATTATGTCTACATACAAAAACCCACTCGGTAGAGTTTCGTTTTTTTTTTTTGTTACGCGTAGTCAATTGTCATTATATATTGTGGTGGAGGGAGTGATAGATGATGATTTTAACAAAAAGAAACAAACTAATTTATTTATATATAACTTCTTCATTATATATTTATTTAATAATACCTATATAGTACCTATTCTGTACTAACCTTATAAGTATAAATTTATGTATTATGTAAAATGTTCCTATTTATTGTTAGTAACCAATTATATTTGGATTCAGGAATATATATTTATACATATATATTAGCTGTTCTAGTCTGTAATCATTTATGCGAACAATTCAAAAACAAAACATAGGCTTAGAAATATTATTACTATGTAAACACAATATTATATTTTTAGGCTTTTCGTTGACGTCTTATTAATAGTTGTTTGTTTAAAATTCACGTGTGTTTGCGTACATATTATTGTGGCACCTATCTTTTGTCCGTATGATTTTTTTAAAGTTTATTAATTTTGGCCAACTTTGTAGTCTTAGGTATCTTTTTTATAATTATTACTAAAATATCGATTATATATGTTTTGTTTTTTTTATTTTATGCATGCTTTCACATGTTTCTTAATTGATGTCAACATACATCTTAGATACTATACTGCATACCTCTTTCTACAATATTTGTGCTATTAACTTATTTTTTATATACTTTATTGTTCTATACTAGTTATACGTTTCTTTTTATAAAAATTAGTCTTATTTTTTTAAATTATTTAGTTATTTACGTTTAAGGCTTCCTAACATTACTTTAATTTGTACATAATCGTAGTATTTTGTTTTATTTATATTTTGTGTTTTAAATAAAATACGTGTAAGCAATTATTTTAGACTTAATTATTATTTAATTTATTGTCTTAATCCCGTATTAACTGGTATGCCTAGCACATTACAGTTATTTAAATATATAGAATACTGCTTGACCGAGTTAAACGCATTCTATTGGTTAAGTATAAGATTAGAAATAGCATCGTATATCTGCATGGTCAATGATTATAAAAGCAGTAATGAAAGATCATAAAATAGCCCCGAGTAATATTTTTAGTATGAAATTTGTTATTACTTATTACGCTGTTATTATTATATTGCGTTTTAGAAATATGTGTACTTAATACGCGAGTAGCAATAATCATAAAGTCGTATAATGACACATATTCATAAACTCTCTTAACTAATTTAGTATACACTCAGTTTTAAAAAAACTACAAGCACCTTATATGTATTGTCTGTATTCTATAGTTAATAATAATAACAATTTTAATTGCTCATAATATTATACTGATTCCTCAAATTGGAAGCTACGGTTCTCTGAAAAATTTGTTTTTCGAATCTCTGCATGGGAGTAAGACTATATATATTCTTATCGAAAATAGAACAACTTGGCATTCTGTCCGTGGATATGTATGAGAGTTGGTCTCCCGTTGATGTCGACTATACGGAATCGATTTTTCCAATTGATTGGGTGATTAAGTTTCATTTTAATGGATATTTTTCTCGCTATATATTGAATGTAGGCGTCTAAAATTTGCACAGTATATGTGGTTGGCTAAACTTGATATGGGTTAAACATTTCGGCTCTCTAACTCAAAAAAAATAAAAGTTATGATTAGCTGTTATCAGTAAAACTTACCTTATACATGTTAACTCTAATGAGATATTTGTTTTAGGTGATGTTATCATGGCAAATTATATTCATTTAGTTTTCTTGTAATTTAGTTTCGAGCATATTATGAAGGATTACTTCAATTTTCAAACGGTAGATAATATAAACAATTTTCCGGTTACAATGTCCGGGTTATTTATTTGAAGTCATTACATGTTAAACATAACCTAGAACAATAATAATAAATTTATATACATGTTATTAATATTAAAATTATTAGCTAGAAATTGGAATTAGGATGTATTAAGGGGCCAAATATAGGCAATATTTGACATAAAACTCATTTTAATTTTATCCGTACTCTAAAACGCGTAATCGGAGAATAGTTTTGGTGTTAGATGTAGATTTTTCAATACATACGACATTCATTTTTAATGGTATTGTAAAAATGATTAAATTATTTTAATTTTTCAATGATGAATAATTTTGAAATTTTGCCACGAATCGAATTTGCCTTCTGTGTGTATGACGTGAAGAATTTAAGTGTTTTTTAAAACAAACCGGAATATTTTTATAAACTTACTGTTAGAAGTAGAAACTTTTATTTTTATACAAAAATGAGGCATCTGAGCATTATAAAAGCTAAAAATATTAAATGTCAAAATAGATAACTTTTAGCTGTATTAATATACTAGTTTATAAATGTTAGTTTAATGTTGTTAATTTATGAAAAATTGCCTATACAATACCCCTTAATAAATGCTAGTATACAGAAGCAGATGTTGGTTTTAAGAAAAAAGCTAGTGAATAAATTAAACTTACCACTGGTGTGTAAATGCACTGACCATGACTACGACAACAATTTTGCAGTACTAGTTAACGGTGTATTGTTTTCAAAATATCAACATTTTGTTATTATTTTATTGAAAAATCCTTCTCCCATTGATATGCCAATGGTCTTAAATGATGTATAATTACCACTAGTTTTTAAAAACTTTGTGTACTGTAACTGTAAGAAATTAAAATTTCTGATTAAACTATCCAACTTTTGTAGATATTTTAAGAACCGACCAGGGTCAATAAAGACATTTTTCAAGAAGTGTAAAAATAGTTTTTAATGAAATAAATATAGTAAAAATTTGTTAAATGATACAAATTCTTTTTTTCGTACAAAGATAATTAGCAATTTTGGTTGTATTTTAAGGAAAACAAACCCCTCCATGTCAAGCATGATTTGGAAAAAAAAATTGTCCGACCACTTTTAAAATAGAACTGAATAAACATAAAATATCATAGGATGTATCGCAGCTATATTATTATCATTCATTTGTGGAGGGGAAACGCTACAAAATATCTAATAGTCATGAATACTCACAAGTATTTGATAACTATCCTTGGCACAGTTCATCATCAACCGTAGAAGTGACAAACGCGTTCATAAATGTATACTTTAATATTCGTTCCGTCACACAAATTTACTTTAATTATAAGACATAAAAGTCCAACTCGACGCTGAGTGCGACAGTAGTTTTAAACACTAGATACAGAACTTTTTATAAACTTATGTTAACATATCATTTTTAAAATCGTTTTTTACACTTAATATAACTACATATTTTCTATTTTTTTTAAACTCGTTATTATTATTATTTGCTTTTAACAAGAACTTTTGCATCATAGATAATTAATTTGTAAGTATTTAGATAACATATATCATATTATAATAGTTATATGCATATCCACCAGTATTTTTTTATTACACTTAAGTGTAACATTAAGTATCTTTATGTATTAGGAAATATCTTTATTGTAACTAAACAGCTTTGGCGTCTCTAAAGAGTTAAATAAGTTTAAATTACCCTATAGTAAATTAATAATCTAACCGCTAACGGAACTTGCTCATTGTCGAATGCAGTAACGTGGAACGCTAAGGTATTATTCAAATACTCGAATTTGTCATACTAAAATGTAAAATATAACCATTTCAGAAATTAAATTCATTAAATGTGAAAAGTTTTTACATGTTTTAACATGCTAATTGTTATGTTATATTATTGTTATTATTACTTGCACATTGTATAATAATTTTTGATAACAATTAGTTCGCATTTATTTTTATGCTGATTTCTGTTATAATATTATTTAGAAAATAGTATTAAATACAATTATCAATAGAAACTATTTTAAAGTGTTAAAATATTACAAACAGACAACAGTTTATTATTATTATACAACCTATTCATCCTTCCGATTTTGAAAAAATACATTTTATTTTTTTAGAATTTCGGATATATTTTTTAGAATGTATAGGCGTAATATAAATATTATTATAAATTAAAATTCACCAATATTATAATAATAATAACTCCGTATCATTATTGAGGTAAACTACATAAGTGTAATATTTATATTGTCATTTTATTTTATATATACACAAATCCAAGGTCTTGTCACAACGGAAAAAGTAATGTGTTTTGTTTGTCCACTACCGTTTCTGTCATTATATCGTAGAACGTTGATATTTTGTGTTTATGAAATAAGTACCTAGAACAACCATGGAAATATATAAATTTTCCAACTACAGGGATAGAATATTAATTATACTCAGTGTTTGGAAAATTCCTTTTAAAAAGTAATGCATTCACATTCACATTCATAAAAAAATGTAAAGCATTCCAGTGCATTCCGAAATTTTTTTTTTATATTTGTTCTATTATAAAGAAATAATAACTGTACAGTGTATAATGGCTAATAAAAAAAATAAATAAATAAAAAAAACTGTATAGTGTAGGTAACCCTTAAAATAGGTAGTCAATAGATAATACTATAATAGTATTCAGTAATTACTAATTAGATTAGTAGATGCCATCTATACTCTGTTCAAATTAAGAAGCGACTTCGGCGGCTACTCGATAACCGGTTTTTTGTGTGGCTTTCAGATAGCTGCCGAGATCGCTTCTTATTTTGAACCGAGTATAGTCATATTATATAATAAATATAAAACAAATGACAAATGTATAGGTACATATTTATTTGAATACTGTATAGTACTATATTTTACCTTAATTTTTAAGTGATTTATATCAGAATATTAATTTAAATCACCATGTCAAATTAAAGGAAATACATAAATTATGGGTGTAAACTGTGAAGTAAAACCAAAGATAACAAATAAATAATGAATTATTGGAAAACAAATTCTATTTTGATTCCCTCTCTGCTTACCATCACCAAATTACACATAAAAACTACCGAGTTGTTTCCTATCATTATAAATTTTGACAGAAGAGCAAAAAATACTGGTGAATGGTATGATTTTTCAACTATTATGATAAAAATCATTGATAACAATAGAGTAGTAGGTTCCAGTCACTGAATTGAAAATTATTCTCATTTTTAAACGGAAAATAGTTTTTTTTAGAATTTATTCATTTTGATACACATTCCGACATAAAATAAATTAATTCCCATTCCTCATTCCTTAATACTAAATGTAATGCATTCATAATTGCACTCTTCTAAAATGGAATGAAATCCAATGAATGCATTATTTCCAAACACTGACTATACTCCAGCCAAAAGGAGGGAAGACTCCAAAAAATATGTTTTTTTTGTAAATAAAATTGAAAAAAAATGTTTTGTATAAAATTAGAATTTAAAAATAATAATAAATAATACCTACCTTTATTACAAAAATAAAATATATAATGTTTTTTTTTTTTTAATTTTTGCCTAGGTTTTTTCTTTACTATAATATGAATATAAAAACAATTTTATATTTGTTCATATATACAGGGTGATTAATTTAATACAAAAAACGTTATTTTTCAGAAAATTATAATAAACATATTGTTTTATTTTTAATATTTATTTTACAATATTATAAAATTAGCAAATCGACCTGGTGTCATTTTTATTACATAATTTGCAATTTAAAAAGTGTGACTGTGAAAAAACATAGGTGTAGACATAGAAAAACATTAATTGTTATTATTTTCTGTGAATTTATAGTCAAGTATGTAATATATTTCTAATAACTATATTATATGGGTATTAAAATGTTCAATTACAGTAAAAATTTTTAGAAATAATTGTATTAGCTTAAACAAATTTCAAGTAATATTATTATTATGATAAATGAACAAAAACAGTTTTAAATGTTCCAGTTAAAAATATTATTATAAAGGGTATCTCAGGCAGTAACTTTTAAAAGTCAAAGAAAACACACATATTTGACATATCTATTAATATTACGAGTAGAATTAAAATAATTTCTGATAAACAACCCGTTTAGAATAGTTACTTTTCTAATTACTAATAATAATACTAATATTTTATCTTCTAATTCATTGACGATTAGAGGGGTGAACAATACAAAAGGTTCGGTAAATGCAATTATTCACAAAATCTAAGTTTTAAGCTACAACTAAAGTGTGTATTTATTAGTACAGCATTAAGGATTCTTTATTCAAATTATATAATTTTATCAGATTAACATGACTATGCTGAACCCATTTTATTTGATCTATAATGGTTTTCGAGTATCGATCAAATTCATAAAATTAAATATTTTTGAGGGCTGTACCTCATCGGATGTTTGATAAATTTTAAATATTTCCTAATATTTCTAAAACAAAAACCTACTCTTCATATAAAAGCTTATTAAGAGGACGACACACTACCCGCACAATGTCCACAAAACTGTTTTTTCTAAATGACAGAAATTTCAATTAACCTACCCTCGTGGATCACCTTGTCAAAGAATGATTTTAAATATTATGACAACCCAAAACATAATAGAGTTTTATATAGTAATGATATCAACCTAAATAAACGTTTAACAACTTTGCAGCGGCGATTTTGTAAACGAGACATTATACTCAATATAGGATTAAAATTTAGCCTATTCATTTTTTTATTTAAATATTTCAAGGAACTCAACAGTTATTGTATTTATTTATGTTTTTTATAGACAGTGCTAGAATTAAGAAACATAGAATTCTGTATATTTTTTGTTATGTATTCAAAAAAAACATGTTTCAGCTCTTTAACAAGTTAATTTCTAGAACAGTTTAGTCTATCTATTTAGTATGTAACGCTTTCAGTACCATACTTGGCAGTGAAAGCACTAAACTTGTTAAGCCCCGAATATTATGTTGTAGGAACAAAACATAGTATTATATAAAGATTTTTTTTTCTAATGTTATTAAACTATAACATGTTATTAAAGTATAACATGTATTATTTTAATCTTAAACTCTTATAATCAAGATATATTATTTTTACAGACAAGAACAAAAGTAAACCACAAAGTTAGACAGCTATTTAGTTTCAACATGTTCTGTTTTCATCGATGTTCTTAACACTACATCTACTGAAGAGACGTGTCGTGTCTGGGTAAGTTGTGTTCAAAGTGCAATACAAAATGAGTTTAGCCTAGACGTAAATATAATACAATATAAGTAGCAGACATAATTAATATAAATTAAAAATATATTTGTTATTGATACCTAAAATGTATAAAATTGCAACGACAATGAAATAGTTGACCAACAAACTCCATTTAATCTTATTAATTTATATGCTTCAAAGTCATTCTGGTATTATTATTCTTTGTTTTAAGAATATATTAGAAAACCGATAATACCTTTTTTTACTTTTTCCGTGTTTTAACGACTGCTTTAAAAGAGTGTTTTATTAAATATTTAAAAAAAAATGTAAAAACACTCATACTGTATAACTTACGGTTTATTACGGTGGTAAAAAAATGAAATTAATTTTATCTGTAAAAAGAATGAACAAGCATATTTTGTTTTTGTCTCATTGCACGTTTTGTTAAGTATAAATACGTTACCTGTTTTCTCAGGAGCAATATAGATAAAATTCAAAATATTTAGGTAACTTTTAAAAACGAACTAAATTCGAAATAAATTATTTTTTCATACCTTATACTTACTAAAATTTTACTCATTATGATTTTATCAGTAGTTTATATTTTACCAACGTACAATTTCATTATCCGAGAAACGACTAGTTTAGCTCCACTTGTTTTATTCATGCGCAGGGTTATTTGTACAAGTGTTAAACATAAAATATAATGCAAAATTTACTTACGTAATCATAACAATATAGCATTTGCGTAAAACAAAACCGATTGTATGTGTTTAATTCTTGTGACTCTAAAAATTACTTGCTTAGGTATGTGATTTGTGGAGCAGAACTCTAATCGTTTTGAGGTGAACCAATGTCGATAATAATGAAAAATAGCAAGACGGATAATGAAGAAACCAATAATGATGTTGTTCAGAGTTGTTCTATAGCCGTCAATTCATATGTAAATGTTACAAATGTATTTATGCAGTTATAAAAAAAGAATGGATTTAGAAAAATCTATTAATTTCTGTATTACACTTAACACTAAAATGTATAATACCTTGTTTATAAAATAAAATAACTCAAACTTTAGGATATACAACCAAAACACAGTTCGGAAAACTTAGACAAGGTTAAACAATCTATTGGCACCTCCTACAATGGCCTTGCTCTGGCATTGCTTGGCCATATTCTCTTCATAGGCTACATTGCAGCAGCTGTGAGACATTGGCATATAAGTGGTATTATACATAATTATTAATTGAAATATTTTTAAATGTACAAAAAATGATTAAAGTTAAGTATTTAAAGAAAAATCAATATATGTTACATATGTTTTTATTATTATTATAGTGTATTAATTATATCATCTAATCTAATTTTACTTTCAACAGGTACTAGGGATATTGGCTGGGAAAATGGACTGGGTTTACTAATAATTATTTCAGTATTATATTATGGCTTTAAGTTCCTAAATTTACTAGTGCATCTTCTACAGCTCGATATAATACTGTTAAAAAATAATGGTTCAATACTGAAACAAACAAAGTAAGACATAGTTAAAAGTGAAATAAATGTTTTAATTAACAAATATAATTAAAATTTAATTTCTCATTGAGATATGTCGAAGTATTAGACGAACGTGAAATTGTGTTTAGTATGGCAGTACTAGATATATTAGAAATATTCGGCATATTATTTATACGTGTATAATTTTAAATAATTCATTTTTGAGTAACAGCCGATTTTCAAATACATTCGAAAAAAATGTATTTAACACATTGGATATATTTTAATTTGGTGAAAAGATTTTTATTTTGACCAAATAAAGTAAGAATTGTACTTATACATGGAATAGTTCTGAAATTTAATTTAATGACAAATGAAAGAATGTATTAATCTGATATTTAATTTTCTGGAATTATCATCTAGTAATAGGGACAGAGTAATAAAATGTAACTAATAGACTTCTAGACTAGTAGACACTCGACTTTCCTAGGAGATAATAAATAACGGCGATTTTAGGTTTAAATAAGCTACTTAACAGTACTTGAGTTTGGAAGCCTAATGCGTTTGTAGAAACTTATATTTTGATCGAAAACCTTAATCTATTAGTTAGGAAAGAGTAATGTTCGTTTGGTAATAATATAATGCACATTTTTAATTGCGAATCAGAAAAAGAGGTTATCCATGACACACAAAATATTATAATGTATTGTCGACAATTTTTTTAGTAACACTATAATGCTAATATTTTAATCGACATCGAAAGTGTTATACGTATTTTATTTACTATTAATGTACAATACAAGTAGTAATACAGTACACTGCACACGAGTATATACAAGGAACTTGTTTATTTGTGCATTGCCAAAACCATTCACTAATTTTCTGCTTCTGTCTAAAACTCTTATTTAATCGATATTAGGTGCACCGTGTCTCCCTCTTGGAGTTCCAAGAGGGAGACTTTTGGAATTTTGTTATTCATTTAGTTTTTTTTTTTGTTTTTATCACTATGTTGACATTACTATAGATAGGGAGCTAAATATTTGAGGTTCAGCCACCTGCCTTCTGTTCGTTTGTTCTTTACAGGCCCGTCTTGTGTGATAAATCGCGAATAAAGCGTGTAAATAAGAGCTTAGCTTAAGACGCTTTTATTAAAAAATTATAACTACACCTTGTCTCAACTTTTCTTAAATTCGCTATGTATTTAAATAATGCTACCTACTAAAATTGTTTGCAATGTATTTACTAAATCGTTATTTTTATTCTTTCAACTGATTAACATATAATAATATGTTTTATATGTGATAATGTACTCCTAATTGTGAATTAGATACGGTTTTGCTACTCGCATGATGTTATTTTAATATTAAAATTAAACGTTTTAGCGATTAACTGATAAGATAAAATACAGTTCGGCCAAAAAAATATTACTTTTATTATTATTAAGTGTAGTTAATATGTGTCATCGTCATTCTGATGTTTGTAGCTTAAACATTTACCAATTTAGATTTCATTTTTACGGATATCATTGGGCTCTATAGGCTAGGGTTCCCATTTATTCAAACTTATAACCCTGAACGTCAAACATGACCAGCCGTCATCGGAAACAATAACAACACCATTATGTATAGCCTGTGCTAATGAATCTTCTTATTAATATACACAATGAGTATAATTATTATTTTTAATGTTTATTTGAAATAGCGTTTTACACATTGTGTACTTATTTTGTTCGGTATACCTAAAGGTATTTCAATATACTTCGAAAACAATGTTTTATTGTGGCCAATTATTACACACACTAAAGCTCGATACTCACTTTCGGAACACTTATTTTTCCACGTTCCGGTCGGGATTTAAAAGTTATCAGGACCATGTGCTGAACACTTCTATTTCACTATTATATTGCTTCCTCAAAGAGGAATAGAAGTTACGGTTCCCTGAAAAATTTGTTTTTCTTATCTCTGGATGGAAGAAAGGTCATATACTGTATTCTTATGGGAAATAAAACAACTTAGCATTCTGTGCGTCTTCATCCATTCACCTGTACAATTCCTGTGTTTTTCGATAGTGACTATAAGGATTTGATTTTTCCCTAAAATATGTTTTCGATTGCCTCTCGCAATCTATAAAGTCTATAGATGTCTAGAATTATTTGCACAATTTATATATGATAATAAATTCTGATAAAAATATATTTTATTTTGAAGTGATTTCGAGTGACTGTTTTTCTATTGCTATCAGATGTTTTCAATGTTATGACTTATGACATTAATGTTATCTCATTATAATGCGCTTTTATTATTTTTTTTTTTTTTTGAGTGTGTTCTTTCGTATGTACTTTGATGGCGCTTTTAATAATAGACTCAATCATGATTTTTACTTATTTATAAACGTGTAATACAATAAAATATGAACGTTGAACATTAAAACAAAAGAGGTGAAAGTAACTGAAATTAAAATATTTAGATGAAATGCGATAAGATTAAATAATAGTATAAAAGATAATTTGTTTTGAAAGTTTCGTCTAAGAAGGAATGATTAATTAAAATTGTTTGGGAATGTTGAATAGAGAATAAACCATTAAGTAATAAATAGGTAAAACAGATTATATAATAGGAAAGAAGAAGTATAAGTAGAGCTAGCTCTAGTTATAAAAGTACAATACTATTCGACAAAGTAAGTAGATGCTATAACAAACAACTATTTAACTAAATGTAGTAATTCCCTAGCTTTATTAAAAATGTAAAAGATATTATATAAATATACACGAAATCATTTTCCATACGTGTTATGAAGTAATTTTGATTAACAGTTTGCTTAACTCATTTGAAATAAAGTATGATTCGTATTGTAACTTGGTTTCATAACGATAGCAATAACAATTTTAATGGGCATTGTGGGGTGAAACTAAACCAATTCATTCTATGTTTGTGTGTAAATTGGCTCATAATACTTTAACTACCCTGTATTCTATGTTTTATTTTGTTTTGTTAATTAATTGCATGCAATTGTTTTTTTAGAACTGTTTTTCTATGTATATTTTTTACCTGTTTCTTCGCATACATAATTATCGATACACAGAATAATCGTCGGAGACTTATTCCCCTTTTCGGATTGACTGTTTTTGTGGCTACCGGATTTGCACTTTCGAAGCATCCTAGAAGTGTAAATTGGAACACGGTGACTTCTGGCCTAGCTTTACAAATTTGTATAGGGCTTTTGGCTATTAAATGGAATTCTGGTAAACACATTATCCAAGTCGTCGGTCGTAAAGTTAACAGTTTCTTCGCATATGCCTACGTTGGAGCTGAAGTAACTTACGGTGATCAACTAATCAACGTTTATGGAGTATTTGCATTTAAGGTACTATATATTATTATATTTTATTTTATTTTATTTTGAGTACGTGTTAAGTGTTTTAACAAATGAATGGTTGTGTATCAGAGAAAATACATTTTAAAAACTATAAAAATATTTTATTTTCTTGAATACTACATTTTTTGTAAGTCAAGGCCTACATTTATAACCCTAATCGTCATCTGTAACGCCTACATAAATGGTGAGATGGTTTTTAGTTGCTTTAGAAGTACTTGCGGTAAATCATACTTATGCGTCTAAAATAATGACGTTTAACAATTAACTATGCCATAATAAAATAATATTTAAAACCCTTAACCATAAAAAATTATATACTCTCCGCGATTAACTAACTATTTTCAGTTTTTACAGTATTTCAATTGTTTATAAATTTGTTACAGGTATTATCCGTTTTGTTTTTCATGTGTTTTTTCATCGAAATTCTGTTTTATTACGGTATTATTCAAACGATTGTCATAAGACTTGGATGGTTCTTACAGAAAATTTTAGGAACCACGCCTGCCGAGTCAGTTAACGCATGTGCCAGCGTGTTTTTAGGCATGGTAAGTAAAAAATATTATTGTAAATTTAATGCTTTCTCAGTTTCGTAACGAAGCTAAAATACAATTTAACTGGAGTACTCATAACATTATAAGATGATACTTAAATTAATCTTGCTTAATAATTGTTTCAACACAAGTGTTTGAATATTAGTTTAATTAGTACCTAATTGTTATTTTGTTATGTAACATATAGTTTATAAAATAGATTTTTCAATGTTCACATGTCGAAGCATAGAAATTTCATCATTTAAGTACAATTTTTCGTGAACGTGTTAGTGTGGTACAGTAGGGGTCTGAATACTTAACTGCATGAATAGATCACATGATTAAATGTATAGGATTAATGTACTGTACAGCGAATAATCTATCTAAATAATGTGGTGAAGTGTTCTTTGTGCCGTCATAACATCGGAACCGACGGAGCGTTTTAAGAATGAAAAGTAAATACTGCATCAAAGTACTTATAGAAGTAAAACATATCTATAGGTATTGCAACATAAAATATATATAACCATAATAAATTTGTACTTTTATACAGCTATGTACATGAAGTTATTATTACAAGGTTGGCATAATTTAATAACAATTATATAAAAATTGGCATGTAGGATTGTAGGAACTTGCTGGGACATTATTAAAATTTATCTTTATTAAGACGAAGACATTTGATAGTGCTTACCTCCCCCCCCCATATTATCTAATCCTTCTTAAAATAAGGCCAATACTTTGCAAATTGTTTTTTTTAATAAGTTTAAAAAAAAATACAAACATGTATAGTCAATTAAATAATTATAAAGAAATGCCTTAATATAGCATAAAAAGTAGTATAGTATACCATATAATATATAATCACAGACGTTGTTTGACCACTTGAGTGTAGAATGCATTTTGTTGATCAGAACAGTGATGCAAAAATAACTATTAAATAAACAATTAAATAATATGACTAAATTATCAAGTTAAGTAAATACTTAACCATTTTGAAAACCCTGCTTTTAAGGACACGTTGCTTAAGGATGAATAAAATATATCAGAATTAATTTATTGTTTGAAAATAAAAACAAAATAATATTCTGACAACAGTCCAACAAACCTATTAGAAGATTATTGCATAGTCTTTGAAGAGCTAACTTAACAAACATAAAGCAGCTGTTTATCGAATTTATCATTTACCAATTAATTATTTTTTTATTAGGCCCTTTAAATATTATGATGGTTATTTCATCGAATATAAATTCAAATTTTAGCTAATTTGAATACTTTATACGTATTTTTTTATTAATCATATTATAGCTTATATCATTAGCTTATATTCAATTGAATGAATTAGTTTATCTATTCTTATATTTTTTTAAATATCTCTTTCTTTATAATCCCTAAGTATTTATAAACATGATTATTAAAGTATATTAAGGAATTTGTGTTGAAAAAAATCCTTTATTTTTATTATTACTACTAAAATGTTTGAAATGTCAGAATAATATAAAATATTATTCTGTTGCTGCGATTTACGGATATTTATCAGACTGTTATAATTTGATTGTTTACAAATGTTGTTTAAATTACCTTTGTTTTTTATATGTATTATTATTATTTTTATAATATAAACATTATTATTATCGTATCTATTTTTAGAACTTTTTTTTGGAATAATCCAGAAAACTGGAAATTAAAAAACATTTTTAACCTTAGGCATGAATGGGTTAACTCAGTATGTTCGTAATATAGCTTCATTGAACATTTTTTGTTGTATTTTTTGTTTGAGTACAAACATAAACTCCTAGTATTAAAAATCTATTGAACTAAATTTGTATTTCGTTTTAGACAGAAGCTCCAATTTTGATAAAACCTTATTTAAGTACACTTACCGAATCAGAAATGCACGCGGTAATGATGGGAGGTTTCTCTACGGTTGCAGGTTAGTAATAAATAGTTAAAAAATATAAATAAACTTTAATTTTAAGTGGTGTTTCCTATTTGTAATTTTATTTTAAATCTTTATTGTTCAGCAACAAAATATTATTATTTAAAACGAAAATGTCATACATTTAAAACAATAATTATTGATTTGGCTTAAAAATAAATACAGCACAGTACACATTTGTTTACGGTAAGGTCGTAAGGATTAAATTAAGCTTTACCTCTTAAGTGATTAGATAGGAGTAACTAAAATAAAATATACAATAATACGAGGAAAAAAGATCAGTAACAAAAAATAATATCATAATAGTCGAATACAATTTTGAACTAAACTAACAAAATAGTTAATAAATGTCTATAAAAAATAAATGTATTTACGTTTTACTTTATTGTACAAAGCGTACAATAAAGTGAAAAGAATAAATTATACTCTAAAAACAAGAAGTAATGTGGCTAAAGATAAATCAGGAAATATCTTATTTGAAAATGAAAAAGTAGCAGAGAGATGGAAAGAATATATGGAAGAGTTGTACAGAGGAGATGAGATTGAAGATGAGCAAATTTATATTGAAAGTGAAGAAGATGTAAATATAAATGAATTGGGACCACCAATAACCAGAGAAGAGTTATATAAAGTGTTGAAAGATCTAAGAGATAAACAAGCAACGGAGATGGATGAAATACCAGCAGTATTAAAAAACCTAGACAATGCAACGATAGAGAAGCTTTTTAATATCATCACCGATTGTTATGAAAAAGGAAAGATCCCTAACGACTTCTTCACAAGTAAATGCATACCTAAAAAGGGAAATGCAAATGACTGCTTTAACTACAGGACAATTATCTCATGCATCAAAAATACTCCTAAATGTTATAAGACATAAGTCGAAGAATAAAATAGAAAACCAAATAGGAGATGATCAATTCAGAAATGAAAGAGGGACAAGAGAAGCGATACCAGCACTACGCCAAATTCTTGATGAAGAATAGATGCATAAACAGAAATACTTATTATGCCACTTTCATAGATCTAGAGAAAGCGTTTGATAAAATAAATTAGAGGTGTTTATTTAGAACGTTGAAAAATAAGGGAATTGATTGGAGAGATAGAAGACTCATTTTAAAACTGTACAAAGCTCAGACAACTATAATTGATATTAATGGAACAACAAAACAAGCTAAAATTAGAAAAGGAGGCGGACAAGGATGCCTACTATCATCATATAATTTGTTTATATCTTGATTGAAGCATCAATAAATGAACTTAAAAGTAAGACAGGAAGAATAAAGATCAATGGACGAAGGGTTCACAGCATACGATTTGCAGATGACATTGTACTGCTAGCTGAGTCTCAAAATGATATGAATAAAATGCTCAACACCTTGGCAGATATATTTGATAATTACCAACTGTAGATCAATGGACAGAATTCAAAAACAATGTTGATAAGTTAGATCAATAACAATGATGTAGTATGTAGTAACAATGTGAAGTACATATGACATATCAATCTAAGAAACAATCCTATACAGCAAGTTAATGAGTTTTGCTATCTGGGAAGCTTAATTACGAATAGAAACCAATCAACAGCTGACATAAAGAGAAGAATAGCTCTCGCCCAACAAGCTTTCCTCAAGAAGTACAATATACTTAGTAATAGACACCTCAAACTTGAAACTCGTAAAAAGTGTATTAAAACTTTTGTATGGAGTGCCTTATGTTATGGATGTGAGACATCGACAATGACCCAGAAAGATAAAAACAATCTGCAAGCAATGGAGATGTGTTTGTGGAGGAAGATGATTAAAACCAATTGGAAGAACGAAAATCAAACGAAAGAGTTCTAGAAGAAAATAAGTCTAAAGAATAATGATTAACATAATGGAAAGGAAAGTCAAATTTATTGGGCATCTTATCCGTCACAATGATTTTCTTAATAATATTTTTGAAGGAAGAATAATGGGACGAAGACCAAGAGGAAGACCTAGAACTAATTATTTCCATGGCATAAAAGATAAGATGGGTTGCGTATCCTACTAACAACTAATGGAAGCAGCAAAATACAGACATACATGGCTAATTCGACAAGGTGTTGCTTTTAGAACATTATGGTGATATAAAACTTTTAGTTTTTTTTTTTATAAAATTAGGGCCGAAAGTACTTATATTGTTTTAAATAAAACAGTAGAGGGGAAGTTATTGGTTTTTTAAGAATTATTTTTAGATTGTATTTTTGAGCTACCGAAAAAAATGTTATTCATAAAATATTTATTGCTCCTCCTTATGCTACTACACCATGTTGTATTTATTGATTGTAATATTGTAGTATTCTATTAATTTTAATATTTTTAACCTAACCATTAACGTGATGCTCTAAAATTAAATCCGCAAGCAATAAAATTAATTATGGCTTAATCTTAATTAATACATGTTTTGTTTCCTACTAATAGTCTTTCTGTAACTAATAGAACAAAATAATATAAAAATCCTATGTTTATTTTTAACAATATTAAGTTTTTATCAGGTACTGTGTTCGCTGCATATACATCATTCGGAATCGATGCTTCTTATATAATTACTGCAGCAATTATGTCAGCGCCAACTGCATTAAGTTTTTCAAAACTTATTTTCCCAGAAACAGAAAAATTAGTTATAAGAGACGAAGAAATCACCACAAACAAGTAAGTTCAAATGACAAAATAAAAATAATGCAAGCTGTATATGTATATTAATTTATGTAACTATGATAATTTATTTTCTTTGTTAATTAAGGGGCCTTTATTTAAATTGTGTCAATAATGATAATACAACATAAATAATGATAGTAACGTAAAAGTAATTATTATGTAATGTTAATGTAGCATAATAATTTAAACCAATATTGGGGAATCATATATGAAAAAAAAGAATTAATATTGGTAAGGGACGTAGGTATCTTAGGTACCTTTAGATCAAAAACGCCTATAATAATAATTAAAAAAGACAACATTTTGGAAAAATCGATTATGCCTTTTTTCAACATCGAATAATAAGTTAAATAACGAATATATTAAAAATAAGATAGGTAATTTTCTCTGAAATGTCATCATATTTTGATTTTATATAAAATATTTTTGCTCTTGAACCAACTTTGACCGAATAAAACGCATTTGTTGTAGATAGTTGGAGTTAAGGTAAAAAAATAGGTTAAGACGTTGCCAAACGCGCTGTGATAGACTGATAAAATAATTAAATTGTGAGACTTTGTCTGGTTTAAATTCAATTCTGTAAAAAGATATGAATTTTTTGGTCTCATTATGTGAGTTAGAATGTTAGAACCCTATTTTTATTTTAAAAAATTCAGTTTATTGTAACTAAATAAATTTGACAGTTTTAAGTATTAAAATGCAATTGTTTTACATAAGAGAGTAAAAAATATAAAAAATCTGTTTCCAGTATAATCTAAAAAAGTTGCCGAAAAATTTTTTTTCTATCTTTTTATTGAACTAAAATACGACCAGCCTAAGTAGACGAAATTTGTCAGACATTTAAATTTAAAACGTCAAAAAACCACACTGCTTTCATATCCCTTAAAGCTTAAACCCTAGTGTATACCTACTTATTAATACAGAGTGGGGATTCTTAACGGCTATTATTTTTCTTTGTCAGACTATCGCAGTATTTTCTATAAAAAAATACAATTTTTTTTCCAACAAAATCAATTGGGGTGAACCACAAAAGCCAGGGAACACCTATTTATTATTATTATTAGAAGAAATTATTTTGTCTTATTCTTTGTGTAGTTTACATTGTATTTTTATACAGACTAATGGCTAGTACTTTGAACTTAAACGTGGTAGCAGTGGTAATATAGGTTACTCGACCCTTGTTTAAGGAGTACTCATTCGCTAAAGTATAATTATTTCTAACAATAAGAAAATCACCATTTTTAGGTCTTATACGCGACTGAGGACATAATAGTATTTACTATGTTAATAATTGCCTATTCAGTAATAATTAATCGGAGTATCCTTCAAACCTCTTATTTAGTTCGCCTCTGAATTACCATTAACTCATTGGTCTTGCATGGCTTTTTAGCTGTAATATAAAAAAAAAAAACAATTAATTCATGCAAAACATGTTGTTATCACACAGACACCGAAATGGTTGTAATGTGGTCGACGCAGCCTGTAACGGTGCACAATTTGCAGTGCAGTTGGTGGGAGCGATTATCGCCAACATAATAGCATTCGTATCGTTTGTCACTTTTGTTGATGCTGTCCTATCGTGGTTAGGAAGTTTAATAGGGTTTCAAGAGTTTAACTTTGAGGTCAGTACATATTAGGTACCATAATTGTACACACACACACAAATTATTAATTTATCAACGTTTTTATCTGTAGTACGTTTTGGGGAAAACTTTGATTCCGGTCGCTTGGATGCTGGGTACCGATTATGAAGAATGTGAATTAGTGGCAAAATTAATTGGCCTGAAAATAACCACAAACGAGTTTATAGCGTACAAAAAAATGGGAACACTTATAAGCGAGAACAAACTCAACGTAAGCGTATACATATTTTAATGTTCTGCGATAATTGAATACACAGATTTAAATCCAGGGCCATACACGTATATTAATGATCAGCGTACAAATAAAATTTAAATACACAAATTTTAATGTAAATGCAAAAATTTTTCATATTTTAAGTTATTGTGTTATTTCCCGCCGTTTAATCAAATAACGACGTTCCACTTGTAATCCGACGACTAGCGGTTTTAAATTATTTTAAGATATCAATGAAAAATAATAAAATATTTATGTTTTTAGCGTAAATCAGAAATAATAGCAACATTTGCGTTGTGTAGTTTTGCCAATCCAGGCTCCGTGGGATCCATGATTGGCACTTTAACCACGCTAGCGCCTACTCAGCGATCAGTAATTGTTAAACACATATTTAGAGCTTTTATCGGCGGAACAGTTACTACTTTACTTACAGCCGCTATTGCCAGTAAGTTAAAAATGTCACATGCATATATATAAACTCTTAAGTGGCCAAGTAACACATTAAATATTGTTTTAGGTCTACTAATGTCTGATGATCATGGAATTCACGCGTAAACGTATAAAATCTACGAAAAATAAATTATTTTGTACATATTTTTTAATTTATTAAAAATATATTCCAAAGAAATAAATCCAACCAATTGAAATTTTCAACAATACTACTTGAAAAAATATTTATATTTTTTATTATTATATCGGCATAAAAACGGATGGATTTAATTAACTTTTTAAATTATTATGGAAATGGTAATTGACTTCCAAGAAATTATGTACTATTTTATAACAATAAATAGGTACAAATCCTAATACCAAATACTTATCATTATTATTTTTAAATAATATAAGCATTTATTAAAATGTATTTAAAATATACATTTCTTTAAAAATATTTCATTGTTTATTTTCAAGGACCTTTATCTAATATTTTTATGTTGACACACTGCTGCGTTGTGCAATTGCACTCTTCATTTAAATTCTTCGGTAAAACATTTTGATATATGGCTTCAAAATGTTTTATACTGCATTTAGATTCTCTACATCCTGGTATAGTTAATCGGTAGGGATTTAATGAAGTATCATTACGCAAAAAAACCTAAAACAAACAGAGATATTTAAAATAAAATCAAGCACAATGGGGTCGGGACATAGTGGGAAACATTGGGATCGGAGTGGTCACAGGTTTTATAAATTATTTTATAACTGAGAGTAATGAAATCACTCTCATAAAAATCGCTTTAATACGAATCTGTAGAGTAACAAGATGGTAGCAATATTACATTTTGGTAAAATCATTGTAAAGACAATAATAAGCTTAAAATTGTATTTTAGTATTGCATTTTTTAGACGTTTTTCCCATTTTTGATGTGAAAGGGATAATTTTTAAAAAATTTAGCCGATCGAAGCACCTTTTAAACATGATTTCTGATCCATAGACTTGTTAAATAAAGAAATCGATCAGCGGTTTAGAAGATATCGTGGATCCAGTCACTCACTCCAGATACAACATAAAAACACATAATTTTCAGCTTCACACTAAAGCTAAAATGAAATACTAGTTCTTCAACAATAAATTTAATATTTTACCTTAAAATAAAAATGTCCTTTAACTGTTTCGTGTAGTTCCAGTAACGCTAACATATTGTAAGTTGGAATTTGTTCATCCCATACTCCTAACGTTATTAAAAGATTGGCCAATGTTGAGTCGTGTCCAGCGTAACTGTATAGTTGATGATTTGAATTTTTAGTCATTTTGAACTTACTGTCATCCAATATCTTTTTTAATAATGGGCCTAAACAAGTTGCATCGTAAAACCAACTATTAACCATTATAAGTTTCCCAAATTTATTACACTTACCTCCTTTCAATTTTTTCATTTGTTCGTTATACGCATTTAGTATGAAACTTCTGGCAGTGATATGAGCCAATTTAGTCGGGTATACTTTAGAAGTCCAATCTGGGAGGCTTACTCCAAAGTCTTCCTAAAAATGAAAAATTAGAAGTTATTCAAATTTCATCAATTATAAATGTGTAGGCATAATCGCTGCCAGTCAAGGAGCACATTATATTATTATTGTTTTTTAAAGATGTTTTAAACACGTCCTATTATAAGCCAGCGAGGGCATAGGCCATAGCAAAACTCTTTTAAGAATATTTCACTAAGCGAAAATTCTAAAAAAAAGTCTACTCTTTTTAAAACAATAAATAATAATTTCTGGCGCATGTTACTCGAAACTGGATTCCCGGAAGGACCGAACATTGTCCGAAGATCAGAAGCTAACGTTTTATTTACACGTGTTTGGACCTTAAACGGAGTACAACTAAGAATATTGTATACAATGCACGAAACAGGTACGTGAATAGCAATCTATTTACAAGTTATACTGATTCGACAAGATAGAAAACTGTCTATTGTGATGCTAAATTGTGGGGACGTGGCCGCTTATTTTTATATTTTTTTATTAATATGTTATTTCTACTTTCATACATTTCATTTACAATAAATAACAGTTTGTAAAGGCCATTTTATGGGTTCTTTTAAAAATAATTTTACATTTAAATTAAATATAGGTATATTTTTAATTTATATATGTATTTTATAATTTTAAAAAATAATGAAATAGTTAAAATACATCTATGATCTGGGCCATAGATACGCTTACTTCAGCTTTTAAAGTGCTATAAATTGATTGGACGTCATCAAGGTCTTGAATGACCATACCAGTGTTTTGAGACAAATAATCAAAAGTATTTTTATAATTCTCAAATTCTTGACGAACCAATGTCGAATTCATGATTTTCATTCTTTCCATATGATAACGCGGACAAACCTTACGCACCAGCAATAACTACAATATAATAAATACAAATAATTGTTACATTACTCAATATTGATAATTAAAGGGTTAAACCATCTTCAATGTGTAATGCATTTTTTACTTGATCTTCGTTTAAGCTTTCTGCGTGAATAGGGATTGGCTGCCAGTCCAATCGCTTATGCCACTGTTGAGTCCCGACCGGTTTATACAGAGCTGCGGCAACAAGCTGAGCACTCATTTTAGTCCTGTCGACGTCAGTGCTCCAAAATGTCACTTTTTCAGGAGAATACAATAAGTCCAAAAAGCCATTGTAACGTTTTCGAATGAATTTCCCGATTTCGTATTGATGGCGCTTACCAACCTAAATAAACAACCGTTATTAAACATGTTAGAGGGGGAAAAAACTACTTTAACAGCATAGTTAGGCACTTTTAATTTTACTCAGGCAGCTTTAAATCACTTGCATTAGTTAATTGTCCCCATCCGTACGGTTTCCACGTATAATTTACGTATGGATCAAACGGGTAAGTATCAGCCGGCGTTCTTTCTCCATGCCTAAAAACCTAAAACATAAATTTAATCTATCAACTTCGATTACAAAAAATACAAAACCAACTCCTATTGTGTGAAATTGTTAAATGTATCTATTTATATATATATATATATATATATATATATATATATATATATATAACCTCCCGTATTTAGAGATGACACTATGTGTGTTGTGGTGGTGGTACAACGGTGCAAGGGGGTACAACGGTGCAATCCATTATTATATATATATATATATGCCATTCCTTCCGACCCAACCTAAACCAGTTTGCTAGAAACATGATGAGGAAGAAGTCTGGTTCCAACAAGACGGAGCCACAGCATACACTTCGCGGCGTTCACTTTTAACTTTAGGGAAAGGTTATAGTTCTTCGTGTCATTTCCGGTGTAATGGCAGCCACTGCCTGGGTGACTGCCTTCCAAGTCCCCAAAGAAAAAAATCACAAGGTGATAAATCGGATGACCTTGGCGGTCAGGCGATGACTCCTCGCAAAGACAGAAGCCGCCAGGAAACATCTCTCTCAAGATTGCTAGTGAGCGCCGCAAAGTGTGATCTGTGGCTCCATCTTGTTGGAACCAGACTTCTCCCTCTTCATGGTTCATAGCGAACTGGTTTAGGTTAGGTCGGAGAAAATGACATGTATACCGCTATCGATTGATACCCCCTCCACCTTTGTACCGCCACCACAGTCCACAACTCACACAGCGCCATCTCTAAATACGGGCAGTTTTTTTGCCGGACCCTATATATATATATATAAGTCTGTTATAAGTGTAAATGATTATCGTACAACTTAGTTAAAAATAAAACTAGTGTTCGAATTAGAGAAATATTACGTATCTAAAACATTTTTCTGAGAGGGTTATCAAAATGTGTCTTTGAATTGTAAAATTTTGGGGAAGGGTAGGTTATTACGGTTGCATTACATAAGAAAATTTCACACTTATGTATGAATTGATCGAAGCTGGTAAATTTACCAAAAAATTTAGTAAATATATATGTGAATTTATCAATGGAAAAATCATCCAATGAAACAAACCAGAGACACTTGTATATTATTATTTTTTATTTTTTGAAGCACTACAAAATTTAAATCGAAAAACATTCATATGGTCGATTTTTGAAAAGATAACTGTGGTAAATATAATTTGAAAAGTTTCTAGGGCCATGAATCAAGTAAATTTGCTAGTTCATTAAAAATATCAACTAACCCAATTTTGGTTATTCTGATGGTAGCTTTAAAAAGCGTAATTATTAAAACAATCAAGACTTTGTTATGGTAGTACAATTATGTATATTTAATGTCAAAGTACCCTTTTATTATTATATTACTACATTATATTGGCTCATTCATAATACATTTTTGACTCGTTAAACATAGATTTTTTTAGGTTTTCTATGGTTTTTTCTTTTGTTTTAATATCGGAGTATCTGTTAGAATAAAATCCTATCTTCTGTAGTACTCGAAAGCCCTCTTTCAAGCACACACAAAATAGACTTACTCGGGAGATGAGTAAAGAAATGAAATGGGTAATAACTAATATGTAATTAATTAAAACGTGTACTTTTTTGGTACGAACTCAAACAATAAAAGGTCAAGGTCAAGAAACCAATAATGTTTTAGAATAGTATTAATACTATGAACTTGTATTTTCATAATCGTTATTTGCTTGTTTTTAATTTATTTATTGCCGAATTTTCGGGTTCAATCAAGGTCGAAATCAAACACGTGTTGATAAAGGAACATTCTATTTGTTTATGTTTTCAAATACAACATATTTTTGTTTACGTACCGCATGGACCAACCTTAAGGTTTTCCAACGAGGATTTTTGCCTTGGTTAACGATCTTTGTGGAGCTGTCGTTGACAACCGCTGCAGTCACTTGAATGCTGGCCAACAACACGGCCGTTATCGACGCAAATTTTAGAAACAAACTTGCGATCATATTGTTTTGTATGTTATGACCAATGAAATAGATATTATAAAACTCGGCTGATACAGCCCATCAGTTGCGCCGTTATAATATTTTTAAACGATTAAACGTAGCGCGTGAAAACATCGCCATGCATCTGTCGTCTGCCGACAGTATACACGGATTACGAATTGATATTATATCACTATAAAATGACATTGCTGTGCATATTATTTACATCGTTCATGGCGTTATTCGTGATTACTGGATACCATCCAGAGGCCAACTATGTGAGTGTGTAGTACGATGCAAGTAGAACAAGCCGGCCGGTGTGGAGGGAGGACGTTTACGCGTAACCGTAGGCGGTAAATTGCTGAACAGATGTTTTCAGTTTTTTTTTTACCAGCTAATAACGTTGGCATTGACTTAGACTCTCATTTTACTACACTATATATACACACTATTATTCCACTTATGATGTAACATAATATATGTATGAGACGACACACATCCGTACTTTGGGCGAGTAACCCAAACAAGGCCGCTAGCAACAAGTTGTTGGTTTTGACAGGCTACAGAATACTTTGCCCTCAACGCATTATGATATTAACAACGAAATTCACTGACAACTACAGTGAAAAATATAAATTGGAAAAACTCTGGTCTCAAATTAAATATTTCAATTACATACACCGTTGTTTTGTTTGTCTTATTAAAATACAACAGTACCCCAGCAAACCTACAGTGGTGAATTCTAATAAGAGTTTTGGTTTGATAAACCATTTTGACTGTAGTGCACAATTATTTTAATAAAACTGTTAAAATCTTTCTATACACTGTTTAAAAGTAATTTTTAATTTCAAATTGTTTAAACAACATTTTATAATAACTATGTAAGTTAAGCTGAACGGTCTCGGGTAAAAAAAGTTAACAGACTTTTCCAGAATTTTAGATAAAAATATATAAATATTAATTATGTTTTCAATTATAAGATAAGAGCTACTTCAGACTTAATAGTTTAGTGAAAAATTTAAGTATGAGTTTCTTCAAATATAAATTATTGTTGAAATAAATATTTTTTGTCTTAACTAAAAGTAAATGCTTTTTAAAAGTTTACTAAGATTCAAGTTTTAGAACTTTTATATACTTTGCACTATACACTTTTATACATATATAGTAAGAAGAAAATAATTTAAAATTAAAATTTATGTTATGTGCTCTTAGCTGTCAGGCATGCAAACTATTAAACTCAAATACTCTATTACTATGTATATTTAGGCTTTGCCAATTTATACAAATTTAAAAATTCGATAGTTGGTGCAAATGGATTTTCTGTCTGGTCTCTCGCTCTTTCTCACTGTCCTATGACGTTTGAATATTTAGGAAATTGTATTAACCTAAAAGTTTCGCATAATCATGTTTAAGACCTTGGTGTCACGTTTAATCGGACTTAGAGTTTACATAAGCACATAGAAATAGTTGTAAGGCTTTATAATTTCTTGTGGGTTCCGAGTTCAAGCTATCAACATCTTTAAAACCCCTTTATTGCTCATTAATCCGACCCCTTTTAGAGTATGGAGTTGTTATTTGGGATCCACATACATTTTAAAAAAAAACTGTAAACTTAAGAGAGTACAGCGTCAGTTTAAAGTATGCTGAATTTGTTCTACAACTTTAATGCCCACCTAATGACTATACCCACAATAGAGTGCAAGCGAACTTATATGTTTTGCAAAAACTTATGGTTGGTAGTATCGATGCTCCTGTTCTTTCGTCAAATTGCAAATTAGTGCATTACATTAGATTCCGTCAAAAGTTTTTGTTCCGTATTCTACCAATTATAATTATAATAATCCTATTCTACGACTTTTAAAATTGGCAAAACCTATAATTTCTATGTTGGTTAGAGATTTTAATATATTAAGTTTGATTTTGTAGCTTCAAGTTATTTGTATTTAAATTATTTTTTTATCGAGTCTAATAAAGAAATACAATTAAAAGTGTAACACTGCGCAATAAATCAATTTTGTGGTATACGTTTTTATCAGACATTCATCAGATATTATATTTAATACCATTAACTTCCGGTGTTATTAACACTTCTTTATGATATTTATTATGAACCTAATAAACTATGACATCATAAAAAAAATGGAAAATTACATTATGACATACATAAAACATGTTGCATCATTTTACTAGTCTAAACCTGTCTAAAGAAACAATTACTAGATACCATACTATAAACAACTAAAAACAATATTGTTTTTTAGACATGGTCAATGTTGATATAATAAAAAGCTAGTAGAGTGGAGTCGGGACATAATTGGGACGAGCATTTTGGAGCAGTAAAGGTCATAGCTTTACAGGAATTATTATAGGTACCTGAAAGTCATAATAAACTCTTCAATGTCTAAGTATAAATGTTAGAAATAAAAATATCAATAAAATCATTGTAATGACAACAAATAATAATGTGCTTAAAAAACAATTTTTAGTGTTAGGGTGGACACGATTAGGATTTATACTTTATAGTCTATCTATAATAATTAGTTGCCGTTATTTTTCCATAAAATAAACAGCATAATGAAAAAATATTTTCCAACACCTGATTTGTTAATTGACTCTCACATAGCAACCTAAAAATTTACTAAAGCTATTAAGAGTAATTTTTCCCTTATTTTGGTTTTTTTTAATAAACAGATTTTTAAGATTTGAGAAAATCGTATATTATGTTATACCCTCACTCTAGATCTACCTTCAATGTAGTTTTCAAACCTTAAGCACTAAAACACCTACATAGTGAAATATCTAAAAACTATCCATCCTAATAAGAAAAATGGTTTTTGATGTTTATTTGGTTTGTCACCAACCTCCGTATATTCATAATACTATTTCTAAAAAATATTCCAAAGAAATTTAAAATTCATTCGCCTTTTTTTTTTTTTTAATTATAGAGCGCCGAAATTGTAAGTGAAAAATGTGTACATTTTTTGGGTATTTCTTTGGTTTTCAAGAGAAAAAAGTGACCTATTTAAACTTTTGGTTTAGTTAAGTACCTTTATCTTTTACCTTTAGAGGTTTCAATCTTTAGGGGAATGACTTAAGGAATCCAGTGTTATAATAATATACATAGTAATCTAGTATAAAATATCTTTCTAAATGAATTTGTTTGTTTTCATTAACGAAGTTTAAGCTGTCATTTAAATTTTTTTATCGATAGACGCTAGATATATTTTACTGTTAGTCACCCTAATTTCATAAAAATATATGTTCAATATATAACTAGTATGTTTTTGTAACCTACAAAAATGTAACTAATTTCAAATTACATTTTTAAAAGTATTATAGTAATTTTTTCTAACGATCAATGCAAAAACTAAAATGAACAATCTGATTTAATACAGGTTAAAAAAAAACAGATTATAATTTATTTATACAATTAGTATGGGTTAATAATGTTAGCACGTGTTTAGATTTAAAACTTAACCTAAATTTGTATTTAAAAACCTTCAATGTACTAATAACTTATTAGTAAGATTAATCTTTTTATGTAACTTATATTATAATAACATATAAGATAATATTTATCTACGGACTTCATTCATGTCGATTAGAAAACCCCCAATCATCGATTTTGATTAGATCAATTTATCTGATATAATATTATACATAAAATATAATATAATATATATTGTAAATTACTATTAAAGACTTTTATTATGACTGGCTACACTCTTTACCGCTTATTATTAATAATAATAATAACTAACATTTTCAAATAAATATAAATAAAGGGGATGACTTTAAAATATATGAAATTAACGCAAAGACAATTATTAAATTCATCGTACAATTTCTATTAAAAATGCATATTATTCTTTTGAAATAGGATTGATGCTGAAATAGTGATGTAACATTATGATTTTAGGAGTAATAAATAATTATTATTGTAGATTCCGTATTTGTATAATATTAAATTATGAATTATGACTATCAATTGATCGTTGTTCATTTATTTATCATTGATATCGCCTTTTTCTAACAATTTTAATTGAACAATATTCTCATACTGATAAGTCCTATTATTTGAGATGTGCGTAAATGATTTTCTGTGATGCTGAGTCAGCCACTTAAAAGGAACCGCACAATCGATAATCAATATTCCAATATTAGTTTATACCTGTTGAATGAATGAATGAATAAACTCATGTGTTATAATACGAAATCCGTGGTCGATTTTCATAATCTAGTTTCATTAATATAATTTTTTTTTATAATTTTCAGTTTGCCCAAACAAGTGAGCACAGTACGATATGATGTTAACAAAATCATTGAGTTACGCTAGCATTTCACCGGTTTGCTTTATCAATCTAGTCTCATTAAATACATGAACGCTGTTGCTGTAGTACCTTTAGAAAGAAAAACGATAAGATTCAATCGAATATCACAAAAGGTTAATTGTGAAACATTTTACGCACTACTACCATAGCTCACTACGTATAGAGACCGTCTTTAGCCTGTATTGATGCAATAACATTTATGCTGGTGTCTTAAGCAAAAATCGTCTGTGTTTTTATTTTTATTTTTTTAACTTTTATAATTTATTCTATTCGACCGTCCATAGTTAATTGTTATTACATTCAAATAGTCTGGTGATAAAATAGTTATATGTGTACTTTTTATTTATATCTCAGTAACAAATACTGAAAACAAGATCGATTAACTTCAAAGATTCAAAAACAAATATTTTTTCTTGAGACATTGTTATTTTGTTTTCTTTATTGAGTGAAAAAAGTGTACACAAAATTTGGGATACAGCCGGATGTCAGTATAATATTGCATGTGCGTCTGTTACAAGCGGATGCACGCTTGCAAAAATTTCATGTGTCGATACCTACCTCAAAAACTTAGTGGTATTCTTATACACTCCAGTAAGTAAACAATAATTATTATTGTCAATATAATTAACTTCTAATATTTAGTATTCATTGCAATACAATATTATGCGATTAATTACAAAAATATACGCATTAGAATTTTAAAGTAGTTTAAAAGTATTTTACAAAACATACCATTGTAACGAATATAAATCAAAGTTATTTTTATCCAATCCAAAATGTATTATGGATGGACTGTCGTTTAAGTATAACCTTAACATTACTTAACGGCTAAACAACTCACTCTTATAATTTTTAATAAAATCATATTTTTTTTAATTTGCTCATCGGTGGTGGTGTTCTAGTTTAGAGTAAGCAAATGTAAAAACTAAAGAGATACGAGTATAATAAATATTAAAATAATGTACTTTATTTTCCGTATAAGGTAAATGTATAATTTTCTGTGATCTTTAAATTTTAATGATTAACGTGGAAACCCAATCGTCTAAAAATTATATGCAAGTAGTATAATATTATACATATTTAACTGTTGGTTTTAAAAGCAGTGAATGAATTAAGAGTTGGTCTGTGTAAAGATAATTGGGATCGTGGTTGTCTAAGAATAAGGTTTGATAACATATTCTTTGCATCATTATACTCGTGGAAATGCATATTATTTTATTGCCAATCAGCGTTATATAACGTTCATTTACATCATTTTTTATGCTAACTTATCTAAAAATGGCCGTTACAAATTTAGTTTATGTGAAATTACTATAATTATTATTATAGATAGCCGATAAATAATTTAACCTTAACATTTTCCAATCGCTAGGTCAAGTTAGATTTAGTTGCTGGCTGCCCAAGATTTGTTTCTTAGTGTACCAAAAACTTATTTATATGTTTTTACGTCCTTTGCACATTTTTATTCTCAAACGTAGTTAATAAAATCTATTTGCGAAAATTGTATTACCTAGTTTTTTATTCGCTTTTCGAGTATTGTACCATAACGATAAAATGATAATGCGAAGGATTTGAACCTTGATACAAATTGTTGATACAAATTTCAATAAAAAAATGTTAACGACCTCGGAATTATGTCCAGTCTTTATTCTCGTTCTATCAATTATTAATTTGTAGTTAGGTTTATATGCTAATTACTAATTAGTAAATATTTTAGTCACGCGTTTTTATCGTCACGAGATAAATGATGTTTGACACTAGACTAATACTTTTAAACCATGCCTAAGTATAACAGTACACTTTTAGAAGAAGTCGATTGATAATAATTTTTTTATAATTTCACCTTACAAGTAAACTCAATTTTACAAACTCAACACTAGAAAAACGATAAACAAACTTATTTACTGACAAAAAAAAAAGAAAGATAATCAAGGTCTAGACTGTTTAATAATAACATGATATCACTTTAGTTATGCTTAGTTAGCCATTTTAACCTTTTTCGTACTATCTACTTTTTTGTTTATGAAGTTTGTTGTAACCGGTTCCCCTCAAAAAACGGTAGCAATAATACTATTGGTACAACTAACATTGCTTGTTTTTTCGTTGAAGAGTAACCTTTGAAACTGAAACTTAAAAATAAATATTGACATTATTATTTATTGTTACCAAGTATATTGCATTAACTATTGTGTATTTTTAACGATTACAATAATGCCTGTCATGTTATATTTGTAGTGATAATTTAACTTTACTTCAATAATGGCTATAAATATTACACACCTCAGTCAAAAGATTATATTTTAATTTTAAAAAAAGTTCACCAACACCCTTCTGTGCATCCTAAAATAAATGTTTGTACAACACAATAATATAAAATAATATTCAGGACGTTTTGTGAAATAAATTTCTCATATATCTTTATATATGTATAAATTAATATCACAAAATGGAATAACTTATTGTAATGTTTATATTCACAAAATGATTATTTATATACTAATAAGACAGCATGTAGTTTACAGATCATAACAAACAACAATGGCAGTGGATCACAGAGACATGGAACAAAATAATAACAATTATCAATATGGTATGAAATCGACTTTTGCACAAGTAGGTGCCTTTATATTTATGAAATTTATTTTTACTGTCGTTTAGAATAATATACATAGTGCCAGTGTATTAAAGTTTTATGGAGATATGAATTATTCAAGTAAAATACATAAAAACAAAATGTGTAATTGTTCCCTCATCTTAATTTTTATTTAAAAACCATTACAACCGTTGTTTTTTTTCTAGTCCTTTGTTTATTTTCTTGATTAGGATTCTTTCAACCGAAAAAAAATTAGTTAATCTATACATATTTTCGTTTACTAAATAATTGTTTTAACATAGTTAACATAATTGTCTCGTACAGTTATCTAGATTCACATCAAGTATATACTTTAAGTATAACTTAATGTAAATTTATTCTGACATTTAATAATAAAGATTAGTTTTTGAATATTGCTAAATATTTATTTGCTGTAAGAAAACTTACAAATATTAAAAAATATAAGATAATCATTTAACCACACCTGGTGGAAAATGTTAGACGGGTTAGGGAAAATATTCCGATTTAATTATTGATTATTATAAGACTAATCGGGAGTTGTGGCGCAGTGGACACATCAGATGCCGCGTGACACTCGAGGTTAAGCTGTGTCCGTTGCTGCTTGATCCCGGATGGGTGACCACCCGGGATTTTTAGCGGCGACCCATACTATCAACCCCGAATGCATGGCTGAAATGCCATGCACCCGGCGACCGAACTGGCATAAAGTTAGCCATAGCCACTCCCGGTCAATACGCCATACGCATTTATTTATTATTTACAAGACTAAAAAATAGATCAAATTTACCTCAGGCCAACGGTCTACATATTCAACATGTAATATGATATTACATAAACTATTTCATCAGATAATCGACACATCATATTTATAAAATCAAATAACGATAAATTAATATGTATATTGAAGTGTACCATCACAATCCTCATATACGAATACTAGGTGACTCGTTACAAACACGATAGCAACTACATTTTAAAATGAGACCTCTACGCTAATCAGAATAAACTTTAATAAATTGCATAATACTTTTAAAGTAAAATATAAGTATATTTTAATCTCCAATTGTTGTTTAATAAGTAAATTATCATATTTTTTCTATGGAAATAACTGGTTTAATCGGAAATCCGTTGATCATCAATACAAATTAAACACTATACTACGTTCTAACGTATCTGCTTATTATTATTATAAGCAATAGAAAATCAAATGTTGACCTCGTGATTAATGAGTAGTTTTACAACTATGTGCGTTTTAATTTAAGACAAATAGGTAATATATAATTTTACTAGGTGTAGTAGTATATTTGTTATTATATTCAAATATAATCAACTATCAACCCAAATCCTCATTCCCTAGGTTACTTTTGTTAAATATTTAAAAATAATCATTTATTTTAAAAATAATAGCCCATATGCATAGTCAATCACTTAACCCTTCACTGCACAATGTTCCATATTTGGAACAATTCTTTAATTAGCGTTTTCCATGAAACCAAAACTCCAAAAAATTTATTTTTATTTTTTTAAAGTAGTATTAAGTACATTTATAGCATCTGTTTTAAAAAAAAATTCATGCAGTAAAGAGTTAAGGGATATTAGAGGCGTTTATAGGATTTTCTTGAGGAGAGGGATATGAATTTTTTTTAGCCCATTTTTTTTCTAAAGCATTATAGACTTGAAGTTTTTTGGTGTCGGTTATATTAAGTGTTAAAAATATGTCAGTAAAATAATAATATGTTACGGGTCATCTTACAGATAATGCGGGATCTATTCTGTTTATACATATTCTTACAAAAAAAAAAAAGGCCAAGGGAGGGGATCTATCCCCCATATCCCCCCTCCCGTAAATACGCCACTGAGGGGCACCTAAAATGGCTTAATACCTAGCTATGGGACACCTAGCTGTTGAACTTTAAGTAGTCCGTAATTAGGTATTCCTTAATTGTTAACCTTTATAATTAATTTATTCTTCAATGCTTATCAGTAATGCTTGTGATAATTGTCAGTGTTATAAATTATTTTATGCCGTTTAATCGAAATGTACAATTTGATAAAATAAACAAGACTATAAATATGTTTTATGTAATTATTTATTTTTGTACTGTTAATTACTATTAAAATAGATGGATCTAGTGAATAAAATTAAACGGAAAAGGGGTCCTAGCTGGGACTAAGAGGAAAAATAATTTTATTTCATTGTTTTAATTAGAAAAAATATTTTAACACCGACAATAAAAACCAACAGGCATTTAGCGTACCAGAATTTTGTATTTTAATATGGGTGCATCTACCAATACCGGGCATTTTATACATTTTATAAAATTTCTCTTGTATCAATCTCTATTCCTCAGCTGTATTTGGAAAATGAACATAATTTTTAAATTTCTAGCTAAACTTTTAGAAACTTTTTTAATTATTAATTCATTTAAATTTATTTAAAAATATTAGCATCTAATCCTTTCGAGGTTATAATTAACCCTAAATATATTGTAACTGCACACTCTAGTTAGTAATTTTTATAGTTTATTCTAGCTTAATCGTTGGAAAGCTAGGAAAGTTAGGCTAGTTTGAGGTCGTCATTTTATTTAAAGGCTATTTGATTGATATGGCAATTAGCAGTTCTATCGCTTTAAAATTGTCGCTTTTCTCATTTCTTTGTTTATATTAGGACTGTTATTCGATAAAAAAAAAATGTGTTGTTCGTTTTATTCTAGTGTTATGCAATAGTGGGTGCTTGCTTTGTGCAAATTGGAATTGGATGTCAGATAATGTTACCCACTATTATTATTGGTTCATTGGAAAAAAACGAATTCGCAAATGGAACAAATGAATCAAATAGAGACGAGTTTCTCATAATGTCGACTAAACAAGCTTCGTGGTTTGGTTAGTATCAAATATGAAATATTTTTGTACTAAAAATATCTTATGTTTGTATAGGGCATTGGTGTATTGTAAATTATTATTTTATATAATATTGACGCATGTAGTATTGACGTAGTAGTATCTTTATAGTTTGTATCAGATCACATTACTAGTTTGAACCCCCACTGGCTGATGCTTATTCCCGGATGGGTAACATCATGTTTTTCAACTAACTACATAATTGCCGGCATAAAATGGACATGAATCACGATAGCCTTTATTTCTTATAGCTGTCTGTAAGAATGCGTTATTATGTTTTATTAAGAAGTAGATGGTTTTATACGTTGTTTCAGGTAGTCTCCTGTACTTATGCACTCCTCTGGGAAGTTTGGTCTCGTCAATTTTACTTCGACGTATTGGACACAAAAGGTGTTTGATACTGTCTAACGTACCGTATCTAGCTTCCATTGTCCTGCTCTATCACGCCAATGACATAGAGACCTTATACTTATGTTCAGTAATTACCGGACTGACTATGGGGTTCGTGGGTGGACCTAGTTCGTCGTATCTAAGCGAGGTGTGTGAGCCTAAGCTCAGAGGTGCCTTGACTTCAGCCACGAACGTATTCTACTTTGCTGGTGTTCTAATGGTAACCGTGATCTATGCAATGACGCTGCAATGGAGATATACCGTATTAGTTACGACCATAGTGCCCGTCTTAAATATAATAGTTTTACTGGTGGTGGGTATTCAATTTGATTTACCTAAATGTTTCAACATAACCCAATAATAATAGTATTTGACATATTCATTATAGTAATTATTACATGTACTTTTAGACACCGGATTCACCAATTTGGCTAATAACCAGAGGCAAAACCAATAAAGCTCAGCAAACTCTAGGCAAACTCAGAGGATGGGTGTCACACGAAAAGTGTGTTCACGAATTTCACGAAATGGTGATTTATACTACTAAAGAAACTGGTTAGATTTTTTTTTCAATAGTGAATGGCTCTGAAATAATCATGTTTTTATTGATAGTGGATGGAAACGACCAAGACAGCATCAATAATGTTTGGCAGCAACTCGTACAACCCGAAGTGATCAAACCGTTCCGGCTGCTGGTGATCTATTTTTTCTTTTCAAATCTACTTTCTGGTGTACCATACTCACCATACTTAACAGCAGTATTTATCAACTTCGGGGCTCCAGTGGACGTCAATTGGACAATTGTATGTTCTAACTTACTATACAGAGGGCAAGCTAGAATCAATTACTGCTTTTAACACAAATACACTTTTTAAACTATATCACTAATGCTGAACACTGACATTAGAAATATGACAATTACATAAAATACAGTCCTTCCTTTATTTAAGTATTGTTTACTTTTTTTTAATTTAAATTGCATAATTTTTTACAAACAATATTTCTCTTTCGTAGGCTTTCTCTGTAATTTTGGGAGCATTTGGAGGAATAATGACCATTTTCTCGGTAAGAATACTCGGTAAGAGGTTTCTCACCCTATCCACGCTAATGATATGTTCAGTTTGCTATATATCTATTGGACTCATCGGGCTTCATTGTGAGTCGTTAAATCCGGTGAAATCATGGACCATATTAGTACTATTCCTTATTGCTACACTAGCGGCTTCCTTCGGTATCATGCCTATCGGATGGGTATTACTCGGAGAAGTTTTTCCAATTAAGTAAGTAAAAAACAAATATTCGTTTAGAAAACTGTTTCAACAAGCTATAGCATATATGTCAATTTATTGGAAATTTAATTATAAGTAAAATGTTTATACGTAAATATACTTTACTTTAGGTATTCTTCATATTATTTTTTCTTGTTTCAGGACAAAAAATATAACCTGCAGCGTTTGTTCAGTGTTATCCTTCATCATTACCTTTTTTTTCACAAAGTTTTATCTAGATTTCGAAAATCTAGTGGGATTTTACAACACTTTTACTTTATTTGGAGTTGGAGGACTTATAGGTTTTGTTTATTTTTATTTTTTCTTACCCGAAACTGAAAATAAAACGTTAAAGGAAATCGAAGAATTTTTTAAATAAAAACAGTCTAAAAGGCTTTTACGTCTTTGAATCAATATGATGTTCCTTACCCAATATTTGTATTTAAAAAAATTGATAAATGTAGCTAAGATATTCATTACTACTAATTAAATATTAGTAACTAGTCTATTATAGTGATACATAACTATTTTACAAAGTAAATATAACTTATTTTGATTATACCTATGAAGGTGTGGTACCATTTTTTATAACTTTTTATTTTTATTGTGTATAAAACATTTTGATGACTGGCTGTGACCAACAATAAAATATTATTTGTTGTACACATTATATTTGTTATAATTTAATTAGATATAATATTAATATATATTATAATAAATTGTTTTTTTTATTTTTATAAATACATTTTTTTTATGTTGAAACATTACATCGATACCATTTTTTATTATATACAAATAAGAATAGTATATTTATTACATTAGTAATGTAACTAAATTAATAATCATATCTACATTTTATCATAAATTATTGTTGCGTTTGTACTAGGATAATAAGCTTCTTTTCTTGACCTGTTTGTTCTATTATACTTAATGTAATTACAAAATTAAAATAATGATATGTATATTGTTTTATCATTTTAATTGGTAGTATTTATCTCAAATAAAAAATTCAAATTGATTTTTACTATAAATGAAAAACATATGATATATATCATGTATGGAAGTACAATTTTAAATAAAGTAAAACTAATGTCCGAAACCTTAAACTTTTTTATTTAATTCTATTCTTAATTTTTGTGATTATGCAGTGCTATTCAATGTCCTTGGATATTTATTATAAGTCGAAAAAGCACAAGCTTTTATTCGATTTGTGATTATTTATATTGTAATTTATAATGTATAAAATTTAATTAACTCCGTGCGCTGTGTCATAAAATAATAATAACGTCTCACTCTTAAATTTGTTCCCGAAAGCGAAACGTTCGTAAGGACTCCAAAATATATCCCGAAGCCGGTCCTTGACTATCACCCGAAACGCCTTGACCATTCTCACCGCAACGGTGGCGGCGGCGAGACGAGTCAAAACATAATCCGCATACTGGCGGATACTTATATACAGATCGGTGCAACACACTAGTGCATATTATCTGACGTTCTTTATTAATCTAGATTAAAACGATACTTGTTTACATTTTTTTTTGTTACAATGGGCAAAGCAACAGAATTAAAGTTAGAAGCGGAAATTACCAGAAACGAGTATGACTCGTTTAAATCGTCATTCGCTCAAGTAAGTTGAACCGCTTAATCATTATGTATGAATAATTTTAGTTACTTTAAATTTTCAAAGTTATGTTACATGTAATTGTAATTAAATGTAAGCCATAATATTTTCTTAAGTAGTTTTCAACATTTATATACTATGAGAGTAAAGAGGTATATTATATTATTACAAAACAAATTGATAGCATTTTAATAAACAACCAAAGTAAAAGTATATTTTGAAGATTGATGTGTAATTTGTATGTATTCATAGAACAACTTTGCTTTATTAAAACTTAGTCGTTTCAAGTATTTTATTTCGTTGCTATTACTTTAAAAAAGAATTGTTTTTTATGAAAGTTTAAAAAAATATAAAGTCTAATATATTCTTGACCTTTAATTTAAGGGTGTACAAAACTGTAGTTTATGGCCGTTTATCTTATATTTTATAAAATTTGAATAAAACTTTTATTTACTATTTACTAAGTATTTTTATATGTGAGTACGTTGTTTTTTATGTACATTTGTATACAGGTTTGAAAAAAAACATCAAATTAATCGAATACTCTTGGATTAAATTCATGCATAATAACATATGATATCACACCTAAAATACGTATTAATATCACATCCTAGTTTATATTAATTAGTATTATGGTTATATTTTTAAAGATTAAGGTCGATAATATGAACCCAAAAACTAATAGATTTATAATAATTGCTAGACATTTTTTCTAAGTTAATTAATTTAAAGTTTACGTTCTACTTTGCCCAAAAATACATTAGTGTGTTTATGTTCATTTGTTAATTTTTAACTTTATATTATTTCCTGGTTAAGTGTTTTGTTTCGCATCATAAAATACTATACTCGTAATTAATAACTATAATTATTAGCGCATACTCAAGGGCGTCAATCTTTAGAATTCCACGTGAGGAAGTGAAATTTGTTTTATAAACGTACGTTAACTGAGGAGGTTGACCGTAGTTACAAAAAATGTCCATCAATTAATGGTATTGTACTTGTCTTATGCTTCCACGAAGTGAATGTACCTTTCATAAGAAATTGACTACCCTTCCATTCTAATGGACACCTGTGATGATACTAAATAAACTCAATTCATCTTCCGGTTAATTTTCGTTTGGATTGATTAATTACGCCTTGTGCGCTGGACCTTGAGTACATCGCCATAAGCAATATACTAATATGAATGTCTAAAATTATTGAATTCGGAAATTATTGCTAAATTTCTTTTGATTTTGGATACAGACTATACGTCACTTTATACATAAGTAAAAGTTAAACGTACAGTCCAGTTAGTTCTAAAATCATACTATTGTAAATGTAGTTCTGTCCTTAAACTATATAATTAAATAATACAAAGGGACGGTTGTACATGCTGAGTACTAGTAGAAACGCTTAAGTGTATCCAGTTAGGTTTATACTTGGCGGCAGGTTTTGAACTCCTAAAGTTAAATGCGCACAATAGCATTGAAGTAGAAAGCCGGAACAGTAAGGAGCGTCAAGGATTTTGTTTAATCAAATACAATAATACAAGAAACCAGATTGATACCGACCTCATAAAGTGTATGATGAATGCCACAATGAATTACGATCGCACCGATTTACCGGGTTATAGTATTATTATGTAATAGCACGACTTAGCCCGAGGGGATAATAATACAATTGTTATTTATCTGGAAACTAAACTCTTAAAGAGACCATTCAAAATATAAACTTATTACGATTAAAATACCATACACGCGGTTTACTGTCCAATATTACTAATACTTACACATCATATCGACAAACGAGTCATTGAAAACAGAACGATCATCATTTTATTTAATTAATTAATAGTTTTCCATTATAAAATGTTAATGTTGTAGTAATAATTTGTTTTCATTTAATCATGACTATAACGTGAAAAATGTCTAAAATCTTTATTGCTATTAAAGCAAATTAACGTTTTCACCATTGTGAGTTAATGCTATTAAAATGGATTGGTATTGTTATATTCCTTTGTCTTTTTCTATAAACTTTCATTGATTCGTTCATTCATTGAAGTGTCAAATCAATTCGCTATGTACGTATTATATTATATTCGTATTACAATCTAAATATGTCTTAAGAGTATAATCTCAGATTTTAATGATTGTATAGAGAAGAACGTATTTTTACTTTTACTTCGTAATTTAACCAAGCAATAAAACACAGACAAGACAAATAAAGTTGATTTGACTCAATCGTTTTTATAATAATACTTAAGATTCATCTATATATTTCCGAAGAAAAGATATCAAATATAAAAAATACCTATATTTTTAGTTTTGTTTTACTATATCTTCTCCACTATTTGTGAAATTTTACAACATTTCAAATACAAATATGTTTAATGTGTAACTCCTAATTATAGGACTTAGAAATAGAATTAATTAATTTTAAATTGTGAATGTGCGAGTAGGATGTTGCTTAAACGGAAAATAATATTTTGTTGCAAAAACTGAAATTTAATTGAATTTGTGATAACCACATTTTATTGAATGATATTAGCTGTATAATGATTGTTTTAAAAAGTGTCCTTAGCTAAATATTGATTTGATAGAAGTTTTAATTAGTGGTTAGTGGTTACATTTATAAAATCTGGTTTTCACGGATGCAATTAAACTTTAGTTAGTGAAACACAATATGTTTTTTTTTTAGTGCAGATTAGTCAGTTTTCGTTACTTTAGATAAATTAAATATAATATTGCACACAGCTTACTACAACACACACGTCCTAATGCGTCTTTTCCTTTTATGTATTCCTTTTTTCCTTATGTTTTCCTTTTTTTATAATTTTGTACACATAATATTCCGTAGTCCTAATTTATTGTAACTTTTATCAATTTCCTGAGGTGTTAACTTAAGTCATTACTAGGTCCATTGATCTAGATTAATCATTGAAGATTTATTTGTTTGTAAATAAGGAAGGAACACTACATTTTCTAAAACAAGAATAATTCTAGCACTTGCGCAATCTACAAACTTAATACAATTATCTTTCTTTATGACGTCGCTGACAAAAAGCGGTCTAATTGCCCAAACACCTTGCTCATTGCTTGAACTCGCTAAGGACATTATGCAAAAGTCAAAACTAACCTAAACCTTTTTTAAAAAAAAAAACTTAAACCCAAGCCAAAATCGTTTATGAAGTCAAATCTGTGTTTAAAGATTATGTATTTGGTTTCAGATCGGTACGATTATCGTACAAAATGTAATCATGTTGGGCTTCGGCATGTCTCTGGCCATACCTACAGTAGTAATAGGATCACTGTTATCGGATGATGACGGATACGATGGCGGTGGTGGCAGCAGCACTGTAACGCTGTCAAAAAATGAAGCCTCGTGGTATGGCAGCGTGCTGCTCGTGTGTCATCCGACAGGCGGCCTTCTATCTGGCGTACTCCAGGAAATTATCGGCCGCAAATGGTGCATGGCCTTTGTCAGCTTGCCTCAGCTGATAGGCTGGTATGTCTTGTGGAAAGCCACAACCTCGCTTGACTTGTACGTCTCTTGCGTGGCACTCGGCCTTAGCATGGGATTGAGCGAGGCTCCCGTTCTCACATACGTAGGGGAGGCCGTTGAGCCTAAACTTCGAGGACCCCTGTCGTCCGTTTCCACATTTACTATCATGCTGGGATCGTTTGTAGCTTATCTCATGTCTACAGCTCTTCATTGGCGAACAATAGCCATGATTAATATGTCCGTACCCATAATTTCCTTCGTCGCCATCGTACTTCTAGTGAGTCCAATGAATAAGTATCATTAAACTGAATACATTTAAGTTTGTACTGAAGGTATAAGACGATAGAGGAAGACAGCTGTTATTTTTAGAGAAAATGTAGTATTCAAATTTAAGTTATTTGTGTTTGGGGTCAATTATGCAAGAAAATAAAATGGTTTAAGTTAAAAAATAGTATGAAATTTAATTGAATAAGGTAAAAAGAGGAACAAGTATTTTTAACATACTACAATTTATTAATTGCTATTGAAAACGTTATACATGTATGCATATATATAATATTTATTATAATTTTTATAATAAAACAAAATAGACAACCGAATCACCAATATGGTTACTGTCGAGGAATCGATCTAGCGAAGCAAAAAAGTCTTTGGCCTATCTGAGGGGATGTATTAGCACAGACCAAGTGGAAGAAGAGTTCTCCGAGCTATCCGTTTACGCGGGTTATAACAAATGTGCGGATCCCGAAGAGTATGGCGACTGCGGATGCGATCAGCGACGACTGTCCTACGTCAAATATCTGCAAATCAACACGACTGACGACGTAACCACCGGTAAGTACATATGTTATTAGTTATAGTAATTCGTGGTTGATACGAATATATCATAAACATATGGAATATTCGACAGTAAAAATAATAAACACAAGGCTCAATTGTTCAACAAGAACAGTGATTCATCAGAATTGTTTGTTTTGCAGAAGATCCTAATTACGCCAAACGCTCGGCCGGGATCTCATGGATGGACTCTTTTAAACAATTTTGGTCTCCAGAATTATACCGACCATTTGCGTTCATCATGTTGTTCTTTTTCTTTTGGTGTTTCGCCACGTTTATTCCGGCCAAGCCATATTTGATTAGCGTTTTTGCGGACATTGGACTACCGTGCACCGCTCACTGGACATTGGTAAGTGTCCGGGACCAGTCTTTGTTTATCTCTCCATCTACAAATCGTTCGCGTGTTTCAATATTGGTGATATGATTAATCTATCTTTTAAATCTGAACCGATTATCATCCTCGAAATGTGTCTTCCTCTATAATCTCTAATCCTCTTTATCATTGTATTATATTCCCTTCAGTGTCGTGTCTTCTTTATTGTTATCGAACAATACAGGTATAATAACATCATGCATATATTAATCATAATATCTACAAAGTACCAACCGATAAAAGTAAATGTGTTTCATTATCATGGACTATATCGTATAACACGTCATGTATGATAACAAAATGTGTACATAAGACTAATTAATCGTTGAAAATATTTATATTTTTATACTTACCGGTTAAGATTTTTAAATTTAATTAAAATTATTTTTTCTTTCCAGGTTTACACTTCCGTTTTAACACTGGTGGGCACCCTGTTGAACGTGCTTACCGTCGCTAAATTCGGCAAACGCCCCATAACTTTAGTGTCGATGACTCTGTGCGCTTCCTCAATGTTGGGCATAGGTTTTTACTTGGTAGGCGTTAATCACTTTTCGTTGGTATGCCCGTGGATACCCATGTTACTACTGAACACATTGTTCTTTTTTTCCGGTTACGGCGTGTTCCCCATACCATGGATGTTGGTCAGCGAAATTTACCCAACTAAGTAAGTCTAAATTTATTAGCTATAAAATATGAATACGGGTTTTTAAATAGTATGCCTTGTTCTAAATAAAAACAAAATCAACCAAGCATTTACACATCTATTAATAATTTATTTAAGATTAAACAAAAAAAAGCCAGGACAGTGGGGTCAAGGAAATCGGAGACAGGATTCCTCTACCCCCCATACAGGAATAATTTGAAATTTGAAATAAAGTGCTTAAGTTGCGAATCTATAGATAGTAAAAATATTAAATATCGTTGAAAGTGTTGTAAAAGTAATATTGGGCTTAAATTTGTACTTCTACTATTTAGGCGAATACGATTAGGATTGATTGTCAGTCTGTCATAATAATTTTTACCTTGGTTACCCATAATATCATAATCGACAATAAAATGAAAATGATTTTCAGATACTTTTTTCCTGTTGATTCATTTCATATATCAACCGAAAAATAAAAACGCCACGTGTGTGATTTTTCTTTTTTGGGGAGTTCTTGTCCTTAATAAAAAAGTTAGACTACAGATTTTTGAAAAAAATTGTGTTTGATATATCTCCATTATATCTTTGACCTTACCTACCTTCAGTCTAATTTTCAGATCTCAAATCACAAAACTACGCCCAAAAAAGTAAAATAAAGAAAAAGTTTCTCTCTTCTGGAGGAAAGGATCAATGGTATTTTTTTGAGCTTTTACGGTTTCTAATCTACACAGGCTTTCTACATGAAGAAATCAGTTCAGCTGTTTAGGAAATATTGTGGGTCCAGATACAAAAATGGAAAAATTAAAAAAAAATTACATTATAAAAACAATACCGCATCGAAGCTACAACAAAACAAATAACTTGCTCATAAAATAAGCGCTGATTTAATTTCATTTGTATTTGCAGGGGTCGAGGAATTGTGAGCGGTTTAACGGCAGCCATGGCGTTCTCGATGTCGTTCGTTTTCACCAAGTCGTTTTTACAGACCCAAGCTTTGCTCACCCTGCCAGGACTATTTGTTACCTACGGGGCTGTCACTCTGATCGGCACTTTATATTTGTACGCTTGCATGCCCGAGACGGAAAATAAGACTTTGCAAGAAATAGAAAAATTCTTTATCGGAGATTTGGACAGCCACGACAACGATTGAAGTGCACGGCTCATTTTAGAGTTTAATTTATTCCTAACTATGATACTTGAACATCGACTTGTTTAGTACTTCTTTTTGAGTACCTGCGGTTTCGTTAGTTAATTTATTGAACAACTATTATTTATTTATTTATTTATTTATTTATTTCCACAACATAAGCTATAAGGTACCTAAATAGGTACAAAATATAATATAAAACTGCAGCCTTAACAGAAGTTATTGTGTATATTTTTAAGACTGTCTAAACTATTTAATGAGTAAATAAACTGTATCGGATATAGATGATGATATTAAATTTGCGAGTAATCTGTTATTTAATAAATATTGTAGGCACACGAAGATGACGACGTTCTTGAAACCGATATTAAGCATAAATTTAACCCTTTCGTTACTGACATACTTGTACGAGGATTTAACTTTAAAATTTTTTAAAAATGTAATAAAATAAACAACGTACTATCATTATCAAACATGTCTTTAAACACAAGTTCTTGTATAGATTGATGATAAAAAAATCGACACAGCTATATTGATAATCAATATCAGTCCAATACGTAAAAAAATTGTTGATTATTTTTTTGAAAAAAAAAAATTCCCAGGAACGAAAGGGTTAAAAAAAGGTACAGGCAGTACAATAAAGTTGCTAGTTAGCCATCCCCGAATTCGCGTTAAAGCATTTTCTTAAATGTAATTTTGTTACTACATCCATGTAAGCTACTGGCGGCAACGATACCACTGTGCTGGATTTCCACTATACCTACTGATTTTTATTTCACTATTTTTTTGGTTTAGTTGTTTACACCTTAATAGTTCAAATATTATATTTGTACTACCTTAATTGTTCGTAAAAATGACGGTTATAAATTTAGTATTTTTAAAAAATCGTCTACACTCAGCTCCGTAAATGCATACAAAATACTTCTAAGGAGTAAGGTATAGGCAAATTTTCTGATTGTGGATTAATATATTATAGGCGCCAAATGATACGGTCGTTTTCAAGTGGTTGGGTGTAGCGAATAAAAAGGGCGTAAAATAACATTTCATACAAATATTATGCAAAAAAAATATTTTTTTTTTTGCTTAACGATTTTATAATAATTAATTTACATAAAAATAATAACAAATTATACTAATCAATAATAAATTAGCTAAACTGAGTTAAAATTACATTTTTATCATTGATGTTTCTTAATAATTGGAGGTGTGACTGGAGCAACTTTGCATGTTTACATTTTTTCATGGGAGCTTTTTTAGTTTTTTTGCTTCATAAACTAATAAAGGATACATTCTTCACTATTTATCGGTTTATTTGAAAACTAACTCTTATGTATTCTATCCAGTTGGTTTCAAAGAACTTTAACTCACCAAAAAATTATCATTAATAAATCAATTCAAACAAACTTATAATTTTAATTTTAATAAGAATAATAATAATTATTGTTTCCATTATTATTGATTATTATTATTTAAAACGTCATGAGTAACGTCACTCCACTCGTAAACGTAATACTAACGCTATACATAATAATAATCTATTTATAATCCGTTGTGTTTTAACCGCTAAACAATGTTTTACGCAGAGACATATTTTTAATAAAATAAGAGCTATAAACCGCGTTTGGCTGATAACATCATATTTTTTTATCATTGATGCTAAATGCTAATTACGTGTAAAGAAAACCTAGACGACGTCATACTCGACAGTTGACTCGCATTAATCGCACAACCCAACGTCACCACTTGTTGCGTATTAAATATGTTTTTGTTTTTGCCAAAAATAATGTTGTTGCGGCCGATGGTCAAGATGAAAATCCATTGTAGTCAAATACCAAAACTGACAAAAAATGTCAATACCAAATTCCAAATAGTTTTTCTTCTTATTATTATTTTTAAGAACACTTATAAATTATATTTTACGATTATTAAAATAAAGACTAGTGTATTGTTGAGCGGCAGTTGTTAAATCGGGTAATTACATATTATATAGTGTTCATATCGTAGACCATAAACTATATTTCAACTTTATATACTATACCCAATATAGCTTTCAAAGTACACATTTTTATAGTTGTTGAGTCACTCTTTAGGTTTTTTTATAATAAAAACCAATTTTGTTGACAGATTTGTTTTATTTCATGTTATAAATAAACGTAAGATATATCTTCGGTCTGATTTTCAGTTCTTGAGTTCTAAAGATGCGACTAAAAAATAAAATTTAAAAAAAAAACTTGTGGGTAGGAGGATAACTAATAATTGTTTTTACAAATTTCGACTCAAACTGACTAATTTTCGCCAAGTTATAGAAAATTAAACAATCTGTCAAATTTGTTTTCTGATTTTGGGGTGAACAAGGTGATATTTTCAATAAAATAAAAACAATAGACATACTGATACTACTTGAGTAGTTCGGTCTACAGGAAAAAGTTATCGTGACTTCAGACATAAAACAAATATAATTATAAAACAATACCTATTATTTAGCTCCACATCGAAGTTAAAATTAATCAAAATGTTAATATTTTTCATTTATGTTAATTGACATTAGACAAATATAAAAGTAAAAAAAAAAACATAAGATTTTGTTTGAATTAATTATAATTTATTAATAAAATAAATTTAGAAATGTTTACTGAATTAAGATATTAATTTAGGTTAATTCCTATCTATTGGAAATTATGTCATCTTTAAATGACATTTAAATAAATAAGTAGTGGCCGTAATAACTAAAAAAAAAAAACAATAGCTCTAATTAATATATTCAATAACTACAAATAAAAAACTTAAATGGATTAAAAGCCTAGGATAAATGAGTCCATTACCCACGTTATGGATCGAATATGTTGGATTGGATATAGGACTGAACAAGTGCCCATAACGCCCGTTAACTGCATAACGCATTGAACTTTTGTGTTGTGTGGGCCAATTATCAGACTGAGTTAAGGCTGTTGTGTTAATAACTAAATATAGCCTATAAATATTATGATGTTTACTCGAAAGTTATTAAATGTAACGTTTACACCTATAGACAGAGTTGTGCGAATTATTCGAATATTTTTAGAAAAAATGTGTTATCTAGATGATTAATTATGTAACATTTTATTCGAATAATGCACAACTCTACCTATAGATAAATCGAGTAGTCAATTATTGTAAGTCTATAAACTAAAGTTCAAACATATCTCATCGAAGAATAAGTTAATTCGCTTACTATAGACTATTGTTTTCATAGCATTCCAAAGTGTTTTCATTGCAATTACATACAACAACTTCACGGCCTCGCAAAGTTTTACAGTGTTGCATCAAGAATTATTTTTCAGAGAAACTTTTAAAAAAAAGAAACTGTTTAAAAATAAATAGCGGGTGTTTTGTTTTTTTTACTAATATAATAGAACAACAATTTTTTTGAGTTTGAATTGAAATATTATTTTTCGGGAAAAGGGATTTATTTTTGTAATATTAAAGTTATAAAGTAAAAAAAAATGTCCAATACAGATTAAGAATTGTTTGTGTTGTGACCTAATTTTGGATTGTAAGCGGCTGGGTACAATTAGACTTATTTGGAACGACTTTTAAGTTTTAAGAGTTTGATTATTTCATATGTCTTAAATATAAACGAATGTCAGAAAACAATGTCGACGTACAATGTTGGACTTTACTACCAAGTTCTAAAAAATCAACGTGTCCGTCATATTGGGTAATACGTTAAGTGTTACTTAACCGGTTGAGTAAAAATGTTCAACATGATTCATCTACCACAGTACTTGCCCGGTTTCCTTTAACGTGATTAACTTTTGCATTGTCGCAGATGTTTAACAAATAATGTTTACATTAATATGTAATTTTTTATCATTTATGAAATTTATCTCATACTTTATGCAATACCGTTAGCAATATTATGCACGGTCGACGTTTATTTTTCTCGGTTTGAACTTAATCTTACGTGTCATTTTTCGACCTTTGTCCCTGAATTAGATAATGATAAATAATAATCAACGTTTTCATCACCGACCGATCGTAAAACGTACGGTAGTCCTCGCACGCAGCTCAAACTGCTCGCAGCATCGCGAAGGTAAACATTGTAAATCGTATAACTTGTATAGTTACCTATATGTGTGTATGTGTGCGCGTACGTTTACTTTGTATAAGGTTCGTTGCTTATTTTTTTCTGGCAAACAATAAATAATACAAATTAGTAAAAATTAAAATAATAATAATAATGAAACCGGCAAGCACGCGCTATGTAACGTTTTAATGAATTAAACATTCAGTTAACCGACTAGTGTCCGGCTGTTACTTATTCGTTTGTTGAACTCAAGAGCATTCGGTGTACGGTGATACTGTTTTATCGGACGAAAAAAACGACCGTTCGGATTGCGGCGGGTTCTACGACAAAAAGGAAGATCTGAACAAAAAAAAAATCTCTCCCCCCAAAAAAGAAGCAGACAAAATGTTCAACCATACCGGAAATCTGCTTTTACAGACTATGCTGTACTTGGCGCAGACGGACAACATAACGTTCCCGGCAAATTACACAGACAGCGTGAACAACATTACCCTAGAAGGCGACAGTGAGTACAATAATTATGTTTACACAGTACCCTTGCAATAATATGGATAGAACGCCCACTGACTAAACGAGTAGATTATGAGTCTACCCAGTAGAGATCAGTCCGGTCCCGGGCTAACCCAAACCGGACCGCAAAAGCCCGGGCTGTTTTCCGGGTTGATCCGGGTTGATTATTCGGGGTTTAGTAAAAAAATGGCAATGGTCCGATCCGGGCTTGACAAATTTTTTTAGTAAAATCAAATAATGCAATATTTATACCATTAAGGTATAAAAAAAAGATCTTTTAGTCAAGTATTACTTATAGGAAGTCCGGACTTTTGCGATCCGATTACTACCTAGGTAGTATACAGTTTATTTATTTTCTAACAATCACATTATTATATTTGTAATTGGTAATGAATTATGTTTTCTAGTTAAAAAGTATTACAGAAATGTTTACGCTAAACTCTTAAAGGGGAGAAGTTAAGTTTATGTTACTTTATGCTTTCCTATAATGAAATGAAATTTACCATCATCATTTAAGACAACCGTCCAACAAACCGCTCGGTCGAAGTTTAAAATCACATTTTTTCATTTACATACAATAGTGTTACCGCGAAAATATAATGTTTGCAGGCCCCAAAAAAGGTTTTTTCGATAGTAGTCGCATTATTTACGGTTGTTTAGATCACAGTAACCTAGTGATCTAAGTGGCAGCTGATAGCCGGTAACGAGTGAATAGCCTTTGGTCATAAACAAGTAACAACATTTTGATAAAGCGTCTGATATAAATATTACAATACTAACGTTATAATTATAGAATATTAAATAATATTACTATATATATATATATAATACAGGCTTTTTTTTACATCTATTAAATCAATAATATACAATATATACACTATAATTTCACTATTGATATTTGATAGTATCGAATATTCATAAATATTGTAACGCCGATATTAGTTAATGCAATGTCAAATACGTCTGTATATCGGATTACAATGTTTGAAAATCGGAATCTACATTTAAAAATAAAAATGCTGTTCTATCGTAGAGTTTAATTTTAAACTATGTACCTAACGTAACTTTATATCTAATATGACGTGTAATGTGTGTGTGTGTATGTACATTTCAAGAAATCACAGAAGTAATCACTAACACGATGTGTAAGTCACAGCGCGAGACACGGTAGCCGATAGGCTCAGAGTCCGAAATTCGTTAACTGCCGCTTTTGAGTCGAACGTGGCCTACATATAATACTAAAATCTATATAACTATTGTTATTTGTTTCACAACAAACCTAAATGTACTTGTGGACTATTACTTGCGTTTATTACCGTTTTTCGCGAGTCATCGATCCAAATGTTTAAGTATAACAATTCTAATTTAAATACGAATCGCATGTAACACTTTAATTTGTTGATTGTAAATAACGCCACGTTGTTTGTCCGGTACAAAAATAGTACATCTGCACAAACAGTACCGACCCAGGAGAATTTTACTGTTCTTCCCTTAGCGTGTCCGCTTGCTTTGTTCTCCGTTTTTAACTTAAACCAATAATGTAATAACTCCGATTATTTGTACACAGAATTGACTTGCTTTCAAAGTTTAAGCAAGGGTCCTTATTGACTGAATTGACAAAACAAAAATAAAAGGAAAATAAAATAGTTAAACGAATAAGAAAGATTAGTATTATAGTGGAGGGTCTTTTAAGTAGAGGTTACGGTTATACGGGTATTAAAATACACAATTAAGTAAATACCCGTGAAAATAAGAAACCAGAGATTGGACTGAAATTTGAGTTTCTGATGATTCCCGTTATCCCATACCTGAGAAGGAAAAAATTGAGCTTAGCAAATGAAGGGCACAGGGGAAAAACGGTAGTAGTCACATTATGAAAATTTTAGAGTATAGCAAAAACAAAGTTCGTGAATTCCTCTCCCTCTTACATAAGAACTAAAATAATCACATTAAATGCTATTCTAATAAAAAAATGTATTTATTTAAACAATCTATTGACATAAATAAAAAAAAATAATGGCATATAATAAAAAAAACTTCCCCTGTGCCCTTCAAATATTAACCGAAGACAGAGAATCAACCACATACCGGCGCATGTGGTCTATCTAATTTGGGTTAGATTTATACTAATAAGCGCAGTTCTTCAATCTAAAATCGACTTTTATCCTACACTAGGTAAAATTTAAATACCAAAAATCAAGCATCTATAATAATTCTATTACAGTTTAGTCATCAGTCCAACTTAAATACAAAGTTATAGTAACACTAATAGTTATAGTTACACTTGTAAGTTTAATCTTTACATATTTACAGTAGAAAATATATTGAATTGTATAATATAATAAGATACATTAATAAAACGTATACGGTCTTGTTAGCCATTAAATAATGGCATACGGGAGTTGATGAATGGCGTATTATTAATTCTGCTATACTAATTTGTTTTTAGACGTTGAAGTGAAGTGCTATGGCGAGTACGGGTGTTTTTCGGTTGTCGGCTTGTGGCAGGACACCACGAGACCGGTAAACGTATTTCCGGAAAGACCGGAAAAGGTCTCACCCCGATATTGTTTGCACACTCGCAGAAATCGTCAGAACTGTCAGTGGTTGAACCACAAAGACCCTAGCTCGATTTACGGGTCCAATATGATACCGTCTATGCCCACGTACTTTATTACTCACGGGTTCTTAGAGGGTGGCGATCGACCCTGGTTGAAGGAAATCGCCAAGCAAATATTGAACAGGAACGATGCCAACGTCATCATCATCGACTGGGAAGGAGGATCCAGCCCGCCGTACACTCAAGCTGTAGCTAACATACGACTTGTCGGCCGGATAACCGCTCATCTCATCAATGTCATATGGGTAAGCGACCAAGTCAAAAGTTGTTACTCGAAGGAATTGGTCCAGTATAAAAAAGTAACAGTGTATACAGACAAAAAAAAAAGCCCACATCATTGTAAAACCAATAGCATCGCTGATCCGCATCAAAGTTAAAAACTACAGAAAATACTAAAATATTACAAATTATTTACTTTTTTTTGCCTAGGCCTTAGGAGACATTAGGTTAAATCCATACTAACACTAAGTATCTTCTGAATTCCAATGTTGATCGTCCTTGGATTTTCATTATGATAGATATTCATTATGATAATCTCTCAGCTCATTATTGTAGATCTTTATGTTATTTTATTCTAAAAAATTAACCTATTGGTAATTACATACGTAGGGCTAGCCATGATTAACTCTTGCTGTGTTTTCAGTACTTTTTAAGAACTACATTTGTGTATTCATTTTTAACCGTTTTCAGTATGCTGTATGTTTTAACCATATTTAACACCTCTACTGCATGACCGAGATGCAGATTTTAATTAGCGAATGGCACCATTTTACTATTTTTCGTTGTCTAATCGTCTGTTGATAATGAACTCATTTAGAAAGAGCTGGGAATACACGCGACCAACATCCATCTAGTTGGACACAGTCTTGGCTCACATCTGTCCGGCTACGTGGGCAGCGTTTTGCAGTCCAACTTCGGTTTAACTCTGGGCAGGATAACCGGCTTAGATCCGGCGGAACCGCACTTCAGCCAAACCGACCCTATTGTCCGACTGGATCCTTCGGACGCCCTTTACGTGGATATTATACATACGGATTCGCAACCCTTTATCAAGGGCGGTGAACTAGGTAAATAGTTGTTATAGTTCGTCCAGAAATGTATAGGAAGTCGTCATTCATGTAACATAATAGTAAACACAAAATGTTTACCGTTTAATTTCATTGCGGAAACGACGAGTTTTTATGCAATCATAAAACAACAATAAATAATATTACAACTGAATGTTGTCAGAATTTGAACACCTATCCTATTTAAAATAGCTTGACCGTCCTCGTGTTTAAAATTTACGCACGAGACAGTGTTTCATACTATTGTGTACTATTTTGTCTTGATGTGTAAACGATAGCCGTTTGTTAAAATTGTCAATAAACAAAATACAGCTGCATACAATAACATAATACTAGTAATTTTCCTTTTACTATATTATGCTGTTTCGATATCAACGATTGTATTAAACTTTGACAATTAAGTAACTACAACCAAATTAAATTATTCAAATGTTAAATATTATTACAATTCGGTTTGTTAGATTTCATCCATTCATAGCTTAGGCCTTAAGTTCTTGTTTCCGATTATTTTCGAGCAAAGTTTTATAAAAACTTCAATTTGGAAACCGACTGTATTTGAACTATGATTTAAAAATTTGTTTTTGGCGTTTTCAGGTTTGGGAATGAGTCAACCGTTAGGTCATCTGGATTTTTATCCCAATGGCGGGGAAAACCAACCTGGGTGCGATCAGGGCATGATGAAGTACATATCTCGCGAAAACGGAAGTTTCTACCAGGGCATGAGAAGATTTTTGGCTTGCAACCACGTCAGAGCGCACGAGTTTTTCAATGAATCGATCAACTCGGTGTGCAACTTCATAGCCATTGAATGCGATTCGTACGAAGATTTTTTGAATGGAGAATGTTTCTCATGCCTCAGCGAATCGGTAAGTACCTTTTTGCAAATGATAAGTGATTCCATACATGTGTATTGAACGGTATAATGTCTGTAGAACCCAGAAGGAAGAGTATGTGCCGAAATGGGAATGCGGTCTTTAGCGCATTGGAGAAAACATGCGCCGGCGATTGCCGCTGTCGACGCTAACACAATGCCACACCTGCGGTTGTACACTATCACCAACGACGAAGCACCTTATTGCTGTAAGTGCTTTCATGGATATGTTTAAAAATGGCCATTGACACAAATTATAATGACCATCTTAATATTACCTCTTACCGTTATGACTTAACTATATAAAAAAAAAAGATGTAATCAATTAGTTTCGCGTTGTCCTCCCGATTCTAAACAATTTTTGACCATAGTCCTTTGTTCACCACCCTTTCGAGAGCGATTTGTCATTCTAATACTCAGAGAACCCAAAATCAAAAAAAGATTAAGTATGAAGAGCTACGTAGCCGTTAGGACTATTTTTTATCACGAGGAAAAGTATATAGATGTTCACTTTTGTTGAATTTATGACTATAAAGTATCATGTTCTTTAACATATAATTTATACGACAGAACACTGAGAAAATGACAGTTTATTTGACACTGAAAAAATGATAGTTTTACGGTTTTTTTTTTTGTGTCTAAACGTGAATCCCCTAAAACTCTATGACCGCTTGGTCGATTTCTTCATCATACCTACTCGGTTCAAAATAAGAAGCGGCGGCTATCCGAAAGCAACGTAAAACCCCGGATTTCAGGTAGCCGCTGAAGTCGCTTCTTATTTTGAACAGAGTATACATATATTGATCAGAAACCGTTATAACCCTCAATTTTTTGGTGGAATTCTTTAAGAAAGCACTATAGATTAACAGTCAAAACCTCTCAAAATACAAAATAAACACAGTTTTGGCTCCATTTTTACTGTTGATTAAAATATGTACCATCTAAAAATTCGCATCGAAATGTTTTCTTTAAATTACTTTTATCACCTCAGTAATTTAATAAAAATATACAGACCTTTGACTGCCCTGACCCCACTATGATCAGCCTGGATCCAAGATTATTTTAATTACTTTTACAATGGAAATTTGTATGAATCATTTGGATAATCGATGAGACAGGCGTCACTAAATATTTTATTAATTCAATCAAAAAGGTGTTTTTTGAACCATTATCAGATCAAAATGAGCACTTGGATTTTGAACAAAATCTAGAGCATAAAAGCACCTATTAATATTAAAAAGCGCCTATCATATTATAATTGGCTTTTATTTTTTAACTTGGTAATCTATACCAATATATTTACTAACCAATAGATACGCGGAGTTTAAATCTACGCAAAAACGTATCAATTAATAAAACGCTGAACGAGTTTAATAATAATTTTGTAATGTTTGTAATGATCAATTTCCAGCGTTTTTATACCGGGTGACGTTAACGTTAGCGGATTCTCAAGTGAGTAGAGACCACGGTGGCGAAATAGGACATTTCTTCGTGCAACTGGAAGGCACCAAAGCCAAATCAAAAATGTTAAACGTATTCAAGTGAGTCTATAAAAAAATCACAAAAAATGGCAACTTTAAAATTATAATTATTATTGCATGTTTTCCAATTGGTTTAGAGAACAACATTTCAAACCGGGTAGCGTTCATCGACGGGTATTCGGATCCATACAGGTGGGAGACATTAAATCCGTGTTGCTCTTGTGGAACCATTCGACCACGATGAATATATTGACTTGGCGATTCGAAGCTCCTTTGGTATACGTCGAGTCGCTCACTATTGAAACGTTTAACGGAGGCCAAAAGTGAGTATTGAGACCTAGTTATGCGAATTATTGCCAAAAATCGTTTCCTCATTTTAATATCCTTTTTTAAAAGAGGTCAATTTTTGGACGTTTTGGACCTAAAAAACCTGACAAAATTACGCCTATTTAGGATGGTTGGAAGATGGAAGGCTTATTGCGGGATTCGAATTTTGATACTTCAATTAAAATTGTGTTTAAATCCTATTTGAACTTCTAAAATTTTCCGTATTTATTGGCTTGTTTAAGTAAATGAAATAGTTATTCAAAAATCGACTTCTACAATAACCTGGGAAAAGTTCGATTCACTAAACAGTTATTTTTTGCAGAATTAAAATCCGATCATTGTAAGTAGGCGTAGTTTTTTCAGGTTTTTAGGTCTAAAATTGGTTTCTTTTAGAATTTAACAAAATGGCTTTTACTTGTAGAAAAAATTGTATCATTTAAAATTTATATCCTGAACCTTATACAAATTAATCTGAATATAAACTGACACGGTCGAAAATGCATTGTCAAAAGTTTCCTTATAATTAAAAATTGTTTGTTAGATAAAAAAAAGATTATTTAAGTGTTCATTGCTATAAAATAATTGATTACGTATCGCATAATAAAATGTTGAACTTTGTGACATTTCGTCCGAAACTTCTACATTAACAGGAATATTTGTATGTCTACGACATTTCTCCTTAATAAAAGAAATTATTGATAATACATTTAGAAAAAAGGATTTGGATGGCGGGGTGATATATCACCATGATTACCCCATGTAAATACGCCACTGTTATTTATTATGTAATGAAATTTGATCTTTCAAATTTCGCTGATAATTCACTAAAACTATTTGAATATTTTTAGCAGATCAATTTGTCCATCATATACCATTAAAGAAATAGTCCTGGAGGAGGGGGGGAGGTGTACATACTTTTAAACATTTGCTTGTCCTATACAACCATTTTAACTCAGTGGGGGGTTGAGTAATCCCTCAAAAATATAAAAATTATTTTAACTATTTATTGCAAACGTGGAAAATTCAAACTTGAAAACCTTATTTGTTTTGCCGATTTTAAATTAAAAAGAAAGAAAAACGTAAGCGATGTTAATCGGTTATCCCATTTATAGTAAAAAACTTTGTACGAGTTCCGATCTAAATTCTAAAAAATCGTGTACATCAAGAAAATATTTACTATCTTAAATCCGAGTCGATATTCAATTAATAATCGTTTATTATTTTTATATTAATTATAATAGAATTCAACTATGTCCACCGAAAGCGGTACCACTAGAAGCTGGACTGTCATTCAGGATGTCGCCGTGTTCCAGCTAATAGATCAATGAGCAGTACCAAAGTTATACACACTGAATAGAAATATTGTGTGACACAGCAGGAGGAAATCAGCTAGAAAATGTTTAAGAAAACACCTAAGGTCTCATTTTATCATCTTGTAATTGTATTTATTGTATCAAAGTCATGTGTATACTTTTTATAATTTGTTTATGTATAAATCAGATCACTCGGTCAACCATTGTGCCCTTTTATGTCAATCATATAATATTTTTATTACAATATTAAACTTAGTGATTTAAAGATAAAACGTGGTAATGTCATATATTATAGCACTAAGAAGAAAATTAGGTACATGAAGTTTTTTATGCTTAATGTGTACTTAATTATAGTTTTTATTTTTTTAATGCGAGAACATGTTAAGTTACAGAGTTTATATTAATATTATAACTTAATTAGTTATCTGATTTTTTTTTTATCAATAGAGGCTGTTTTTGATGACTGTACAAACAACTATAAATCCATAAAATCTTATAATACATAATAATAATAATAATCAAAATTTGATTATTGTCATAAATAAATAACATAATATGTAATTAATATAATTAAATTTGTAGATATAAAGTAATTTCCTGTTTATTTGAAAATAAGTACCTATTTGTCGTGCGTGTTTGATTACAAAACACAATACAGAACAATCAAATATACAATTAATTAATTTTTCGTAAAATACTCAACACATTATTAAAAATTTAAACAAAATAATAATTATCACTAATTATACTTGTAATCATAACTATTACCTACTTACAAATAATTATAAATTGTTATTTTGTGCTTTCAAAAGTATAAATTATATCACCCTATATATATATATATATATATATATATATATATAAATATATTGTTATTTATATCAATAAATAAAAAAAATGTTGGTTAACGTACATTGGTAACCTGTAACGCATTAATAGTTCGAGTACATGTTTAAGTTAGTTTGACATAAAAACTGCGTCTTTTTATTCTGTCGCTCATTGTCTCTTCGCATCTACTGTTGGTTAGTGTTACGGGGATCCAATCTAGAGGTAACATTGTCGACGAACAATTTCCTTCTTTTGACATGGTTCTGGTACTTGAAGATTCTGAAATTTCTTCTTCGCTATTGTCGAGTGTGCTGTTCGATTTCATCAGGGTCTTGCAATTGTTAGTTCTCGAACCAGAAATCGAAGTTGATGACAAAGACCTTGGTTGATTTTCAGAGAGACTTTTGAGTGAATACGATTTTGACAATACACTGTTGTTGTACGGCACATCAAACGAGGATTTATCAGAACGATGATTGACTAGAGAGTAAGGACTTACGCTTCGAGAACCAGTGATTTTCTGTACTGGACAATCAAGTACGCGTGCCTGGACTACTTCTGGCGTGAGCGGCTTGACAGCCTTTGAAGATTTGTTGTGACAGCTCAATGATCTCGATAGTTGTCTGGGCAACGAACTAGTAGTGTTTTGGCGATATTTCTCTAATATTGTATCAACTCGTTTCTGACGTTCTTTGTTGTCAGTAATGTTACACAAGAGAGTGTGTTTAGGTATTTTCGATGAATATTCATTAGGTCTTTCTAAAACACGGGGAAGAATTTGTTTGTACACTGGTGGTTTCATCGGAGTATGAGTCCTTTTATCATTATTTGTAAATAATTCTGAAAAAAATGCACATAGTAATAAGTACACACAAATCATCATATTTGCCAATAATAGTAATAACATTCTATTTTATGTTCATTAAAACACTTATTTAAATCAAATGTAGCATCGTTGTTAAAAATTATTGGTTACAGCCAAAAATATGAATGTATTATTAAGTAATACCATTCATTTTTGTACAAAATCATTAAATTGATTTATTAAAAACACATGTTAACTAGTTTCACAGATTTTCTTGTTTGTATATTTCTATTTAATACATTATAAAAATATCCATTTCAGTTTTAAAAATTGTAAATATAAAAAATGATATTTATGATATTTATTCCCAATGGACAAATATCAGCAAATAACAACAATGCTGAACACTTTAATATTTTATAGAACATAAACAACAATTATTATTAAAAAAATAAAAAATAAATTGTTAGTTACACTAAAAAGAGCTAGAGAGTGAGAGAGAGAGAGTATCGTACCTATAAGTTTGTGGTATGGGTAATGTGTAAAATTTTGTTTTGGTTTAGATTACGGACAGGCAGAAGGAAGTATCATTATTTACTCGTCTTGTACGACGCGTGGCACATGCACCGTCACATTGGCTGCAACAAAATAAATGAACACACACATGCAATTTTTCTATCAAAATCTTATAATTTTTTTGTCAATGAGAATATATATTTTTTTTAATTAGTTAAACCAATGACAAAAGATACCAACATAAAAACACACAAATTAACTATGTTTATAAGACAATATTTTCTTTGAAAATATAACTGAATAATGTGTTTAAAAGAAATTAATGATTCACTAATTAATACTTTGAATTTAAATGTAAAATGAAATGTATTTATTTTTAATTTTTTTTTTTATTCATACAAAAAATAGATAAATTTAAATAAATGTTTTTAAGTGCATGACTAAATGTCATGTTTCAGCATATTTTTGTTATATATTTAACGGTCTCAACTAAATCAGTAACATATTATAATATTATTTTGGATGAGGGCCAGAAATGTTTTATGAGAACTCACTCACCCATTTACCTCTCTTGAACAAGACCCGACAATGGCCCCTGGATAGCAACAACACAATTTGAATAATTATACTTATATATCAAGCCCAAATAACTATTGAGTAATTTTGAAATGTAAAATAAAAAATATATACATAAATGACAAAAAAAAAAAAAGAGAAATAAGAAGAAAATTAGTAACTAAATATTATTAAATTAATGTTTCAAATAACATAATACTTAGGCTCTATATTTGTCGTATTGTCTACCAGTTAACAAAGTATTTACAAACACAAACAAAAAAATTAAACCAAACATAAAAGAAGATATGTCTAAGAGTACAAGATTTTATTTTAAAGCTACATATTTGGAGAAAAAAACATGGGTAGTAGTATAATAATTTTATCTGAGCAAATAATGGAATAATACTAAAAAAATTGAATTAGATCGATTTATTTAGTTTTTTTTATTACTAAAAAAAAAAAATGATTTAATTTTACTATTACTTCAACAAAATATTAACTAGCCAAATACAACTTAAAAATAACAATCCATTTGTCGATTGAAACTAAAACGTAATGATTAATTTAGAATTTAGATGTATATTTTATATACTTCTTAGTGACATTTTATATAAGTTGCTTTTAAAAAAAAATAATTATTAGATACCCTATACTACAAATAGGCTTGTGTGAGAAAATAATACTCTTAATTTATAGCTAGTTACTGATAAAAACATTGTTAAATTGATTAAAGTATTACCCACTTTTAATTATTAATAGGTCTACATGGTTTTGTGAAGAAAATTGTAATAAATATTAATACCTACAGTTAGATTTTGTTGACTTAACAAAGTAACATTTAATGTTATTTTATAATAATATTCCTAATAGTCTAATATTTAATGCTACTGCCACAAAAACACAAATTACAATTATTGTAGCTAATAGAGTTGCCAAATATTGTACTATGTATATTTTTAAGGTTTTTTTTTTTTGTATTAAGATTTATAAATAAGTAATAAAACAACAACTAGTTGAAGCTCATCGATTTTTAATAGTGTTAAAGATTACCTCTAGCAAAACCATCAGTCGGTCTTTGGTCTTGAGGAGCCGTTGTAGCAACAAAACTTCTACGCCACGGAGCAGCCTCGCCTCGATTAAACGATCTAGTTTCAGTCAAACGACGTCTGAGAAAAATGAAATGTTATTGAAATTAGTATATAATACTTTAAATACAAAGTTAACATGTAGGCTAACATTGGGGTTTGGTGATCAAATATAGAACGGTGCTGGTTAAAGAACGACCTTGGAAAATCAGATCCTCTAGTTTCGTCTGTACTCAAACGATTTGTCAAATCACGTACCTATTACAATATAACAAGAATTAATAATACTTAATAAAAAACACTAAACAATAATAATACGGGATTTTTCTCTTAACCCCCTGCACTAGTTCACTTTTAAAATAATTGCAATTTTGTAGGTATGCTTTATGAAAACATTTTTGTTTGTGTAATATTACAATTTTAAATAATACTTAAATTTTTATCTTTTTCAATATTTTCTAGGTCCTAAATTTTGAACTTCAATGATTTTAAACCTGGTTATGAACTAGTCACAATGTTAAGCAAATTATTCTTAATTTAAAAAGTTAATAAAATATACACATTGTCATTTAAGTTTCAAAAGTTGATGAAGCTCAAGAAATACTCAAATATATACAAATTTTAAGTATTCTCAAACATTGTAATTTTACATAAAATAAAAATGTTTTAAAACAAAACTGATGTAGTGCGTTAAAAGAATCACCTAGTATATTTTGTATGGTTTTTAAATCTATTTACCCTAGACAACAATGTTGAAAATAAATTTTCAGCAGTCAAAACCTCAAAACTATCATCTTCCTCGTCGGAACTAATACTTTCAGTGGCTTGTAAACTTCGAGCCGACGGTTTTTGTCTACGAGAGCTGCGTAGTGTGAAACATCTTCCCGGTCCACCGACTGCACCAGCTTCATCATCAAATTTATCACTAGAAGAGCTACATGTTGAAGAAAAAATAGTTTTTATTCAGAACTGAACACATTTAAATTAATTGTTCATACCTTCTTATTCTGGATACTGCATTTTCACTGGGTGTAACAAAACCACCACCTTCAACTGCTATAGGTATAATGACTTCACGTGGAGATTTTCTTATCGGCTCTCCGCCTATGCTTACTATACTGCTATTACTGTCAGTATCTAAAGTACTTTGTCGTGACAAGTTACTACCACTAGTCTTTGTACTGGATACAGATGAAGTTCTTTGTACAGGCTTAGTTTTTGACTTATCGTCTGGTTCAAATCTAATAGGTATAATATGCTCACGAGATTGACTTGTTTGCCTCACCACAGGTCTAAAACAATAAGCATGCAATACTTTTAATAAAGTTATAACAGATTCTTTACAGATCAATTGTAAAGAATAAAAAATGAAATATATAATAATAGTTAATTTCTTAATGTTGTTTTATCTTTATTTTTATAAAAGTAAAACTTTTTATAGTCACAATACTTAATATAATATACTTATTTTTTAGTTGAATTATAACCTATTAGCTGTACACAAAACAGGACAAAATTTTGTATATGAAACCAATTATACATAACGATACCATTTAAATTTTAAGAATTTCACATTTACATACCTTGGTGGTAGAGGTGAAGGTGTAGGTGTAGGGGACGATACTGCAACAGCTGAAGCAATAGGAATAGATACCTCTGCACGTCGAGTGGGTTTCGGCACTTGTACAAAATGTTTAACTTCTGTTTTGTAGTTTGTATCATTTGTATCATTTTCGTGATTTTTTTTTTCTTTTCCAATATTGCTAACAGGTAGTCTATATACACACAAAAAAAATTAATTTGAAAAATTTAACTAGTGTTATATAAATAATCAAGGGTCCAGATATTGTTCTTAAAAAGTTCTTTTCCGGTATTTGTTCCTATCCGACATCTGTTTTGGAAAAAATGAATCTATTTGTTCCTATCCGATATTAGTTCCTACCCAATATTTGTTCCTAACCAATATTTGTTCCGGAATAAATCAGTTTAATTGTTCCGGAGCAAATTAACTTTTTTTCTGGGACAAACAAACTTAATTGTTGTTTTTCAACTTTTGTTCCAAAACTAATAAAACTTGGATATATAGAGTGGTAGGTTTTGTTAAAAAGAAAAAGACATTATAATACATTAATTGTAAAGTAATATTAATATTATGATAAAAACATAACATTATACATATAATAATTACTATTGGGAATAATTTAAATAATATACACTGAAACATGAGTATTTTATTTACTATTAATTTGTATTACTACTATTAGTCTTATTAGTATAATATGCTTCTTATTATTATTTTTTAGAGATTCTCGTTTATCAAAACAAAGATTTTATCCTTATTGATGGACGAAGCAGTGCAATATTAATATATATATAATCCATTCTTGTAAACTTTAATACTGCTAAATAAAACAAAATTAAAAAAAACCTATCTCTTCATTTATTAAAGTTTTATTAGTTATGGAACAAAAAATAGGTTTGTTTGGCCGAGAAAAAAAATTATTTGCTCCAGAACAAATATTGGATAGGAACAAATAGTTCCCCATTTGTTCCAAAACTAATATCGGATAGGAACAAATAAAAGAGTAAAATGTTTTTACTTTGGAACAATATACCGTTGAACAAATGATTAAGTTCCAAAACAATTTCTGGAACTTTATCCGGACCCTTGTAAATAATAATAATATATTTACTCAGGTCTGGCTAATTTTATTTCTGCTCTCGATGTTTTCCTCTTAGGTTCATCAGCTGGCGTTTTCTTGCTATCAGCTATTGAATCACCAATAATCTAAATGAAACGTGAACAGTTTTACATTAATTAACAATAATTCTTAAAATGCCAACTATTAACAATATATATTATAAAAAAAAATTACTCTGATAGCATTTAAGCTCTTTCTCAAATCTTCAGGGAGATTTTTAAAATCATTTTTATTTGTTTGTAAACCACAATTAAACGGTTCATTATTTAAAGCACTTTCAGCTAATTTATTGAGTCCAATTGTTGATTCTAGGCTAAATTGTGGCTCTTGTTTTTCCACTTGATTAATAGATCCGTTAGACGCAATACTTTTTTTGGAACTATTAGATGATCCACTGCCAAGAGAACTACGCCTTTTTTGATCAATGCTATTCTTTGACATAGATTCAATAAGGTCTAATTTTTCAACAGCCTCTAAAACTCTGCTAGATCGCCTTCTACCACGTTCACCGTAAGATTTTATATCACGTTCAATGCTTTTATTTGATTCTGACGTAGGTTGAACTTCCTCAGGTTTTGAGTTACTGTCTACATGCTTAGACGATTCTTCAACAGTTTGAAATGTAGGCTCATTTTCACTCTTTTTAGCTTGGTTATGTTTTTTCGAACGACTTACAGAACGATCCCTCTTTTTGGTTTTCTTGGGTTTCTTTTCGACTAAAAAAAAGTGTTAATGTTTAGTAGTTTTTAAATACTCTCATAAAGATACGTTTAATTTTAATACATACCAGGTACTTCTGTTATGGCATTAGATACACGGGATGGAGAAATATTTCCTAGACTCTGAGACCTTACAGGTCCGCTATCTACTGCGCCTATACTGTTTGGAGCTCCTGGTATAGCTAGATTGTTATTAGTTTCTTGAGCTGATGGAGCTAATGAAAGCAATAGATCTAGTCGAACAGGAGTAGAAGAAGCCATTTCTTCTGCAAGGAGTAAACATTGTTGATCTTCCGGAAAATCTTTGTTTAACCATTCATGTGAACATATAGTATGAATATCAGCTCGTACATTAGGATTTACAGTCATCATTTTTGCTATTAATGGAGAAGCTCCTAAATAAAATAAAACAAATATTAAAATACGTAAAAAAATCACTCATAAAGAGTTTTATTTACTGGATGGATTTTTCGGTTCATAGTATTCCCCTTGAGAAATTTGTCTAACAAGGCGTTTAAAATTTGATCCGTCAAACGGCATTGTACCATACACTAAGGTATATAGCAAAACACCAAGTGACCTATAATTTACAATTAACATTTTATTCATAGATATATTTTACAGTTTCAATAATAATTCATCAATAATCATAGGTAAAAGTCGTAGGGTATTCACTGTATGTACTTACTTCCCACTTTTATAAGTATGCACATACTTGTATCAAAAATTGTATACCTGCTGATAAAGTACATACAGTTGTAAGGTGCACACAGCATATACCCTACTAATTGTTATTTCATACATACCAACAGTCAACTTCAGGACCATGGTAAGGTGTACCAGTTACAATTTCAGGAGACGCGTACAATGGACTACCACAATAAGTCGACAAGAGAGCTTTGTGATTAAAAACATTAGATAAACCGAAATCAGCTATCTAAAAAATTAATGAAACACATTAAGTCAACATTTAAATTTTTCTTACACAATATATAAGTTCTACAATCGAGTCAGAATAAGAAGATGACCAGATGTTTGATTGATGTTCAACTGCCTAATTCAATCAAGTCTCTACTATAAAGCATTTATCATTGTTTATTAATAAATAATTATTACTGGGCAACATTTACCAACTGCGCGCCTGACGTAGGGTCAAGAAAGCTTTCCCATTGGCTATCTTAGTTTATCAACTATACAAGTATAGTACAATATTTTTTTGTGTAATGACACAAAAAAATATTTCAAAAATAAGAAATAATTTGACAAAGGTCACATTCTTATTTTAACAGACTAAATATACATTACCTTGGCATTTCCTTGTTCATCTAACAAAATATTTTCTAATTTGAGATCGCGATGACAAATATTATGCTGAAAATATTAACATTTTTCTTACCAATAAATACTATATTGTTATAATTAGGTAAAAACAAATTACTTTATGACAATAAAAAATAGCTATAGCGACTTGTCTAAATATTCTCCTAGCTTCTTCTTCGGCAAGAACTTTTTTTTCACTTAAAAAATCGTACAACTCTCCACCTGCTGCATACTCCATTACTAGTACTATTTTTTCGCGATTTTCAAAAACTGAAACAAAATCATAAACAAGATATTAATTTTTTTAAGAAAACTTAATTATTTATAAATCAAAAAATAATACCAACTAATTTAAAATTACTTTAACTATATATTTATTATTACCTTCATAAATGTGAATAATGTTTGGGTGCCTTACAGAAGACATAATTTGTATCTCTCGTCTTATTCTTATTAAATCTGCTTCAGTCTCTATTTTACGTTTCCTTATTGTTTTTATAGCAACCTATAAAATAAATACTACTAAAATATGTATTACTAGTAGCCTAAGCTATTTAAGAAACTACAATTAAAAATAAATGTTTAAGTTAATATTTATTAACCCATTTCCGGCCAAGGGTTCAAAAAAACTGAAATTTTACAACTTTTTCGTGAAAACCCTTTATTCAACCTCAAATGAACATAAAATATCAACACAAAAATAAATCTGGTGTATTCTGAAGTAAGAAAAGATTGGTGTGTAAATGCACCATTGGCGCAAAACGATATCACTTTGTATGAAATTCTTCAAAACATTCTGGGTGCAAATGGACACCACATTTCAGAACATGATCCTTCTCTACCAGGACGTCTCATGCTAAGATCACAAAATGATAACAGCTGGTTTCATGGTGATTTTATCCTTGAAATAAAATTACAATTTTATGGTGTGCATACGCACCATTGGCCAGAAATGGTTAAGCAAGTACATTTAAAGAAATTAAAATTAAATTATGTGCGCTTCTTTGAACAAATTAAAATTAATTATTGAGATAATGATTATTGAGTTAAATAATGATTTATTGAGAAACTGGTATAGTAAATATTACTTATCACTTTAGCGCAAGCAAAGCATAACGCAAACACATTTTAAAAAATGTTATTTTTGTGTTCTACAGACCATTTTTACAACAATTTATCATATTAAAAAAAATAAGGATGACAAAAATCAACATACACGGAAAATTTCTGAATTAATAAGAATATAAATGACAGTTACTACATTGACCTAATTAACACGTTCACCTCCGCATGTAATACACGCCAGTGGCCGTGATTTCTGGATAAAATTTTGCTCGCGCTGTCCTGCGATCTCTAAATAAAAAATTAAACCAATCGCATGAAATTAAGTATAGACACATACTGCATAGCCAATGTAAAAAAATGGTCGTTCCCCGACGGCCGAATCATTTATAAACGTATTTCTAGATATGTACCTAGTAACGATCACGGATCGGCGACGGCCACCAGTGCCTGACTACTGCTGCCGAATAGAGATCGGCAGTGGAGGTGAACGTCTTAAATATCTTTTTTTACTTCTGAATATGGATAACTTTTTATAAAATATTTATTTCAAAAATCACCCTTAAACTTAAATTGAATATTAACAGCTTTATTTTTTTATTATATGATTAGTAGTATTGAAATTGATTATTATTACTGTAATAGCCTCTTAAAAAAATAACATGGGTTTTCTAGTATTCGTACAAAACTATAAAGCATACAAAAATAAAAATCAAACTTACTAGTTGTTCGGTCTCCTTGCAAATACCTAATTGGACTTTTCCACATGATCCTTCTCCTAGCTTCTTTAATACATCAAATCTGAAAAAAATATGTATTTTTTAAATAATAAAACAATCACTTTTTCTTATATAATATATATATGTATTCTTATACTTTTGTTTTAGTTTTTGTTTACGATTATGTAAATGTACAGCTCCTCCATTCTTCTCTATTCCTCGCATAATATGGTCACACATTACTCCATTTTCTGGTACGACCATTGTGATTTATATCTAAAATTGTATCAATAATTAAATGTAAAAATTACAATTTGTAATTCTAAGTTTCACTCATTATTAGTATTTGTAATAAGACTAATAAACTCTTAAGCTATACTAGAAGACTTATTTAAAATAATTTAATAAAAAAAAAATTGCTTACAGTTTTAAAGCATTACTAATGAAATATTTTGCAACTAACGCCAATGACAGTAAACATTAAAGATACCATTCATATTTTATTAAACAACTACACTTTGCTAAAAACAAATTAAATATCCAGTAAAATTACTAATGGCTAAAAAATAAAACTATGTAATCAATATGTTCACAATTTTGTAGAAATATAAGATTTATATTGTGTTTAGTTTGATCTGAACTAGAATGACGAATATATCTTTAAAATTATTATTATGGATATAATGTTTCATTAATTGTAAAGCCCATTCATCTTTTGACTTTTTAACAAATTATCAGAACAGAAAAAAAAGGGATCTTATTCTACTTAATGTTTCAGTAGCATACCTAGGATTTTTCCACAGGGGGGATGTACAGATTTTAACAGCCATACCTATTCAATATAAACATATACCCATATTATTATATACATGTTGCATGTAAACAAAAATTTGGACTCTTAACTACAAAACAAAGTCTAACTTTCTTGAGGACAGTGAAAGAATATTGAGTACTTCATCAGGTGTGACTTGTTATATTTTAAATTATGTTTCAAATAACCTACTGGGCCCAGGGGGGATAAAATCTCCATACCCCCCCCCCCCGCAAATATGCCACTGTAATGTTTAAGAAACATTTTATATTATGAAGCACTTTAAATCCATTCACAACGACGTAATTACATTTTTGTTCCCAATGCTTAAGTATACTTTGAAGGGGTATTGTAAATTGTAAAATTGTAACAGCCAATTATATATTTTTTGTAAGTAAAATCTTAAGAGTTGATAGAAATGTTTAGAAACTTGCCTACATAGAGTTCTTTAAATATCTCTCAAAGAGACAAACACTGTCTCAAGAATAATTTAATTTCACTGGTCCTTATACAATTATAGCCTCGAAACTTTGCCGATGCTAATTAGATTTACACACATTCCCACAAAAAAAAAAAATTATAATATATGCTTAATAAAATAAATATTGGCCCTTGTAAAGAAAATTATACATTTTGACTAAGTATGCCTATACATGCCAATTTTTTTAAACCGATAACAGATCTATTATATCTTCATAATTTATTGCTAGTTACATAAATTACAAAAATCGTAAAAAGGCATTAAATGTTGTAACTTTTACATTTTGTTCAAAACAAGAACATCAATAATAATTTTAAAATATATATGTATAACTTGAGTGTTACGAGAGGGCTTGAAGGCAATATGAGCCACGATCCACTAGGAAAACTCTCTCTCGCAGAATGATTTCTCTACCGAGTGTAGGTCAACAAGATTTGACAAACTTGTAAATTAAATTAATGTAGGTAAACTTTCAACTCAAAATTGCCTAATATTAATTTAAAATTATAATAATCGAATACTATCGACCATTAAACAATAAATACTAACAAATTAAAACGAAACATTGCAATTTTTTAAATTGAATTAAAAACAATTTAACGTTTACAATATCAACCTAGGTACATAATATTATCATACTATAATATAGTATTACATATTTAGTGATATGACACATAAGTAACCATTTATTTTTTGCTAAAACTGAAGTATAAAATGTTGAAGTACTTGCTACTTATTTTAAAATTATTTTTAACAATAAGACCATATAAGAATAAGAATGTATAATGTGCATTTCAAATAGCTATTGTACATTTTTTACTCACAATTTAATGGTGTCAAATTTCTAGAATGTTGTTTACAAATGCTGATGATTCAGTTCTAGACTTGGCTGAAAATCTTCATGAAACCATAGGCGGCCCACAACAGTTTTTAATGAGTGAAAAATTTCGAGTTTTTCTACAAATTTGGCAGACATATAAAAAAAACCGCGCACCGTAGTGTAACTGATATGGGGCTAACGTCGGTGATGAAAATAGGGGGCAAATGAATGATAGAATGCAAGAAAAATAAATCTAGAAAATAATTAATCGAAATATTATGGTGTCCAACGAATAGTATGATGTGATGTCTCTACACTCTGCGTGTGGAAAAAAAGAGTTGTAAGAGGCTGTAGCGACGACAGTGGTGGCGGGTAGGCATCTATTTTTAGCACTTTAAGATTCATTCTCGAACAAACCCCTTCCACATTGGCAACAGCAGCAAACAAGCTGTCGACTTCTTCGTATTCACTCCACCACTCGTGCATTCATCGGGCGTTATTATTATTTATTATTATATGTATAGAAGTTCTCATTTGCTCTCTATCTCGGTTCTATATGGCCGCGTAATGCGTATTTTTTCGCCTGGAATTTAGCGGGACACCGACGTTAAATTATATCATTGACGACCGGCACGGTTGCACATAACCCCGTACGACGTCATTACAATACTAATGTATTATATTTGTTGTATATAAACATAATTTTCTTACTGAGTCGTAACTCGTAAGTTCACCGTTATAAGTTTAATCGATACGGCACGCGCCCATGTACACCGCAACTCGCAAGGCGCACACGTCTGTCGAATTGGATTTTTGAATATTATCATCATTAATGTTGTTATTATTATGATTATGATTAGTTTACCGAACAACGATAACGATAGTGATAGTTGTTATCACGACACGGTCGACTAACTAGGGCAACGACCACTCGGTCCAAACGCGAATACTACACGACTACGATGGCCAACACATTATTTATTATTTTGACCAGCGCAGCGTCCACGTTCGCCGTCAACAAGATCATTTCCAGTGAGTTTTTTTTTTACACGCGTTCATCCGTTTTTGCGTGGTCGTCGGCAAACTAACACAAGGGCGGCCCAATAATAAATCACTTTTTATAGAAATCTTTATTTTTATGGGTTAAACAATATTCTTCAAACACTCCGGATTCCGTTTCACGACGGAGATACTGATAAGTAGGTGCCATGCGTAGAGTACACATATTAATACAGGGACTAGTATAAAACGACATTTTCCATTCTTTGAAATATAAATAGTAAAACATGCTATTTCCAGTTTCGTGCTATTGAGTCCAGTTCCACAATAAAAAGTATACAATTTTTTTTAGACAGACATTGGAACATAAACTATGGGTTGTGTATTTATTTACGCAATACTCATTTTATATATGCACTAAAACCACACTGGGAATTTGAAGTGTTTTTTAATGTTTTTAAGGTGAGGAATTCGAATATAAAATTCATTTTTACCTAAACCCATGTAAAAAAAATATGTTTTTAACAATTTCAAGTGAAATATAATAAACAATTGCATTTTATTCAAAAGTTACATTGCTTAAAATATACTTCAGACAAAAAATTATTCCCGACATCTACAAAAAAAAATTGAATTTTATTGAATTGAAATAGGTTGTTAGTTATTGAGCAGACCGCTGCTGGTTAACACCAATGCCTCACACTCGAGATTTTTGAATAGGTATTATATTTATTACCATTATTATTAGCTTCTGTGTTTGTTGATATTATTTTAATAATTATTATAAAGTGTATTGACAATAATCATTATAATTGCTATTATTATCCGTATTTTACATTTTACGGAAGTAAAACTTTCTTGCTTAAAATAATTTCAAGAACTTTTTAAGTTTTTTGACATGTTTTGTCGGCGATATATGCGGTCATTATATACTATACAGCACATTATATTATCAAAATTGACTTATGTAGTCCCAGTTTTTTCATAATTATTTTCGTCAACTTAATATACAAAGCTCAATGGATACTTCCAAGCCATGTATAAATTTTAGTATTTAACAAACATAGTTATTATCAAAAGCCCCATATCGAAAAGAAAATTCAAGTGCAAAATTTTAAATATCTTAACATAACGACAAACACATTTTTCTTAAAATGTATAGGTTTATTTCACCGTAGTTTGGTTCAGATATTAAACAATATGAAATGATGAGAGGTCGATGAAGCTTGCAGACACAGTGTGTGTGTTTTATAATTGGACGAAGATACTTCATTTGTGCATCACTGAACTAAAAATATGAAATGCGTATGCGGAGTGATGACGTGTCGACTAAATGTTAGACGTCATAACATACATTCCAATGTACTTAAGGTCTAAGGCATTTTTTGTAAATGCAATTCCTAAATTTTTTATAAAATCAAAACTGATAATGGCTTGAAAGGAAATATATTTTTCTTCACTGACTTAGAAAAGTTTAATGTTATCTTAAAAAATATTAGAACGTATTTTCAATCTTCGTTTGACTACACTTTGTCATTGTGTACTTTAAAATTGTTATTTCATACATATATAATACCTATAGTATTTCATCAATAGAAAATACTAATGCTGTTCGTTTATGTTTTTGCAAATTTTTTTAATTATTTAAAAAAAATTAAATTAGAATAATATGAAATTAAGAGGACAATGTGGCCCTGAATAATTGGGTTTTAGCACATAGGAGGTTTTTCGCGGCAACGACGATCAACTAGATAGCTAGTATAAAATCGATGATAAATTTATAAAAGTACATTGAATAATGAAGACAATTTAACAACAAGACGATTATTTAACAAGTCTTCTAATAAGATGTATTACAAAAAATATCCAGTTATAAATAATGGAAGTTCAAATAAAAATCTAATTTTGTCGGAATTAAATCCAAACGTTTGGTAGAAAAAATACATACATATGCAACCCATTAAATGTGTTTATGTTACCGTTTTATTAGTTACTAAAATGCAATTATTTTTAAATACTTAATGAGTAAAGAATACATAGATTTTCTATGTATTCTTGTATAAAATTTTAAAATATTGAAGTTATCGTAAATCTGAGGTCACCAGTCGATTCCCCGCGAAATTTTAAATAAAACAGTGTTGCTTCTTAAGCGACGATAACTTATTAAAATACAAATTAAACTATAGTTATGCAACACTATTATCAGGGCTGTATATTATTTTGTCTATCAAGTAATAGTAACGGAGTACTTGTTTAGCTTAATTTTTACTCAATGCTACCAAAATAAAAATATACACGCTCTTTATACATTGTAAATACAACATTTGCAGAAACAATATTATTTATTATACTATAAAGTAACCATAAAACACGTGTGATAGTAGTCAGTAGTAGGTAGTAAACACCCCTTTTCTTTACTAGCTACCCTAATAATGGTATTGAAATAGAAACTATGGAAACCAACCGCATTTAAGGACAAAACAAACCTCAGTAAAAATATTTTTGTTTTGTCATTATAACATTTTATTAAAATGACCGAAACAAATAATCATAATTCAGCGATTGAAGAAGTAATAAAAATTGTTATTTTGGGTGAGCCTAATTCAGGAAAGGTGATTATTTGTATAAAATAATTCTATAAATATATAACAATAAACGTGTATCTATAAAATATTATGTACGCATAATTACACTTAAATATTATGTATGGACGAATAATTACACTTAAATATTAAATGTTTTCTTTAGAGTTGCATCGTCTCTAGGTACTGTCACGATGATTTTACAAGGCAATACATTCCAACAATTGGTATCGAATTTTACTTAAAGCGAACTCAAATTCAAGGCCGTAACGTTCGAATTAATATTTGGGATACAAGCGGTTCTTCTAATGAACTATTGGACAAATACTTGTTCAATGCAAATGTAATATCATATTATTCACGTTAAATAGCTATAATAACGTTTAAACTAGATCACTAAAAAACGTTTTTTATTTATTTCAATAATTTCTAAAAAAATATGATACTATTAGTAAACAGAAAATAATGAGAATTAATTAATTATTTTTTTAATAGGCAATAGTACTGGTATTTGATACAACTGATAGTGGTTCGTTTTCAGCATTATCATCGTGGCACGACCGAACGGCCAAAGCTCACTACGAAAACCAACCGAAAATGGTGTTAATCGCAAACAAGTGTAAGTACCTTCTTAAATAGTTTTTTATTTAAATTTCAATACTATCATTAACCTTCCGCTATCAGTGAAACATAATATATTGAACAAACTTGTCCCACTTTCATCTTCTTTCCTTAGTTGTTTTAATCGTATAAACTATAGAGTGTAATCTCTAGTGTAAATTATATGACACGATTTACATTGCATATAATAGATATTAACAAAATGGGTAAAAAATTGAGTAAGAATAGATGTTGGTACTTGGTAGTAAACGAAGTTGACGTGATAGTATGCAAAGTTTGGACGACTACAAATTGCCTATATTCGAAAATGTATTACCTATTTGATCCTATTAATCGAATGTATTAATATTCGTTCTCATCAGTTTAATTAATGAAAGTAGGTATATTTTAACAATACTAAAATGATTATAAGCTATACTATACTTAAATGTTGAGTCAAACTAATGTAAACTGTTATAAAAAATGATTTTTAAGAAATTAAGAAGTTTTGTTTAAACAAAATATGCATAATCAATAAACATTAATAAGTATTAACAACTTAATGGATTTATGGATATATGGTATTAGATTGGTAAGAAGGATTTTCTAGTCGTTAAACGATATGTTTAATCTTTGAAACTAACTTCTTTGTTATTGTGTGTAGTGTATAACTTAAAATATGTAAGATTCGAGGCTCAAGAAGTTATATTTATTACACTAGTATTATCTATTAACATATACAAGTATCTACAAATTGTGATCGATAGTTAAAAAAAAAAAGAGTCCCGTATGATTAAAACACACAAGTAATACCTTGGGCTCTCTAGTCTCTACTAATACCTATTTAGTAAAAATAATATACACGTGATGATTATCATTTGTAGATCAAATAATGAAATATACACTACATTAAACATTTCAATGTTTCTAACAAGGAACGAGTACCTTTTAGGTATTCAGGCTCAAGTATCTGTTCCGCGATAAACTATAATTTGTATGGTCATTTATCATTCAATAACCATAGTTTTTTGTAAATTAATTAATTTTATCTATAAGGCGTAACCTAAAACTAATTTACGTCTTAGTGGTAATCACCCTGTGGTAAAAAATAATACGTTTATTAATTGACAAGTGAAATAAAAGGCCTCTACACCTAATTTGTCTAATAAAACTTAACATTAAGTTGAGATTTATAAACCCATATAATATAAAACAGCAAAGAGATATCTATTTTGATATTTAATTAATTAATTAATTTTTTAAGGCGTAATTCCTGTACAAAAATATGTGTTTCTACTTCACATCGCACGTTCCTAAAAATACTTCTCTTAAAGTTTTAAAAAACGAGTTTTTAATTCTTCATTACATTTACAAGTTATCGATCGTGGAACTATTTTGAAATTAGTTTTAGTAATTAATAATCTCTATGTGAAAAATTTTAATTTTTAAAGTTTTTTAATGATGTTTAAAATTCATAATACTAAAAACAAAATTTAAAATGTACTTTGATCGATACATCTAGCAAGATTACACGTTTCAGAGTACGGTTAAAATTAGAATGAGCTGTTTTCGAACAAAAATACGTTGATTTATCTGTCCTTTACCATATTATGTTTACATACAAAAAAAGTTTTTTAATAAAATAATAAAACTTGAATAATATTTGTGACCTCTAAACTTATAATACATTTACCTGAAGTCATATTTATTCTTGATTAGTAAGTAATCCACAATTACATGGTACTTTTAAATTTAAAACCCACGATTTAACAGTTGCGTCACTGATATAATATGACTTCCCTGAAAAAAATCACTTAAAATTATTACTAAGCGCAAACTCGTGACCGCGTCGAATCTAAATCACTCTTTCTTAATTTTTTAACAACCCTTTGATATTAATTTTTTTTTAATGCGATTCAAACTTGTATACCATGTTTAATGTTGGTTAAGGTGACTTAGAACACAAGCGAACCGTCGCTGAAGAAAAGCAAATATTATTTTCGAAAGAGTTCAAAGTAGGGATTACACAATCGGTATCGGCTCGTACTGGAGAAAATGTAAAATACAATCGTTTGTTTACATTAAAATATATACTTAAAAAAAAATCACTAACGGTTGGACGACTTACTGGTTTCAGATCACAAACACTTGGCAGCAAATTGCGGCTGAATGTCTTGGACTCAAATTAACGAAATTTGATTTGGAGCAAAATTTAGTGAAGCCTGTTCGAGCCGAAATCGAAACGACGACCAATCAATATCGAACTATGATGTCAAATAACAAACAAGAAAGCAGTACGTTATCCACTGTTTGCCTTATTCAATGAATGACAATTTTAATTACATTATTTCTTAATTCTTAGTTGAATATATTTCACAAAGTAATTAATATGTATGTAGATCAGTAAATATCGTTCATTGTAAACATATAAACCCTTGAAATGTAATGTATATTATTTAATTTGTATCTATTTATGTTCCTGAAATAGGATTTTATAGGAATCAATTATACATATATATTTATAAATTATCCTATAAAATAATATTCCTATTATAATATATAATATAATAATAATAATAATATATATTATTATATCTGTAACAACTGTGAATAAGTGTGTAAGTCGATTTCAGTGATTTTACAGGGGAACGATTATAAACTTTGACCAGCTGCCATAAACCCCTACTTAGCCAATAACTCACATCTCTCTCAAGGTTTTCTTTGTTTTATTCGTAGTTCGAGTACAAAAAGTATTTAAATTTTGTCCATTTCTATTTAAACTAATCACAAATACAGCGCTAAGACTATTTGTAGAAATATGAACAAAATCAGAGTAGATACGATAGTAAATAATAATATTGAAAACGAAACAGTAATGCAATGTTGCAGATGCAATTATGTAATTCAATATACTTCAGTATTCGTTGAAAATATGGATTAGTTACGAAACGAAATAGTTGTGCGCTATTAATTAAACGTATATGATTTATATATAGTTGTATAATATATTACACAACTAGTGTAATCAATAACTCTATTTTGTTTATTATAATTTACTGTAATCGAATTTATTTACGAAGCTAATTAATACTATTTATTTATTTTTTTTAAAAGGTTAAACTGCACTACGTATATATGGTACACTTTATGAGCTCGTGCATCATATTTTTAATGTTATAATGTTATTTACATGTCTATTCTTCGTAAGCTGGTCAATAATTTCGAATCTAGAGCTTTTACGTCTATGTGTATTCTATATACGTCATACGACTTACAAAATAATCAAAATAAAGTTAAAACTATAAAATTGTAAAATATTTCAATTAATTTTATTAAACTTTTTTAACTAAATTTTAGTTTGTTTTTATGATAGTAATTATAGACAAAACATTTTTTTATTTATTTCCAAATAAAACATTGTTGATTAATGAAGTACGCCTCTTTTAATCCTTTTCCCCGCCTCTTTCCCAAAAAATATTTTGCCAATTAGTTTCATTACTGTGTTAAAGACAGTAAAATGTTAAAAATATAAATCTACATGGTTTGGCTCTTTTAGCTTACCTTTTGGACATGATTTAAAAGTTTTTTTTTTTTAACTCGATTTGCCTACTGTTGTTGTTTTGTTTTGTTGTACAACTTAGATGTTAATATTAATACACGCACTTTATTTAAGCAATATTTAAAACAATTATTCCTTTTATTTAAGTATAATTAAAATAATATTCGAAATAACGTTTCAATAAAGTGATCAGGATAAAATTTATATACAAATTTAACCATGCCTAATTATTCATAACCGATTGTATTATATAAATTGTTAATTGATAGAGATTAATTGGTTTTACCCCTGCAGTACAATAAATGTATAAATATTTATTGTAAATTATTTAAATTTTAAGTCATTCAATTGTGTTTTTAAATATTACCAGGTTAAATCCTAAGAATGGTTTAATTTTTTAATCAAATGTCATAACTTTAATAATATATAAAATATTATATTAGTTGATTGAAGTGAGCGTTTTATGTAACAGTCTAAAGATTTAAACTAATAATGTAAAAACGATTTTTTGTTATTATTATAAAGATTTAAAAATAATACATTTTCGTTGTACTGGTTTATGACATTCCCCCTCCATACAAATGCCTGAGCACACCACTGAATTTATTCAATACCAGTCTCCGAAAATATTTAGTGTACATGTATACGTAAACAGTTTATGTTTACTATAACTTATAATAGGTATATACGTACATCTTTATTACATATTTTGCAACGTAATATTGTTTAAACTAAAGCGCAAAAAAATGAATGGTAATAAAAGTGATTATACTATTATTATTATTTTTTTCAATAAATTTAGATAATCGAGAATTCTTTAATCGCAATTTAACTAATTACCTACCTCTCTAACATATCCCAGATTAATTTAACGTGTGTTTTAATAAAAGTAGGATTAAGAAAAGATTAAAATCATTTAATTTTAAAGCCACCATACCTATACAGACAGAAGAAAAGTGTTCGAAACTATTTGAAGAGTACGTGTATACATCGTAGTATATAATTTGTTTGTCTGAATATAAATATAAAAAAAGCCTATATTCAGATAAGATATAAGCTTTAAAACTGTACAGAAAATACAGATCCAATAAATTTTAAACAAAATTTATTACACACACACTTTGTATACATTTACATATTATATTTATTATTCTGTTTGCGTTTTTTAAAAAATACCTATACGTAATTAATTAGTTATATCATAATAAACAAAATATGTTAATGTTTATATTAATCCGGTCATAGTATACTGATAGTTTGTATTATTCATGAAGGTTATCAAATCCTATTTTGGCAAATATGTTTCATAGTTCATGCATTTAGTATTAAAATTATGGTGGACATTAACATGAAATTAACTGTGCCAGTTAAGTCTAATGAACAGTCAACAGAGAAATTCTCGGAAACAAATTATTTGTAACTAATGATTCTTTGACCCTAAAAATATAGTTAAGTGGAAAAATTGGTAGAAAAATCTTTCTTTTTAAATGTTGTCTTCATAATTATGAATTTGAAATCTGAATAGGTTTATATTGCACTTAATCAGGCGCGTGACTTTTGGTCACACTTAGATAAAGTGTGGCCGGCGTACAATTATTTTATGTGATTACCTATTAGCATGGAATATGCTTTAGCCTTGGCCTCCCAGCTCGAAAACGACACAAAAAAACACTACAAAATAGCGACACGAAAAAGCGTTACAAAAGTAGCGCGTCGAACGTTTTGGTCAGAACATATCATTAAGACTATACTATCGTCATAAATCACAAGAACATTATAGATCAGAAAATAGAAATAATCACTATTCAGGAGCCAGCAGGCTAAAGCATGTTTCATGTTTTATAATTTTAGCTGTAAGGCTTAAGTAAACTGTAACTTCTATGTATGCGTATGGCTTTTAATACCGAGAGTAGATTGTTTTAAGGTCTAGTTCAGTCGCCTGTAATGAGGATGGCAGTAGACTAGGCATAGGCGGAACTACGGGATGTGCCGGGCGTTCCAAGGCATTTAAAATCTTAGGGTTTCAGGAATAATAATCAAATATTTAAAATTATATTATTTAGCATTTTTTTTATATTAAGGTGTGCCGGGCGTTCCAAGGCACCTTAATATAAAAAAAAATGCTAAATAATATAATTTTAAATATTTGATTATTATTCCTGAAACCCTGAGATTTTAAATTACTGTATTTTAAAATGTTTGTAAATAATATCACTTCTAAGGGCCCTGTGGTTGGGTAACCGATTACAAAAATAAACCATCACTGTTTTAATAAATAAGAAGTGGTATATGTATTTTTTTCTTATATAATATGAACACCTACATAGGTATATAATTATTTCTATTTTCGTCTGCCGTTACCAAGCAGCAGGCAGAAAAATAAATGTTTCCTAAGAAAATTATTGTTATGACTTATGACGTGTCACCAAATGAGGCCTTACTTTTTTTTAGCAATACATTTCGAGTGTTTTTGCTAACGGTTTTCAATAACCCGTCACTCATGTATATATATATATATATATATATATATATATATATAAGCTCTTTTATAAGCCTCTACTTTTACTTCGACTTTCATAGAGTACAAACAGAACTAATTGACAGCCGACAAGTAATACATTTAAGTTATACCATACAGCAATTATGTAGAATATGGAATAGGGTAGATGTTTAAGTTTTAACCACTGTGCCAATAGACAATATTAGCTCTTTTAATTTGTTTATTGATAAATTTGTTTTAACTGAAATTGTTTCAGAAAACGGGGTTAAAATAAGTAAAGGGTATATATTTGTCTTCTTCCGATGAATGATATGAAATATTATAAAATTGTATATAATGACACTTTTTACAACCGTTATAAAGCAAATAATAAATATTATTCATTTTAATTTTTATAAATAGGTACCAATTTATATAGCATATTTTTAATATATATTTATTTTATTTTTGTAGTTTTTTTTTAAATTTTTAATAAAGAAATATGGACAAATTTATATTTAAGTTTAGCAAAAATGCATAGTGTTTAACATTTGTTTATACAAAAAACTGACCACAAAAAAAGGTCATAAATGAAATGGCACATCAAATGTAAAACTCTTGTTCCGCCTATGGCAGTAGTCTCTCTTTCTCTATAGTCTAGACATCTGCCTGCCTAAAGAGAGAGACCACCCATAGACGAGCAGTGGCGTATATAGAATATAATTTCGGGGGGGGGGGGGTATAAAATAAGAATAGATATAATGAATATTATAAATTAACTTTGATTAAATTAATTCGCACATGTGCCGTACCAACCACAAATTTGATGAACCCCCAAAACTCTCCCCATATACGCCACTGTAGATGAGTGTCGAACCGGCGACATTGAACTATCTTTTACCCACTCAGCCACTCGTCCTCCAATATATTATAGGTATAAGGTACCCTAGGTAATAAGTCTTTAACAAAAATAAAGGTATTCAAACTTCCACTTAAATCAATGACTGGCCGTTATCTAGTTTTAAACAATTCTTTTTTATGTTGTACGCATCATAATATAGTTCAGAAACGAAAAAATATATAAAATGTGTCTAATATTCGTCTTATTTTTACTCATATTTATAGTTCATATTATTCAACCACAGTATACTCAGCAAACTGCGTACAAGAATATGACTCGGAAGAGTCTAGTCTCAACTAATTCGAACTAATTCACTCTAAGTAATATTTTATTCTGCGAATGTCCTGAATATAGTTAAACCCACCTATAATAATAATAAATATAGACATTTTTTAATTATTTATAATTCAAACGTACCTTTTTATTATAATTAGTTTATCGTTTTAGGCACATGTAAGATATAAACTATCGGGTAATAACTAATACACTTATTTATTGTGTAGATACATTTAATCAAATATTTGTACGCGGTTTTTTTAAAAGAATATTGACCTATAAACCTACATGATTATAATTTAATTTACATTAAGTCGTAGGTAGGTAGATACTGAATATATGCAAATGACTATAGTAATATTTACAATATTATTATTAGACGCAATAAGTGTTTACACACAATTCTCTAAAAAAATAAATCTATACAATTTACATTAAAACCATTACTACACTATAAATTAATGAACACAAAAGCGCGTTTCCGTTGTGTTCATTAATTTATAGACGGCTTTAATGTGAATGGGGTACACACTTAATTTAAATTATTTTGCAACTATCTAAACTTGAGTATCTTTATTTGTAATGTCATGAATTAAACTAACATTACATTTGACACAGAAACATAAATTATTTTGGAAACGATACATAAGTACGTTACACATAGACATGTACGCTGTAGATTAATAACTACAATGATACTTATTTAGTCAAGATAAAGAGTAAAACAAACAGGAAACGTTCAATATCGTCTCGTTCATGGATAGTTGGATGTAAGATGTAAAATGTTTTAGCATATCAGATCGTTAAACTTTAAAATTAAATGTTATGTAAAAATAGAAAAAATAATAAAATTACTTTTATTTTATACTAAAAAAGAGATCACCAGAATTAAATAATAGAGTAAATAAAATAAAAAAAGAACTAAAATATTGAGGAAGTTAAGTGCGAATGATTTGAAAACTATTATATAATTGGTTTTTCCTTAATAAAAAAAATAATTTGACTACAGATTTTTTTTTCAACTACATATATTATAGCCCCACTCTAGATCTACCTTCAGTCTAAATTTAGGCCCTTCAGTACCAAAACTACGCTCAAATAAGTGAAATAAAGAAAAGTTTTCACTCCTTCTGACTTCTGGGGGAAGGGGTTTTGATATTTGTTTGGTTTGTCAAGGTATATTTAAAAAATATACTTTACCAATTTGGAAATAATTTTAATATTTTTAAAAATGTTATAACGTACCGTAATTTGAAGTTGTAAAATTTGTCTCAATTGTGATGGAGAAGGGGTAAACTTTTAAATTTTTTTGCGAAAAAATGTACATATACCACGTATATGCAGTCTCAAAATTTGAGGCATTAAATTAATACGGATTAAGTTAATTCGGCAGTTAGGTGCATACAAACGCACCCTTTAATGCGTGTTACCTTAATGCGCTTTATAAAGTTAATTTGATTTGTCATATCTAATGAACTTTGACCCATATTAGAACATCCAAAATCTTAATTTTCGAAATGCACCCGTATACATAATAAACCAGAACACTAATGCACATTAACTCAAGTTAATTAATGCGTATTAAGTTAGTGCGCATTAGCGACTGCATATAAACGTGGTAACAAATCGACATTATTGATTAATAGTTAAATCATTTTGGTAATTAGAGGTACTGTACGAATGTGGGTTGAGTTGTACATTAAATAAAAAATGTTATCAATGGAATTGAATAAAATAATTTATCTTAAACACTTAATAACATTTCAGTTTTATTTTATAGGTAGGTATATCAATTACTTAAGTTATTTACTGACTAATAATGTATTATTTAATATATATACCAACAATTATATTTTATATTTTAAGTTGACCAACGGAGAGTAGAATTCATACACTGGTAGTCGATTCACGATTACCTTTAACATTTTTGAGAATTTAGTGTAATAATGTGTGATAGGTACGTTTGAAAGTTTGATATTTTAAGATGAAGAGAAAGTATTTTATTAAATGTTTTTTTATTTTGGTTTAAGAAATAATAACACATTCCACACAACTTGTAATTTGAAATTCAATCAGTGATGAGAGAGGGAGGAGCGCACCTATCTTCTCGCTATATTCCTAAATACCAAACCTACGTCACTGATATACTGAGTATAACAGTCAACAACACTAATTGCCAGCTGTCGGGGCTGTATTACCTGCTGCCTAAATCTGAGTTAAATGTTATATGCGTAATGACTAATGTGTGTGTATAATGTGAATAAAGTTAGTATATTTGTTTAAAAAAGAGTTGATAATAAAATATAATATTGTAATGATAAAAAGGACGTACACGGTTTAAACGCGTATAGGTAATAATTATTTTACAATGTGTCGTAATTGAATGATTTCGGTTTTGACCGAGAAAACGGAATACATTAAAAAACAATACGAAAATTACCGCACTGTCCGCGTGGTTGTATAATAATTCATTGTCCTGGCTAAAACCAAATAAAGGTAATAATAGTTAATAATATATTATGATTGCGCTCTTTGTATAAATTCAATTGGTATGTGAAGCACGTGGATGATAATTAAGACTAAACAAAGAAGAATGTATGCATTTCATGTGTAGCAAGTATGTGTAACGAAATCAGAAACCAGAATGTCAATACAATATATGCAAAAGCAAATCGTTAAGCGTGCGCGAAAAAATAGCCATAATTTTGAAAAACCGCGGAGTACGTACTCGCATATTATACTTATATATGAGTATTATTAATTGTGTACGATATACATAATCTTTATATACCTATTATAGACTATAGTATTTACGTATACATATTACAATATAAATAGATCAAAACTTTGTGCGTAGTCGGTAGTACAGTCCAGTGTCCACAACCGCTGCAGCAGCCGGCTCTATACACTATACAGTCAGCCGGACCCGCGAATTTCCACACTGATAACTCTGACAAAACGTGTTTCTTATCAATTCAAAGTTCAAAACCGCCTCTGCAGTCTGTTGGCTGTTGGTTGCTGTTACCAGCAAATAGTGTGTGCTGTATGCTTGTACAGTGAACTGTCGCGTGTGATATACATGTACCCGTCGGGCGTCAATCGGTATTCGGTATTATAATACAGTAAACGACTGTCTCGTCTGGTCCGACTTGGATTCCAAATACTAATTTCTTGGCCGTCGACGTGTACGTTTGTGTATGTCCTTATCACGTTTTTATTTTCACGTGCAGTATATTTAATAGTATAGAGAAGAAACATATTTATATATACATACATAATAATATTTTACTATAAAGAATTTCAAACAAAACGCGTCGTAAATTAAAAATAAAATCCCAAGTAAGTCGATGCTGTGCATATACCTATTATAACCGCAATTATAAGGTATCGCATCAATAAATAATGTAACTGCAATTCAATAATAATAATAATAATAATAATACGACTTATTGTTAAACAGGTACTCGACGGCCAAACCAGTTTGCTGAGTATTGTCGTTAAACATAATAATTCGTCTATACCGCATATTAATATCGTTTGGCCGTTTTAAAAAACCTACAGAAACTCAAAAATGAGCGATACGTTTTTTGGAGGTATTGAAGGGTAAGTGTTGTTTTTTGTTTCACCAAATTAGCCAATCGTATCTTATGTTATTGTTGTTATTTCTACATAGTGGAGCTTCAGTATCGACTGTCGTCATCACTAACGGCAATGGTGATATTTTAGCCGAGATCAAAGGAGATGGTACAAATCCCTGGGTAAGTTATTTATATTCTTTTTTTTTCTGAATTTATTTTCTTTATTCTATAAAAAATTAAAAAGTTACAAATTATATATATAATAATCCCAGAGAGTACACTTGAGATTCAACTTCATTGAGTATTTTTTAAATTTGTATATACATCTTATTTATTGATTGAGTATGGAAATTGTCTAGCATTTTTATATTTTATCCATTGTTGTGTTTAATTTCATATTACATTTAATAGACCATTTAAATTTGTATAGTTATTGAGTGGTCACCAAATATACAATCTATTTATTCTACTACCTATTCTAGTTATTATGCGTTAAAAGCAATATTTAATATGTTTACACATTGACTATAATCATAATTAGTTTCATGAATTGTAAATAAAAGTAATTATAACTTATAAACATAATTATTTTTAAAACCTAGCATAAAATTATTAGATAGAAATATTTAAAAAATTATTTATAGTTATCATAGTAAAATATGTTATAAATTATAAAAAATTATTTTTATGCTAGGTTCATTACAGCCTGACTGTTGACCAAGATTAGGTTTTTATATAAAATTATAAATAATGGTTTGTGTAAATGGCAAATAAATGTTTAAATATCAGATAAATTCATTATTTTTATATTAATGTATTATTATTAAAATGTTAAATGAGTAAGTATGTTATTACATCAACATAAAAAGTAATTTACAATAATAAAGTAAATACATTGAACAACTAAATAATTTACAGTAGCTGAATCTAAATTCTCTAAGACTTAAAAAGTTATATTAACTTTATCCAGTATGACCTATAGTGTATTTTAAAATAATTTATAAAAGATATATTTTCTGATAGTGTAAACAAATATTGTTGTACTTCATACTTAATTGTCAATTAATTTTTAAAAATATTAATAGGAATTAAATTTACTTATTTATCTGTTCAAGGCTATCAAACAGTCAGTACACTCATACCTTTTGTATTTTGTCATAATTAAATAATTAAATATTGATATTTTTAATTTTATCTAATGTTCGAACAGAGTACCTATATTATACAATTTTCTACCTAACTATATTTTACAGGTTTGGACAACTCTTGGGCTACAAAAGACAAGAGTTGCCATCCTGGGGAAATGGGTATGGTGCGGTGGTTTTCCATTGCTTTACGCACCATTTCTCTATCTAGATGGTTGCCCGCCCAGCTAGAGAAATGGTCAGCGACCGAGATTTGCACCACGGCTAGGGCGTAGAAACGCTAGAAAAGTATCATGTGTTATTATCTTATAAATGAATTAGGTACCTTAATTTTTTATTTTATTTGATAAGATATTGGCCTCAATTATATACTCAATGAGGTCAAGTGCATAAGTATAAACTATTGAGAATATTATAAGCTCAATAATTATAAATATTTTTTAAGTCTTACATTTGATACTTAGCATTGTTATTGATAATTATATTTCTTCACATATTTAGTCAGTGTTATTATTATTTTTAATTGTTTATCATAATAATAATAATATAATGTATAATGTATATTATAGATACTGGGAATTAAACCATGTTTGTCTCGAGTTAATGACTTAATCAAAGAAGCTCTCTCCAAAGCTGATCTCAACAATAATATCAAGCTTAACGGATTGGTTAGTACATTATTTATTTAGATGTACTGTAATCAGTGGTGTAGTCTAAAGGGTAAAAGTGCTATGAAAGCGTTGGTAACGACTGCACCACTGATTTTACAGCTTAATTAAAAAAAAAAATAGTAAATATATTGATGTTTTATTCTGTAGGGCCTTAGTTTGAGTGGCTGTGAAGATGCTGTATTTTGTAAAACCATTGAAACCCAATTAAAGGAGCTCTATCCTGAACTTACCAATGATGTTACCATAGTTAGTGACACTTTAGCTCCAATTGCACTTGCTTGTGAATCTGGTAAAAATAATTTTTATTTGATCCGTAATTTGTTTTCATGGCTATTAATTTTACAAGTATTAACACTTTAATTATATTTGTATACTATATACTCTGTGTTTGTATAAATCAAAATTTTTTATATTACATAGGGAAAAATGGTTTAACTCAATTTTTTTCATGAAATGAGTTAATAATGGTTGGTTAAAGATTGATGGGTGACCGTCACAATGGTAAACTCAAAAGAGGGGGAAAATATATTTAAGGCTCTCAAAATAATTGATATAGAATTCCCAAACAAGCAAAAAACGTGTTGATATTCCGTGGTTTTTACAATGGTATGGAAAATTATTTTTAACCAAATCTAGCTATCACTGTGTTCCCCTTTCCTCTCACAAATAATTATGTGAATTTTGAATAAAATGTATAGCGTTTTTAACACAAAAATTTATTTTCTGAAAAATTTTAAAAAATCAAGTTGACATGGTCTTTCCTTGTGGTCTTCATATATTGATATAGTATGATACGTGTTTATTTATGTTTAAATATTACAGGTGGAGCTGTTATTATTTCCGGCACAGGTTCTAATAGTCTTTTAATGAATCCAGATTCTTCAATAAAAAGATGTGGAGGCTATGGTCATCTACTAGGAGATGAAGGAAGTGGTAAGAATACAATAGTTATTTTGTTATAAAAAAACACAAAATGCTAATAATACTGTATGATTGACCTTTTTATTTTGCCTTATCCTACATAAGTATTTCAGTTTTATTACATAACTAAAATATATAATAATATTTGGTAAATACTATTCACTAATATATTATCAATTATTATAATTTAACATTTTAATTTAATCCAAGTGGTTCGTTAATCTAATTAAATGTTTATATTAATGTTTTAGCATATTGGATAGCGCACAAAAGTATAAAAATATGTTTAGATCACATAGAAGATTTTAACTATGCACCAAATGGTTACTCAATCGATAAAGTCTGGAAAGCTATCAAAGAACATTTGAAAATTGAAACAGTGTATGTAAAATGTAATATTTAATAATAATAAAAAATTTATAAATTCTATATTAAAAAAAAAAATTGTTTACACTATATTTTTTAGACGAATAAAATTAATAATTTATATTGTCCTTTAACTGTATGTTATTTATAAACTAATAAGTAATAACTATTTTAATTATATGACATGTTATAATCAATTACAAATTATTAATTCATTTGATTTATAATTTTAGACTTGATTTATTGGGTGAATTTTATGGTGAAAAAATGGAAAAGTCCAGAATAGCTAGTTTATGTAAAACATTAGCAGACTTGGCAAATACCGGAGATAAGTTAAGTCAGTGGCTTTTTGGGGAAGCTGGGAAGGAACTTGCTAAATTGGTGCAATCGCTTTATCCGAGTGCTCATAAAGTTAGTGTTATTAAATATAATATTTATTCATATATATTTAATTATCTTTTAAAGGGTGTAAAAAGCTTTTAGATGGTAAAATGTAAAATTATATACAGTATAAATTATGCACAAAATAATATACATTTTTTAATTCTTGTTTACAACAGTTATTACTTAAGGAAAATGGTGGATTACATGTTGTATGTGTTGGCTCAGTGTGGAAAAGCTGGTCGTTGCTCAAAGAAGGATTCATATCTCAACTCGAATACAACAAATCGAATAGACTGATAGTCCAGGAATTCACTTTAGTAGTGTTGGATAAAACTGTTGCTCTAGGAGGCGTCTACCTTATTGCTAAAAAATTAAATTATAATTTCCCATTTGATTACGAGCATAATTACAAAAAACTTTTTCATTATGTGCATAGCCATTAAAACATATAGTGATATACATGTTATATTAAATTAATGTGCCAAATTGATTTAGTTATAAAACGCAATATAATTAATAATTATACCATAGTTTTAATTTTGTTTAAGAATTTGTTTGAATTTTATTCTATTGTTAATTAGTTGTTGATTATTATTATTAATTTTATTATTAGTATTGTCCTTATAAAATTCACTCGTTTTAGTGTGAATACATTTGAATATAAAATACATATTTATTATTGCACTCACGAGTTAAATTATAGGACAGATTTTGAATTGGTTATTTTTTTTAAATTAAATTAACAATCTATTAGGTTTAGAACGCTGCCATCTCATGATGGCAGCATTGGGCCTCTGTGGCCCGTTAAGCTACATTTTAGGCTATATTTTCAATTCACATATCACATCGTTTTTGTTTTTATTATTTCTAACTATCTAAGTGATGAATTAGTTAAGTTAAATAACATTTAACCTTTAAAATATTGTATAATAAGGGGCCAATCAAAGTTAAATAAAGAATTATTTATAAATTTTGGTATTTTTAATTATTTTTCTGTACCAACTCTTCTATTGAACTGCTGCAATTTAATTTTTATATTTGTTAAATTACCAATGGTAAACCATTTTTACTAATACTTGTTCATTTTTAATTTAATACATCATTGCTCCTATAATAGTAATATCTTATAAATGTACTTGTATAAAAAACTACTCCTTATTTACCAAGAAACCTATTTTATTAGGATTTAACAATGAAATATTGCCTAGGTTCTATATTTATTACTTAGAAACATTGTTACCGCTCAACACATCTTTCATTACTTAACTTGTTTTTACCGTGTGGTTCATGCTTTTGTATTAAATTATTTTTCGATGTTAATTTCTTCTATAATGTAGCAATTAACTGAACAAGCTATTTAAAAATAAATATTTTTAATAAAACAATAGCATCATTATGTGTGTAGTATTTGTATATAAATATTAAATAACCATAACCTTTAAGCATAAAAAAAATGTATAACCATAGTCCTTAGTCCTGAAGGATGTTGGGAGATAGAATGCTTAAAAAAGGAAAATTTCAAAAAGTAATAAAAAACAATGGGGGGTTCGATGAAGTTCAGGGAAAAGTTCATATTGTACTTTCTAACTAAAAAAAAGTAAGTGTCAAAAATAAAATCTGTTTTCCAGAATAGGACAGTAATTTTACAGGTTAAAAACATAGTTTTTTGACTGAGATATTCTCTCCGGAACAAATAGATTTAATTTTAGAACGTATCATTGCAGTTTTAGTCTTGGAATTCAGTTGTAAAATTAAAATTGTGTAGACATTACACACTATACACATATTTAAATAAATCATACCATAATATTGATGTCGAATGGAAAATGAGGTGAAAATAAAACAATGTTGAAGATTAATATTATAATAAAACGCTATTTTATTAAATGACTAGAAAAATGTAATATGTGTAAATTTTAAATTGTATAATAACAATAAAAAGGTACATATAACTATAGTGTATTTTACTAAAACAATCGTTTATATTTTAAATAGGTAGTTATATTTATACAAGTATTATAGACCACATACATAGATATTAGATTGATCTAAATATGACGATTGTCGACGTGCAAAATTTCAATAAATCCGTTTAAAAATATATATCCAACTAGTTTATAATTAAATATTGTACAGCTTATTTGTTTCGTACTATGTATTTTTTATTAATATAAACATGTTTTAAATTTCAGAGAAATAATATTAATTTTCAATGGAGAAGATTCCTTGTTTCTTGGGTAATGACACAATTTTTAATTTGCAAAATGTGAAAAAATTAATCATCCCCCCACCCCCGTCAGAAATATCCTACTTCATAATATGTAAAAACGTTTAGATTTACGTAACCTTGAAATTATTTATATTGCGTTCACTTTTTACAGATTAATAACTACAAGCTCATATGAGTGATATTGCATTTTGAAAAATAATAGTAACTATTAATGTAATTTTTAAATATAACGACACACTTAAGTATGTATTAATATTTATACCTATATTAATTCGTATAATATATGATTTGTACCTATAATAGTTATTTATTCATCAATACGTCGACTTGTTGTTGCACAACACAATTTCCTGTTAAATCTCTCTTTTATCTAGGTATAATATTATAAATTATTTTTAACAAAAAGTATCTATTGGAAAAATTGAAATCTCAATTTCTATACTAAATCCGACCTTGAAAAAAATGAAAAAGTATACATACTGGTTTTAAAAATTAGTTGACTCGGTACTAGCATTTTAAATGTACGTTAATTTTATTTAATATAAGAATACTGTTCCTCATGAAGCAAACAATTCATATGGAGGCCCGTCGATCATTAGGGTAATGATAATAATGTCGTTGAAATAAACAAAAGAGATCAAAGCTATGATTAAGTACCTACTTACTATGAATACTTACTAGACAGAAAAAATCATGATCATATGGATGTAGATACTTATTAGATATTAGAATAGATATTAATTTTTACAAACCATGAAAAAATGAATTTAAATACATTTTAAAATAAACATATGTAACTATATACATAGTAAAGTTAAATAACATATTTGGATACCTACTTAATGCTACGTATAGTAAATATAAATTAACACTCATTATCAGGTACTTTTTAATAGGTATTAGGTATCATGTCACAACAATAACGGTGGTAATTTTAAAAAAAAGTAGTATTTAGAAATTATTTTTTGTGATATGATAGTGGCCACTTTTTTTTTTAATGTTATAAATGCAACGTACGTACGTCATAGACAAAATAAAACCATAAGGTGGACAATAACTTTTTGAAGTGTATAAAATCAGAATTCGTAATTGTATAACAACCAAATGTCTGACTTTCAGATTTCACAAACTGATAATACAAGAGTATTCGTTAACGTTTTTTCATAGCTTAAACAGTAGTCTCCTTCAAGTGAATGTAGCAATGGTCGTTGACACTACTTTTGTCCAACGTTGTCTTTTCCCATACATTAACTTCTGTAAAACCTTTAGTAAAAATTCAAAACTAATTAACTTCTTATACCATAGGATAGATCATGGCAAAAAAGAAAACACTCGTGTATAGTGCAAGTCATTTGAAATAATTTTATAAGGTGTTTTATTAGGTAAATCAGCATAATCAAAAATAATAAATACTACAAATCGTATAATACAACTATAAACTAAGCGCAGCAACATAAAAAAGCACAAACAACAATAAACAAAATACTGCAAGAATAAAAAATGTTTGAGTAAAAAAGATAAAACTGTTAACACGTTAATAATTATTTTTATGGCATTTTTGACTTTTTAACACGTTTAATCATTAAATTATAAATATCAGAATTTAAAATGTATTTTTCGTACATTCTGATACATTGTAATTCATTAGAAATATTGCAAATCCTGACATCTATCTAGCTTCACAAATTCCATAAAAATAATTTTTTTAAATAAAGTCTTAGTCCTTTTATGAACACAAAAAACACTCAAGTCCGTGTAAAATCCAAACAGTCACAGCCATAGTTTCGTTTATAAAATAAATGTTATTGATTAAAAGTTTGACAGTTAATTAAAAAGAAACAAATTCAAACTAATATAATATTATATCACTTAAAAAAAAAACATATTTAATTTTCGTGTGTCGGACTGTTTGTTATTACACTTCCAGCGCTGCCAAAAAAACTATTATGATCGATATTACACCATTAGATTTTTCCAACTATTAACTACAGTCGCGATCGATCAGGTACTTAAAAATTAGCAACACAAGCTTAGTGGTGTTTAGATCAAGGCGTATTTATTATCATAACATCGTTGTGTATGAATATGTAATGTGAGTGGTTTAATAGGAACACGTGGATTAATAATTTCTAATAAATAAATAACTAGAACGATAATATGCAGGTGTATCGCTAATATTCAGTCAAAACATTAAAATTACACTTAGATATCTCAATGGCTTTAAAAAAAAAAAATATGTATTTGTCCAAAGTACAAAATCCTATTGTATAATTGTTAAATAAAATATTCTTAATGGGTATTAGTATTTTAATTATGATTATAGTTATCGTGGGTGATCACAGCGAACCATTAGGGACTTTGGGTTTCCAAACGAATTTCGCTCGTAAAATAGTAAAAATGTCAATTTTATACTATTCTACACGAATTTTTCGACAGTTTTTCTCTACGCGATATTTTCGTGCTGGCCGTGAGCGAAGAACGTTTATCGCATATTTTCCTAATCGTAAACGAGCACCACTGTAATCTGTTGGTCACTGTCGGCTGGCTGGTTGTGGCCTGTGTACTGGAGCTATTGTCGTCGGATACCCGCAAACAGCCCTCCTCCTCTTTAGATAACGAACACGTAGAAAACGGCTCCAGTACGGTTTCGGTTTTGTTACCGCCATCGTCCACCGGCGAGTCATCACGCTGGCCTTTGTGGACTTCGTCTTCGGCGATCTCTTCAAACCAATCTTCGTCCGAAGAACTGTGATGGCTCTGATACCTCTGCAACGACGTGTCCACGCTGGCGTTGGACTTGAGCCGGACCCTCCGGTGTCCGTTCTGTTTCCAAGCCCTCTGCACGAGCACCGGCAGTTTCCACTTGTTTGTAGTCTTGCACACGCAGCTCGACCACGACGACGACGACGTCATTTTGTTGTTGTTGTCGCCGATTTTTTTCCGCAAGAAACTACCGCATGAAAACGACGACGACGTCTTTGGAGATACCACGTCACCGCGGTTGTTAATCAGGTGCGGAGGGCTGCTAAAAGCTGTGGTATAGGCGACAGGCGAGGAGGAGGAAGGGCACAACGTGGTTACTGGGGCCGACAGTGGTATTAAAGCCGAAAAAGCCGGTGTAGGAGGGTGAGCGTCCGCGACTTGACCTAATACTGTGGTGCTAGGTTGAAAATCTGGTATATCTACGGGGATGCAACACTCGTCTGTATCTACACCAGAAAAAGCATGCGGCGGAATTATTTGGGATTCGGGCGACACACGGTTAAGCTTACATTCACACTGCAACACCGTACCTGCGTGGTTCGTTATGTCCAATTTCAAGTACACGGGCTGCAAAATACAGTACAACAAAATATGTGTTTTTATCATAACGATTTCCACGGAGCTCCGACGGGAGAAACAGTTAAACGATAATACGAGACAAATAGCGTAAACGGGCCACTGTTACCTTATGATCTCCCATACAGGTGGTCTTTCCAATGAGATCGTACTCGAATCCAAAACAGTCTTCGTCGAATACCTATGTAATGAATTAAACACAAATATTTTACATTTTTGTACGTTGTCACACATCTTGAACCAAACAATTTTAACTTCGACGCGGTGCGCTGCTGAGAAAGTAATGTTTAAAAAAAACAAATGTTTTGTGTCTGGCCCACGATATTTTTTTAACCACAGAACCGATCTCTTCGTGTAGCAAGTTTAGTAAGTCAGAATTGTACCCAAAAGGTCCTTCATAAGCTCAAAAGGGGAAAAATGTAGCCTCTTTCTTTTAAAATTGAGAAAAACCTTATTAAGAGACTAGACATTATTAAGGAACGCTATAATTTGTTAGAAAAAAAATCGAATTAAGTTCATATTTATTTGGGATATTCTTTAGATATAGTACTATATCTATAAGGTGAAAACCTAAGAAAATAACCCCACAAAACTTTTCTCCTTAAGAGGGTGAAAACGTTTATATTATTTATTTTTTAACCTGAATTTTTGGGCTATAGACTAAAAATTAGACTGTAGTGTGGCCATATTTGTTCAAAAATCTGTTGTCAACATTTTAACATGATCATGTTTTTAAGCTGGGGGTCAATAAAAAAAAATGAAAATTCGTGAAATTGTTTGCGTCACGCAGCACGCTAATTGTATAATTATGTAACTTTGCTTACAAAATAACAAATAATAATAATATAATATACTCCAGACACTTTACGAAGGTACCTACGCGGCGGACCAAAACTCGATAGTCGCCGCCTAGGTCGAATCTGTATGCACCGGTGCAACCCAAACGGCTCCCATCCATTGTTTGTTTTTTCCTAAACGGTTAGAAAAAGGTTTCACGAGTAGGTAAATTCCCAAACGGCCCCGGTATTCGGTACTACGCGTATATTATCAAGTCTCTTTAACTTTTCAAAAACACTTAAATTTAAACCTGTAACCTCCTCCTAGACTGTAGCCTACAAACCTAGGATGATTTTAGTTAGCGGAGCGAAGTGACGTCACCCAGCCATACAATATTTTGCCAATTTGTGTAATACCTATTGTAACACATATCTATATAATTTACCCCAAAATCGACAAAAAAAATCGCATATCAGCTTCTGTTATCCTATCACAGATTTAATATTTTTCACTATTTATAGTTTTGCATCGAAGTGTTTGTTTGAAAGAGATTTTATCATTTTCAGCTATATCAATTCCTGTAGATTTGTGATCTCCTTGACTTTACACTATACTCCGTTCCCACTATGCTGGCTTTTTTTTATTTTAAAGAGGGATTATATTCCCATTAGTGGGCGTGTGATGCACCTTATTACAGTTATTATTACCTTTTCGTCTAACAATAACTTTGCACCGGAACTCAGGACGACTCTGTCACACCAAGCTGGACACCGAGTTTTCATGTAGTTCATACCTTCTTCTTCGTTCTCTTCGAAAGGATAGCTGGGTTGGAAATGAATAGGAAATTCAAATAATTGACCTTCAAATGACTTTAGTTCGTGATCGAAATCTTTCAACTGTAAACGAGCGTTAGGATTCAAAACATTTATAATAGGCCAATTAAAAATAAAAATGTCCTAGTTACCCATGATCCAGCTTTTGAAACGAACGCATTTTGATGGTCTAAGTGACAAAACTCTTTTTTTCCCAATTTTAATACAACCTTAAACACATTGAAAACACCTTAAAAAGATAGTATGAATAAGCAGACAATAAAAACCATTTTAACCCTTACGGATCGAAGCCACACGATCGTAAAGATGTAGTTTCACCCCTTGGTCCAGCAAAAAATAAATTTATTTTATTTTTTAAGTATAATAGACCGCTCAATAAAAAAAACCCTAGGGCTGTAAGGGTTATTTTCTAATAATTAACATCAACATCTGTCGGATTTTCGTCAAATAGTGTTAATCTTTCCAACACCACCAACTCAGAAACTAGTTAGAAGATTAGTAAAATCTTATTGTAATTTGGCTTGTTTGATCAATTTTTAATTAGTTACCGGTTTAACAGCAGTCATTATTATTCAAAGGGGAAGGGCCACGGGATTACTTAAACCTAGTGGTCAATGATGACGCAAAGTAGTACATTTTACACTTGTGAATCCATGTATATACATAATGAAATTACCATACACTTATTAATTATATCTTAACATATTTAATTTTAATGTTACACTTGGAAAATCTTTTTGTAATTGTCATAGAAAATATAAAAACCATCAATAATTTATATAAATATAAAAAAAAACATCTTACTTCATTTGAACTGTCTGCATATTGGAGAACTAATTCGTCTTTGATTACGTCATCTTTTACCAAATCCAATCCTTCAACTAATTTCTATAAAACAAATTTGAATAAATAGCTTAAAAACTAACAGCATAAATTATTTTTTACCATTATTACAGCTTTTGTATCCGTACGAAAATTAAAATCCCCAAACAAAAAAAATGGTGCACATCCAAACGCATAGTCACGAAAGCTAAAATGAAAATAAAATGATTACAAATTTAAAACTATCTTTTAATAAACGATAAAGTAGCTTTTTTACATGAGAACTAAAATTTTAAACACCAGATATTATAACAATGGCCGTGAAACAATTATCCCTTGGTTTTCGCATTTTCAAACGAGCCTATTAGACCTCGTGACTAAAATGTAAACGTGTTTTTTAATTTTCTTAAGTAATTTTTAATAGGCATAGTATATAGTTAATTGTTAAGTATATACATAACTTATTTAAATAGTAGATTAGTCTATAAAATGATTGATAACAATAATGAGTAATTAAAATAAGGTATGAATTACATTTTGAGATGATTTAATCATTAGCATATTTTTGATTTGTTAATCAGTTCGCACGTCACTAGACTGTTACGACAATTGTTACCTATGAATTTTTACGTAAAAGGTTATACAAAATGATAGGTACATAGTATAACCAATAAATATTTTGATCGATTGTTATATAAAGTGTGAATAACATTTCAAAGTTCACAATCCATATTGTATAACGTCAAAGTTTTCGTCATATTTGTTTTAAGTTACATAGTATTGGATAATTAAAATAATAAGAAATTTATATGAATAAGATAATTCAAAAATAACATTATAACACATGATTACATGTTATTATGCTACGATGCGAAATTAAACAAATATTTGTTTACAATTTCTCTCTAGTAATGTTTTTTTTTCTTTAAAAACAAGATTATTTAAGGCGTATTTCCTAAAAATAAAAAATTACTCTGTTGATGTGTGACAAAAATTGTGTTTTAACTTTTAATAAATTAACAGGCGTAACGTTTTATGTGAATAATAAATAAAAGAAAGAAGAAACTCAAATCCAATTATAGGAATGTCTTTTTCCATTCTGCGTTTTATTACATTGTTAAAAATTATTTTTAAATAATCTTATTGTATTTACATACCGTTCTAACGTGTATTCAAGTGCTTTTTGCCGCATGATGGAATAAACAGAAGGATGCTAAACAAAAATCATAATTTATTATAAATAAAATAATAGTTTTTAAACATAAAAATATTGTAAAATGTGTTATACCCTAACATAGGTAAACATAGGGATGTTGGACATTACACTCATACCTATAAACCGCAAAAAAAATTCAATGAAAAACCCTTATTAAATTAATTAATTTGTTTTCCTTCTAGTAAGTTTATTTCATACTTGATGTACATTCCACATTTGTTCATAACTAACGGAGACATAGTTTAATGGGTCCCTCTAAATACGTTGCAACTAACAATTTAGACGAAGAGGGACTTCAACGTAAAAACAACGTAACAAAAATTTATAAGTAATGACATTTTACAAAAAAAATTATATAGAACACACACAGTGCAAATATGAGTTATTTCCTGAAAATTAGTTACAACGTTTTTAGAGGATCTATTCAGTTACTGAAATCAAAAAGATTGAATAATTTGATAAACCTGAATGTTTTATGTTTTTATTTGAAAATGGTTAGGTAATTTTTACAAATACTATGTAAGTAAGTATTTAAATTTTTAATGAATCTAACTGAGGAATTTGTAATAGTTAATGACAAATGACTTACAGACTCCATTGCAGTAAAATTTGATGCATCATGAAACAAATGAATGTTTACAAGGTCAAAAACAGTTCCATTAAGTTTCCATCTAGTTCTTAAAAATCCTTTACGAGACCATTTACACTTAAACAATAATAATTAAGTATAATTATAAGACAGCTAATAATAAGATTTTAAGCGTTGTACCTCTGGGAAAAATTCCTGAGGGAATTTCGATTTTTCTTTGGTCGTGACGTTTTCAATACTCCCAGAATGAATAACAGTGTTAGTGACGGGAACAAATTGCAATTCTAGAAAATAAAATCGAAGATTTAGATACGACTAATAGTAAGTAATAGTATGTTAGATGAGGACATGGGGAATTAGAACATACAACAAGAACCATCACCATAGTGTCAATATGTTAGTTTTATACATTTTAAAGATAGAAATTATAATGTTATGTTAAATTAAAGTTACATAAGTTCTTATATATTTTAGGTTAATTTTAATGTAAAAAAAACAAGTCATACGAAAAATCGTATACATTTTTACAGTTATTAATTATTATAGTCTTACCTTTAAAATCCCAGAGCGATACATCTTTTATGTCTTCATGAATAAAGTAAAAATTTCCGAGAGCCTAAAAAAAACAATTTTATAATATTTTAGTATATTTAATAGCCAAGTTAAACTCCAATGGGGCTAATTGCAGCTTTGATAAAGATTATGACAAAAATGCATTGATTATTTTTAAATTGTTTTAAACTAAAATGTATATATTATTGAATAAATGTAATGATTTATTGATGCATTATTAAATGTTAATACTATTATCATGGTAAAAAATAAATTATATACAAGCTGTCGTATTGTGCAAAAATTAATAGTTACCAATGAAATTATGGAAATGCCGTTTTTATGTACTTGAAAAAGTAATTCCCAATATAACACCCTTTCCCCAACAAAAAAAATATATAAATCAGTGATTGATATGGGAAACCGAAAGTAAAAATATACCGTAAAAATTATATTTGGCTAGTTACTGTAAAATTTTCTGCCGAAGTGAATTCTTCGTCAAGAAATACTTGTGCTCTATTGAAGATCCTCAATTCTTTACTCGACATCAAGAGACTGCAATCAGTAAAATACACCTTTAATAACCATGTAAAACAATATATGTATATCATTACGATAAACATTTCGAACATTTACACACTATATTTAATAAGCTCCTAAAATATATTAATTAAATAGTGAACAATCTAAAGAATATATTTAACTGGGTAGGGAATGACAAGGGTCACATCTTTCCCTCCACATTTTTAATAGTTTAATTATATTTCTAAAAAACTTAGAATTTTATAATTGTCAAGATATCAATGAAACTATATGTAATAAAATTGTGTTTTTCTTCCTAAGTTTTACAAAATACATAGATTTTTTTGTGTTTTACTAACTTGTTTCTAGAGACTGTGCGGATTTTTAGTTACACGTTCAAAAAAAGAAAAATACAATTTTTTAATTTCAAATTATAAAAAACAAAGCAACTGCATGAAGTATAAACTCATGTATATTGACATATTGATCATATTTACAAAGAAACCCATAAACATAATGTAGTCACTAAAAACAATTCAACTGTGCGAGTGTGGCCTAAAGTCATAGAGATAAAACTGAAAACTACAAAAAAATAAATATGAAAACTGGTAGCGGTCCACGTTTAACAAATAAAATATCAGATATTCCAGGAAAAATCGTGTCTTTATTATCGAAGGTTTAGTGGCGGGTAAATGTTACTGTTTCTTACTAAAAAAAAAAAATTAAATACATATACTTAACTGTCCTATTATTTTTTTACGTTATTGAGCTAAGTCTTAAAATAATTTAAATCAAACGTATGCTTTGATTTTTATTTTAAACAATGGTTTGGTTTTCTACAAATTACTTAAAAATAAGAAACATACGTTTGAAAAATTAATATGTTTGCATACATGCGTAACGTAAGAATGAAAGAAGAAAAAGGATAAGGAACTCTGATCCGAGCTTATTCTACTGTACGTTTCAGTAGGTATATAATACAATTATGCTTTATTTTTAATAAATTACATTTTTTATAGGTATTCTATAAAAAAAATAGTAGTAGTAAGTAGTAATTATATAATGTCAAGTAATAAAACTATCTTTTTAAATGAATTGCGAAACATCTTTACAACATTTATATTAGTGTTATAGCTGACTTACCTTGAATAATAATGAGAAACCTTATACTATTAATGTCAGAAATATTCTATATTTACGCCCATTAAAGGTCTTTCCTAGTATATACCTCCAGATATTTCCAATATATTGAAAATGCAAAAAAATAAATAATGATATTTTTAAGTTTAGTGCGTTAGACTTATTTTAAACATATTTAATATTTATACTTAAAACCTTCAAGCAATTAATTTTAAAATATTAAAACGGGAAACATTGAACGTATTATGTTATTCAATGCACAATATCATCCATAATATAGAAATAATATTATATTTTTATTTATTTTTCGTTTGGTTTAATTGACAAAGTAGCAACAAAGTATATAATATAACATTTTCAAAACAAGTAAAAATAACTATTAATATAAGATTTCTATACCATTATATTGTTAAAAAATGTACTTAATATTCGGCAAAATACCATAAAGAAATATCTTCTTTTCCCGTCTGATAACTGATTACAATCTCCTTCCAGCAAACGTCTTTCTAATTTCATTTAGTACTATTAAAATATATACATCGTGTGTCATTTATTTTAAACTATATTGTACAATAGAAAAAAAGATTACTTATCTTTTATTTAAATTAGTACCAACTGAAATAATAGAAATAACAATGTTAAAACTAATAAATTATGCTAGGTGTTAATTTATATTTTATAGCCGAATAAGAATAGCACTTCCATATATATAAAACGGACGGATAATGTACGTCAAATCGTAGGTAAATATACATTAGACAAGCCAAAGACAAATATTATACATAATACTTGTCAGTACCCGTATATATTTCAAATTACTATAATATGCAATGTACATAAATAACATATAATGTCAAGCAAATATGAATATCATACTCGCTAAATTTAAGATTTAATAATAAGACATAATAAATATTGACATTAATTGTAAGTAAATAAATAACATTTATTTTTCAATATGATTAAACGTAAATCAATTATTACTGTTAGAATTAGTTTTACCATCACGTATTTAGGCGCATCTGTTTACGCTATATTACCAGTCACAACTTCTTAACGATCAGAAAAAAAACAATCACATTTTTATGAAAACTCCATAACTTAAGTATGAAAAGTAAACATTTTAAAATTTGTTTAAGCAACAATTTAGAGTTGAGTCTACTCGAGATGTCCTAATATTTACTTCTTCAGTGCTCGGAAGGATTAAGTTAAAAACGTCAACTTTCCAGGAAGAATGATTACTTAAATAATATGTAATAAATGAATATCTATTTTTATCGAAAAGTTTTCGTTGTTTTTAAGGTTGAAAATGTTTTATTTTATTTGAATTTATCGAAGGCTCCAACTTCAACTACATTTTGACAATGCTAATTCCCAAAATGTCCTCATGTTTTCTTCTCTAAAAAACACTTGAAATGAGAAGAACATTAATTCCTAAATAAATGTAAGTATAACATTTCAAAGTTTTGTTTAAAACCATCATCCACAATCTAGTAAAATTACCCGTTAAAATAACTTGATTAAAAGTATCAAATTTATAAAACTCTCTTGTAAATTAGCGCAAATGTAGTTCAGTTCTCACAACCTGTAAATTCTGAAACTTCTAAATTTCAAATTTATATAACACCACCATGAGAAATGAAAGGAGAAATGACAGTATCATCTTAACAACTCATAAAAATTGTTTAAATTGGTAAACATTTATGCGTAAACACTACATAAAAAAGTTATGCGTTGATTTGTGCACAAGTGTTGAAATCCTATGGTAAATGCTATTTAAACTTCAACCCTTGTAGGGCATCCGCACGGATTAAAATGAATATTTTTCCAATTTGTTTTTTTTTTATCTTGTTGTTATTGTATTTAGAAACTTTTTAGGAGACGTCGAGGTTAAAATTCGAAGAATACACACCATAATATTTAGAAACCAAACTAAGAAAAATATGTTTATTTTTATATTAAGTAGAGAGAGTGTGTAAAATGACAACGACGGAACCGCTCATCGGCAAATAACATGACGAAACTTGACCTTAACTTGACCAAAAAACATATTTTTGGGAGATACTTCAGCCAACCTCCCCGTGGTGTCTCCTGGATAACGCTAATAGGCTAATAGAAAGTGGTAATTATTATGTGGCCGCAACTCATACGTCTCTCTCCTAAACCCGGGCCGCAACTCGTACTTGATTTGGGGATTAGGCCGCAGCTCACCAACACCGGTGTCGAGCATCCTCTCAACTATGTTGTTTATATTGTTTTGAATACAATAAAGACAATCGGCAACCCGGGGAGAAGTAATGTCCCACCCCCTCGGGTAATTTTAATTACTACAAATTATAGTAGCTTATGGACAGACGAAAACATTTCAACGACTAATTGAAATATTGAACAGATTTAATCATATAAGATGTCTTTTAAAACGTAAAACCAATATTTCAGGTATCGACCGAGAGAATCAACATTCTCGTTTACCGTTTTACAAATTCCGACTTTTAGGAGTACTTGCAATAATTACTTGATGAATTTTCATTTGATTGTAATCCTTACCTAAGTTAAAAAACCCTTGTTTAGGGAGGTTAAATAACATTTTAAAATTATATCTTTTCCACTAATTGTGAGCTTAGAAGGAAATAACATGCTGCAAAGCATAGGTACGTCAAACATTTAATTGAATGTTCCTGACTTGGACATTTGGTATAATCTGAGTTTTAAGTCAATTGTAATATTATGTGATTTAGATTTACAAATTAGTGTTACATTTAAGGTTTAAATTCGAAAAACAATATATTGCATTCGTTTTTTATTTGGAGTCGATACCTGAACTCTCGGTTTACGTTGGGATCAACATTCTATGACCTATGTTAACCACCGCACCGATTAGTGTTTATGGATCGTAATTCAAACGTTTGTCGAAATACCGATATTAGGTAGGTCACTGATATACCAGGTGATTCTTTTAACGCCTTACACCAGTTCTCTTAAAAGTTAAAACAAAATTTTCATTCTGTAAATGTTTTAGTATAGAACAAAAAAAATTATGTTATCAGATATGCGATAGTAAAGTTTTTCTTACACTAAAGTAGATTTTTTATGCCAATATCAGAAATTTTTCATTATCTCGGAACTTGTTAGTTGTGTTCATAGGGCCGTCTTAGGCTATGTAGGCTAGGTCGAGGCCTTGGGCACAATGCGTTTATTGGGAGCCCTTTAAGAAAACCAAAAAAAAAAGTAAAAGTAAATTGTATTATTTGGGGCCCCCATCAGGCTGGGGACCCTGGGCTCGTGCTCCACATGACCTTAGGATAAAAATGGCACTGTGTGTTCCTCTGGAACTCTAATCGAACTAATATATCTTGTTTTTTGTTATCTCGAACATTTTGATAGCAACTTCAATATTTTTGTAAAGGTCAAAGAAAGTTTTCATACAAACACCGGTGTGGCCATAATCGTGTGACCTATTGGAAATTTCTCAGATTCTCGATAGGCCAGTGTACACGTGATCAGTCTTACAATTGAATTGGACATAAATTGCTACGTCTCAACTTAAGAGGTTAAAATATAAATATGAAATAATGATTAATAATAAAACATTAATTTATAATTAAGTATTAAGGGATATCTCGATTTTTTCCCTCGAACTTTGTTTGTTTCTCCTTGAGTTTCGGTGTAACGAGAATGTACTGTAAAGGTTTTGTATTACTACTGGTTACTACTATTTAATACAATATATTTAGCAAATTTAGAAGGGTATTTTTCTACAATGAGACGAAATGTCTGAGAACTAAGTTTTAAATAAAACAAGTTTAGCAATTTCACTATAAAGGCTGATTCATTAAAGATAAGTCTATAAAATTGCAACTATTTTAAGAAAAAATGAGTAGCCTAATCCTTAAAGAATCGCCCTGTATTTAGTACCAATTATAAAGTCCCGTGACGTTCAAAATAATATACCTACCTAAATTCCATTGTTAAGAATTATTTCATTAAAGATAGAGGGATATACATCATAGAGGGAATATTTTTTCTTTTTAATTGTCTTTTAGCCAATACATTTTTTAAACTAAATTAACTTTTAAATACGTGGCACGACTTTTAATTAATGATACCTCCAAAACAGTAACCTCGCAGAATTAGTGACCGCCCGCCTCAGTTTTTATTATTAAAAAAGCTATAATGACACTAATAATGTGATAAGTACTTGAATGATTAATGACTTGTAACGAATCTTAAACTCTGTTAATATTTTAAATGACGCAACATACTATAATAATAAAAATCATGCATAACAAAATAAATAAATACCTAACAAAAAAGTCGACGTGCTTCATACTTTCTTCGTAATTTTTTCCTCCAACTTCTTGACAGTGTAAGGCAATGAAGTACGGATCCAATCTGGTGACGGTCTGCAAATTAAATTAACGATGCAACTTTTGTCATTATACTAGGTATTTAAATTATAACAGTAAGGTACTTACATTTAGAAATTCTTTTGTCCATATCTTCAACATCACATTAGGCTAAAAAAAAAATAAAATAAAGTATTAAAACATTTTAAATTCTTCTCGAGTGCCATATTTACGTATAAAAAACAATTTACCACTTTATAGCAAAATAAATACGTGTTGTATAATTACAAAAAAATAAAATAGCATAAAGAGTTTTAACCTTATAGCGCTGAGGTACAGTACAAAATCAATAAGTTACCAATCAAAAAATCGCCCGGACACGATCTCATCACAAAATACAAGTAATACAAAATCTACCTAAGAAATCTATAATTCTTCTTACCCTAATATATAACACCCTACGTTTATCTTATTTTCCAAAAACTTGGAAAGCGTCTGAAATCATAACAGTTTTTAAACCTGGCAAACCTCCTGAAAGCCCAATCTCTTACAGGCCCATTAGCTTGTTACCTGTACTTGGACAAATATTCGAGAAAATACTACTATGTCGTCTCTTGGCTACTACTCAAAAATCCAAAAGTATACCGGATTTCCAATTCGGTTTCTGCGCTAAGTATGCAACACATAAAGTCGCAAACCAGTGGTGTATTTGAAGGGAGGCGATAGGAGTAATCGCCCCCCTCTGAGATATATTTGCCATAATATTTAATGTTTGTTGAACTTATAAGCGTTTCTAATTTTAATCAATAAATAAATAATTTTTTTTTCATAAGAAATGTTCGTTATTGTTTTTTGAAGATATTCGTTTTGATAACATATAACATTATAATTACGGCCCACGGGGTATAATATCACCTTTGGTTTTGGCTCCGCGCCTCCGCGGTAGTTAAATGTTGATGATGTCATTGATAGATTTGCAAATATTAAAAAAAGAAATATAGATCTTATTTTGTAAATAAAAATGTGCTTTGTTTTATCAAATGTCTCCATTTTTTGTTTTGAGGGTGGGGGGTTGACCTCTCACCCCCAACAAAAACGTTTAATGCAAATATTATTTTCACATTTAGGTCATCATTGGAACGTATTGTTTTGTTTCTAAACAAATATTTAAAAAATTATCGTATATATTTAATACAATAGATAAAAAAACAGTTTTAGCCTTGAAAAACGAAACCTTAAGAGTTAATTCTGAATATAACTTAATAAGTAAGCGACAACTAAGCTAGGTAGTATATAATAATGACATCATTAAAGAAGTAAAAAGAAATCAATAGACTGAAAATATTTCATTCGTCTTTTGTCATTGTAATGACTAGCTGTCAATACAAGCGTTAAAAAACAAGATACGTTTATATTATATGTATTGGAAGCGGTCTGCAATTTTTATATTTTAGGCAAAAAGCTCTTACAAAATGTCTAATATCTACTGGTTTAAAATCCGAATTTCTTTTTATAAAAATATTTGTTTGTCAGCCTCTTTTGTAAAATTGTTAAAATACTTTAAAATATTGAACAATTTATACATTTTTTTTGTTTTATTACAAGAATTTAAGTTTGTTTACGAATCCGTAAATTTGTATAGGACTATTAAAATTTAGATAAAATGTCGCAAAACCTTTTTTTGCCTAAAAACTAAAAAATAAAAACACTACGAAAAAGCTAAAACTTATAATATAAATTGTATACGTGAATAATGTTGTGTTCTTATAAATTAAGTTCAAAATCGATTGAAACCTATTTTTTGTTGTCAAATATTGTATATATTTTGGCTCTTATTAAATACCTATCCTCTCGCGTGTTATTAATCATACACTTGTAATTAAGAATAACAACCAACAGTTTCGAAAATTATGTTTAATAATAATTTGATTTTAGCCCATTCGTAATACTTGTGTCAAACTTCAAGGATTTCACCGATATCAAAAGATGTTATACATAAAAATTAAAAAGTGTTAATAATAATTGGACGGACAAAATAAGTTATCACTTATAATATGTCTTCTTATCCTATTTCATGACGTGATATACATTTTCTCGAATTAAAGAAAATTAATGAACCTATTATTAAGAAGACGCTACACTACTGATCGTATATTGTCTGCAAACGCTGTGCAGGGGACAAAAGTGTTTTATGTGACAAGATAATTCCAATGAAACTTAAAGGAAAGTTTTAAAAGAGTGTTATAACTTATAAGACCAATATAGTTCCGTGTTGGGCGATACTCAAAAAATGAGTATAGCAGACATAAAAATGCTCAGGTAAATGAGTAGAGTGACAAGAGAAGATAGGCTAAGGTTGTTCACCATAGAATCTTATATCTTATATCTTATATATCTTACATCTTAGAGGTAGCATAAGCGTGGCTTCGATAGCAAACAAATTAGAAGATGAGACGATGACAAAATGCCGCAATTACCTATTTTTGAAACGTTTTATCTCTATGGAGAATTATATGTGATAAAAATAGTGTCACTAGTCGATGCAGAGTGAAAAATATAATAAGAAAATGTTAAAAACATTTATTTCAAAGAAAGTGGAGATTGCTGACTTTTCCACGCAACGCCTCATATATATATATATATATATATATATGAGGCGCAACCAAGGAGGGAGTCCTCGGGTCCAGATCCCTCCCTTGAGAAATTTTAAAGTGGAAAAAGGGTAAGGTAATTTTAGTTATTGTCTAATTACATCGTGCGAAGCTGAAAGGTCATTTTCTATACTCAAACATGCGTTTGAATAAAACTTATTTAAGATATTCTACATCTGAATCGAGATTGAATAGACTAGCTACTCTCAATATCCACTACGATATTAATGTATAATCCGAAGAAATAATAAATCGTTAAGCGATTTTGAAGCGCCGTTTAGACTTTATTTTATTTCTTATTTTACATTTTATTATTTAAACAGTAAAATAAAAAAAACATTAAATATAATATTTACATGACTATTTATAATTACATTTTTTGTATCATAATTTTGGACCTCCCCCAAAGGATATTTCTGGTTGCGCTACTGTATAAATATATGATTTTAACTATTAACCATTACAAATATGATTGTTGTAGTTATAACACAAATGTACATTTTGGCTAAGTAATGTTTTTAATCACCAAATTGTTCAGTATTTCTAATATAGATATTAAATACATATAAAATCCTCTTACAAAAATATGTTACATTCAACATTTAGATTTCATCAAAAATATTGTTTTTTTTATTAATTAACAAAAAATATAAATATAAAATTATTAAAAACCAATAATATTTTAATTTTATAAATTTAATAGAAACACCATGAAAATTTAACATATTTAAATATATACTGTATCAAAATGAAAATCTATTAATCCTTCTGATAATAATGTAGACACTTAAACTAAAGGGGATGTTCTTAATCTATAATTAGCCACTATCCAAAGCAGCAATTTGTAATTTAATATGGCTGAAGACATACACTTTAACGACTAGTAAGCAACAAACTTAAAACATAAGTAAATTATTATTGTAGGTATGTACTCACATTTTCAAATATTGAACCGATATTGGCTGTAATCAGTAAGACTCTGGTAGTAGACGCACTAGCCGCCATATCAGAAAACAGTTAAGATTTTGCTTCCAACAGTAACAGCTAACAATGACTATGAACTAGTAGTTGGACAACTGAAATTCTAGTGATTTCATCAGTGAAAACATTATTCATTTTCTGAATTGATACTAAGGTTACTTTGGAAAAAAAAACAGTACATTAGTTCACTGTAAAAATTTGTGTACATCTGTCAGTTATAATATAACACTGACTTGAACACAATTTATGCAACTATAAGATAGGTATAAAAAAAAAAAATATATATATATATATAAATATATATTTATAAATAATAACTTTTAAATTACTGAAAAATTGACTAGATTTCAAAACGAATTCATATATGAGACACTTACTAAGACATACAAGTGCTACAGTTTTAATAAGGATGGATGTATTAAAGGACGCGTTTTTCACACTGTATTGTAATGTTATAATACATCTATCAGCCTATATTTTACAAGCACGGACTACGGGCGAAACGCATACTGTTTAGCAGTTAACTGTACAGGTTTGGTTTATTGGTTTAGAGCACGGTCGACGTTTAATTACAATATTAACAACTACTAGTTCACTGACCACAGTTTACTTGTATTTATAACATATATAGTAATATATTACAAAAAAGTGTATAAACACGAACGAACGGTACGATATTACTATTATTGATAAGGTTTTAAGTAGACACGCCCACACGTGCTGACGTCAATATGTCTCCTCTTCCTGACAATACAGTGCAATACAATACGCACTACGCGGTGCGGTACGATAATGCCCAATCGTTAACGGCAACGCAACAGCCGAAAACCAGCTTATACGTGCCGATAACAATATTAATACTCGTGTTATACGATATTTTAATTTTGAAATTAAGCTTATATTGTAAATATATAAAAAAAACTCCATGTTCTGCTAACCAGGGAAACATCGGAGGATTATGAATAAAACCACTAAAACAAATATTTGACCAAATAGGTGTCCCTGTTACACAACTTTACATAGAACAGTAAAGTCGGACCTGCTGATCAAATAGCCCAGGAATAACCAAAAACACTACCAATGAACATTTTGTGCTATTTATTCTGTTTTGTGGGTTTATGTAAATTTGGCCAGTAAAAAATAATGTTTTAATAATGTACGTGACGTATATTCGCTAAAGAACTTTTTAAACACATACGAATGTCCGCCAAACACCGTTTAGTTAGGCAACCCAATATACTATGCTACAAAATCAATGTTATAATGTAAAAATTACAACAATATAATAGATATCATTTGTTACCTTCCAAAGCAAATAATTTCTTTTAAAATTAAAAAATCGGATATTATGAATTTGAACTGAATTATGAAAACAATTATACATAATCAGATTGACTCAACCATAACGTTGTTACAGGATTCAGGAATAACGCATTTTTCTAGATTTTTGATATGATTTCGGATTTTATATAATATAAATGTTTCATTAAAATTAAAAAAAGGGAAATATCTTACGGCTTTCAAATAAAAATTTAGTAGAATATTTTGGCCTGATTAAGAATGGTTTTTTGACTAATGTTCTTTCCGTACAATGAAGTTCAAATTTGTCATAAGTATCTTGTAGTTATTATGTATTCAACCGTATTAATCAATTGAGCGAACGTCCATTTCAAAAAACACAATTAACACAACAAAGAAAATGATATGTAAATGCAATAATTTATAACAAATAAATTTAACATTTTACGTTTTATTTGAAAACTTTTAACCAGAAGTTGTTAATGCTCACCATAAGCAAACTATTATTTTTGTTTTTATTTCTATATATAAAAAATGTCTTTTCACTAACACATTTGTTTACAATTAAGCCACCTGGCCCATCACTTGCATAAAAGTCAATTATATGCAAATAAATACGTGCACCATACGTGTAAAATAATAGATAAAACAAATTGATTACGATTTAAGTAGAGAAAAACATGTAAACAATTTATCGTTTCATCATTTTTCGATTATTTTATAACCTTTACTTATGAACATGAAAAATATATTTTAAATTATGCTTTTATCTTTTGAAGTCTCCAAAATGGAAAAGGAAGCCACATAGGTACTACAGTTGTCAACAGACAACAATTATAACACGATTAAAAAAAGGAACAGGATCGTTCAAGTCTCTCTATTTTGAAACTGAATGTGTTTTAATAAAGGAAAAACGAAGACATCTCATAGAATAATCGAATTTTTCCAAACATTTTTTTTTAAAGAGGAAGACTTCCTACAGTTCATTCCAATAAATGGTTGTGGAGTAGGTTATTTTAATATTTTTTATAAAAAAAATCCAATAAAGAGGGATTGAAGATGAATGCGAGGACGGAGCATATTAGGAGGTCACAGGAATTAATATAACTGAAAGTCATAAAATCACTATCAAATAAACGCTTCAATGCGAATCAGTAGATTGTAGAAACACAAATATCGATAAAAGTATTTTAACGACAATAATTTACTTAAAATTTTACTTTTAGTATTAAGGGGACTAAAAGCAGGCGGGTTTTAAGGGGTTTTATATAGGCAATATATATTTTTTTAAAGTGGTTTTAATCTATTTCGACCACGTCGATTTATTTTCGGGTTATTTGTACATATAAGGTTCAGGGTGTTATTTTTAACTTATACAATTTATTTTACGGATAAAAGTAATTTTGTTCCTAAAAGAAACCAATTTAGACCTAAAACTGAATGTGTGAATTGTACAAAAAGCGTCAGGCGTTTAGGTCTAAAACGTCCAAAAAATCTACCTAGATATCATAATCTACAATAAAATTAAAAAAAATTTCACATAACTATTGACAGCGTTGATTTACTACATGTACCTAACCTAGACATTTACTACGATCAAAGTGTAAACACCTGATTTTTGGTCACACTTAAATAAAATGTGACTGGTCTACAACTATAGACCACCGGCCTACCGAAGGGATAGTAAAAAATATATTTTTTAAGAAAAACGTGTATATTGCAGACTCACTCTAGATCCACTTCCAGTCTAATTTTCAGACCTTAAGTCCTTAGGATTTCCCTTAAAATCAAAATAAATGAAAAAAAATGAAATTCTAAAAAACAATACTCTTTTTTATCTAGAGTAGGTCGAACTATAACTAAAGTTGTTCTACAGCTTACACATGTTTGTTTTTTGAAAATAAGAACTAATAATAAAATCGAAAAAAAAGTAGCCGAAATTTCCATTACAAGTCAGCTCAAATTTATCGAACTCTGATTATTATACGAGATGACATCATTTATTAAAGTGTTAACACTTTCATTCATAGATTTTGATATATTATAGAACTTCTACATTTTTATTTTTTATTTTGTGGGTATTATTTTTATTAGTTTTAAAATGTTAAATTTTGTTTAATCAAATCTAATGCATGTCTGAAAGGGTTAAAGAAAATATGTATTAGTGATACTACAATTGCGCATATATATTTTAATGGAGAAAACATGTACAAACATTTTATTTTTTTTCTCATTAAAGATTTATTTTCATTTAAAAGCAAATTTTTTTAAGCTAAATAAACTTTTGAATACTAGAGATATTGCTTGACTTTTGGAACATACACGCTGTATGCTTAATAAGTACTTAATATTTTTGGGGAAAAAAACTGTAATTATTAACTTTAATATTCTAAACTGGTATAATATTGTTGTTGAATATATACTTGTGTCACTGACATGTCTAATTTAATCGTTTTAATTAAAGGAGAGGAGTGCGGATGGACGACGCTTCTCTACTAATTTTGAGTTGGCTTCTAAGCTCTTTGTATTTTTTTTAGCCAGACTGGACTACATATTTAAGTTAGGTGAGCGTTCTCTTAATAAACCCACTCGTCACCAATATAGTTTCAGATGTACACTCGGCCACATTTGAACCGTCTTCTTATATATTTTTTTTATTTCAATGTGTAACTCTCTTACTCTTGTAGGTGTGCGAGTGTGTGTGTGTATGCCATATGTGTCACACTGTCACGTGTGCACGCGCGCGCGCCTTAAGGACGTTTATTAGCCGTCACGATTTTCTTTTCAAACGGCATTTGCTATTTTGTCCATAATTACTCGGCTATTATACCGGTCATGACGTCTTATCCGGTCAAGCGACACTGTCGACACTAAATACCCGCGTACGACGGCACACACGACCAGAACAAAAGCCTAAGCGATGTGTTATTTTAGTGTCCCGTCATGGCTACTAATAATAATAGTAATTCCCGCTTCAATGAATGTCGCAGGCAGAGAATCGACGGCCTTAGTAAAAAACATCAACGAAACCGAAACGTTTTACTACGAAATACGCCCGGAATTGTTCAACTGGACAAACGGTAAGCCGCGCTATGCCTAATTTGAGCTTGTATTGAACAAAAATAGTTACTTACGTTCACATATTATCTAGGAATAGACGGTAATAAGTTCTCTTACACACCGTCGTTGCACAATTATCCGGACTTGCCGCCTTGGATCCGTTACAAGTCCAACGACAAGAACGGATACGGATACATTTACGGTACCCCGCCCGTTACGCCCGAACTACTACAATTTCAAGTAGATTCTGTTTTTGATCAATTAAAATAACAATAATTATTAACATATTTAATTTTATAAAATAGTTCTGTGCATACTAATCGCCTTCATTCAAACGAATGATGACGGCACTGGACGTCGCATTTCATAAGCGTGATTAAAAAAAAAAAATTTTATTTGCATTTAAATCAGGTCATTTACAATCATTTACCTGTTGTACAAATACTATTTTTTCTGACAACTGACAAAATAAATAATCCTAAATTAACATTAAATTGTTTTTTTCCACAACACTGTTAATTGTGTGCTGTGCAAATGCACATAATTTGGTGTCAATGTTAATAAAACTTAAACGTGCTCTTAAACATTTATCGTGTGACGTACCTTTAAAAAATTATCGTATGTATTTTATCATGTTGTATATTATTAACTTATTAGGTTTTAAGCTTCAAACCAAAAAATTGTAAGACCATTAAACTTTAAAATAAGGTGTACAATTCAGTATGTAGCCCATTAAAGATAAATCACAAGGATAGTCGCATTCATATAATTATTTGATTTTCAATTGAAAATTTAAATATAATATAACAAGTAGAATTAGCTCAACAAGATACGTAGCTGAAAGATATTTTCTGTGTTTTTTGTGTGTTATGAAGTATATTGATCAGAAATCTAATTTAAGAAAATTAAAAAAAGTTCACCTATTTAACATCCAAAAAATGTACATATTATTCAACTTAAAATTACGGTGCTTTATTACTTTTTTTAAATAGTCTCATTAGATTCAAATTGTAATGAAATATTCTTTAGATATTACTATTGATTTTACTTGGCAAATAAAAACGATTAACACTCACTCTAAAAGGAGTGAAAACTTCTTCTGCATTTAGGTTTTAAGATTAAGTTTTACAACTTAATGTCTGAAAATTACACTTAATATAGATCTAGAGTGGAGCTATAACATAAGATTTTCTTTGAAATCTGTTTTTTTACCCGAATGGTCTACAAAGTGTAGTCACACTGTGACTCAGTTCTCAAGTAAGCAATGTATGTCAGTCACGCTTTATTGAAGTTTGGCCAAAATTAGGTGGTTAAGGGAAAATTACACTCTGACCGTTGTACATGTCCAGGTCGCTATGTTTAAGTTGAGATTTTGAGGGGCCTCTTATCTTATTGCTTTTTGTAATTCGACCATCTACAGATTCGCATTAAAGCCTTTATTTGAAAGTGATTTATCACTTTCGGTTATTATGTAGTCCTGCGACTTCCCCCGCCACCACTATGTCCCGACCACAATGTTTTAATTATTCACAAATTTTAATTATTGATTTAGTTAATATATTAAACAAGCCTAACTACCAACTTATTATTTTACTTTAGTAAGATATTGTTATAGTTGATATTGTTTAGTTAGATATTGTTGGACAAAACAAAAAGACGTATCATGTCGTAACGAAAGTTATCCAGTTAAATATTTTCAAAAAACTTGGTAATAACGTTTCTGGTAATTTTAAATGTATATTTTGTTTTAATGAATACTGTTCATTGCAGATATCGCGAAGTACGAAGTCCGATTAAAAATTAATAATTTAAATGTAGAAGATATGTTTGAAGAAGATCGTATTAAATCATTACTGGATATTTTCAGACAAAACCTATGGCTAGAAAGCCAACCAAATTTATACGTTACATTTTTGGCATCAGCTAGCGATCTCGGACAACGGATGCCATTAGACCCGAGAGATCAAGAAGGGTAAATGTGATATAAATACATTAAGAAAATATATTACAATAGTTCACAGTCCACAGAATTCATTTTACATAATACTTTACCAAAAAAAAATATTTTGTATTATATCTCTTCTATGTAGACAATTAATAATTATATTCTTTCAAGCCTTTAAAATAGTAAATCTAAATTATTTTTTTTAATCTAGGGTTTGATAGCACTACCTTTAATTTCTACCCAGGCGTCACTCAACATTTTCATCAACGTTCAACTGTAAAATAAATTTTTATTCGATTTGTTCATTACTATACTATTGAAACCTATGCTTTTATTTACTTGTTATAGTGTTATTGTCAATATCGGATGTGCGGCTAATTTCTCATCTAGTCTTTATGATCTCGAAAAAGAAATCAGTCCGTTACACAAAATGAACAAATGTCCAAAAGACTTTAAAAGAACAAGTGTCGAGAGATACTTTCGAGCAAATAGTTTCAACTTAGATTGGTGCAGCTTTAGACTAGCAAGTTTACATTAATTTTGTCTCATCAAATTTTTCATCCTACACATTTTTAATGTTCGTTCAATTAACTTAACTCACTCTAGGTACCACTTTACAGTGAATATTACGACCAAGCTTCAAGTACTGAAAACAAAGTGAATCGTAATGGTCATGTTGAAGAAAACAACAACTGGGAGCTAATGGAATCATTACCATCTAGTTGGATAGCAAATACAGTAGTTACAAACGTTTTTAACATATCTTTAATCGCTTTTGCAATTGTTTTACTTGGAATTTTATCTAGCATTTGTATTTTAAAATGGTACTCTAACGAAAAATTAAATACTTTTAAGAATGTAATATTATGCAAGGAAATAAACAATTAAATCAAATAAAAAAACTAAAAAAAAGTGTCAGTAGTTTTTTTTTATTTATTTCAATACAAACTTGAACTATTAAAATAAGCTTGTTATAATAAGTTCTCGATTAATGAACAAATGCCTTGTGGATATAAAATAACATACAGTTATACTTAAAACACTAACATTGTAATCAACTGCAAATAGTTCAAAAAAACTGATTTATTTATTATGTTTAAACAAGTCTCATATCCACAATAAACAGCATTTGTTTTGTTAAATAACAATGTATATATATGTATATATAAATAAGAATGAGTTGTTTTTTTATACTTGATATGTCAATCGCAATAAAAATAAATAATGGCCCAAGTAGATGAACATACTTATGGTTAATTTAATTAAGAACAATATTGTTTCAAAAGCTAATTTATCAGTTAAACTTTTACACTAATATTTAAAATGTCAATGACATATGTTGACTTCAAAAAATGTTTTTTTATAAAACTTTAAATATGTAACAACTAAATGATGTGTCAACATTTAGGACAAAAAAGAAAAAAGATTAATCAAGTAAGTTTCAGGTTAAAATTTGTCTTTAAACCTTTTTTATAAAGGATATATTATTTGCATTTGTTTAAAGAATTAAAATAAGAATGAAATATAGATTTTTATGAAGATAATAATGACATTCAATGGATATACCAAGTATTACACTTAAAAGTCAAAATCTAGCACTCAGTTACTATAAGAGTCTGAGTTTGAGCAGTCTCAACGCCATTAGGCTTGATGCGTACATTCTGCAATGATCCAATGATGTTATCCTTGTTCACGTCTTCGGAATTAGTGTAACGTAAATACGCAAAACCTCTAGGTCCTCTCCAAGTGATATGCCTAAAATTTATAATAACACATTTAGTATTTCAGGAGCATCTTTATAAAGTAACAAGTCACATAGGTATTTATTATAACTTAGCACAGCATCCCATCCCAAAACAAGTTTAATAAATCATTGTTAATCAATTAATTCAAAACACAAAATTCATTGTATGGTTGTATATTTATCTAGTTATATTAAAATGTTATAAATGAATATTTATGTGAGAAAATCTAAACTTTAAAATTGAATAATTTAATTATTTTTATGATGGTATAAAAAAAAAAGTTAAACAAGAAAAACTAATAAAATAATATTTAAAACCCTTAACCATTAAAAATTATATACTCTCCGTGTATACTACGTATTTCGGCAACAATGTTGTCATCTTCAGCGCTAACGACAGACTCAATAGACAATTTAACGACGACTAGTCTGTTGTTAGCGCTGAAGATAACAACATTGTTGCCGAAATACGTCGTATACACGGGAGAGTACATAATCTTTTATGGTTAAGAGTTTTAAATATTATTTTATTTTATATTACCATAAGTTGTTTTTTCTAGAAGAAAAACTAGTTTCATTGACCAGATAAAATATAATACTTACAATGGTTTAACTCCACGATCCATTAGAGCAGCTTTTAAATCACGAACTCTGACATTATTTGCAATGTTTCCAACTTTGAGTACAAATTCATCCGCGTTAATAGTTCTAGAATAATTTGGCCTTTCATTCGAATTATAATAGCCAACACGGTTGTTGTTAAAACGAGCTCCTCTATATTCTCTTTGCTGAAATTAATTAAATTAAAAAAACAATTAGTCATTTACAATTTGAATTAAATTAATTAATAAATTGTCATACGTCTTCATTAGCTTGTGGAGACATCCCATTTCGGTATTGTGGTGGTCTAAAGACTCTGGTATTAGTATAACCTTCTTGACGAATAACAGCACCTTTAGAAAAACTATTACGCCGAGAAATAGAACCGTCATAGAAGCTGTTCTGACGGGATAAAGGATCATTAGAAAAACTGTTGTGGCGAAGAATTTGACTGTTGCTGCTGTTTTGACGAGATACCGGAGCGTTAAAACTATGTTGGCGAACCATAGAGCCATTAAAATATCTAGTAGGACGAACCACTGGGCCATTTGAATATCTGTTTTGTTGCATGACAACTGGTCTGTTCGATAAATCACGTCTAGTCACTCTACTATTATTTCTTGGCTGCCGTTCTTGAGAATAAGAATCATGACGGGAATAATATTGTTTAGGGCTGGGTATGTATTCACGACGTGCCTTGCGTCCAGTAGAAATATCACGACTATAGTCTTGACGCTCAACATACTCTTGTCTAGCATTACGAGAGTTACTACGCGAATTACGCTTGTTATTACCTTGGATTTTAGAAACGGATTGCCTAACAGACTGTTTATCATCATCTGCGTGAATGCGGCGACGAGGTTTTGGACGCTGTCGTCGCTTGTTTTTTGGTGTTGTAATAGGCGATTCACCTTGTTGTCCATTAGAATTTTTAGAATCTGTTTCAGGAGATCCAGTTTTGGCAGATTCCGATTTAGCACGGCGCTTGTTGGGTTTCTTAGATGACGAACGGCGTTCTTTTTCATTGTTTCGTCTTCCGGCAGAACTGCTACGACGTTGTTGACTTGAAGCTGACTTATTGCGTTTGTTATTAGCCCTTGAATCCTTAGTAGATGCTGATCTCTGTCTTGAAACGGATCGGCGCTTAGATACTTCAGAATCTTTAAACACAGAATCATTTGTTTCAGATCGGGTCGAGTAAGAACGTCGATGACGGAAGCTGTAAACAATTATTTGATATGAATATAAATATGAAATGTTATATGGTTTTTCTGTACATATTCCCTAGAGTTTGAAGTGTATTCTTAAAATAAATCTATAAATGTTAACCTTAAAAAATTAAAAAAGTACTTTACTTTTAAATATAATATTTTGGCTACCAACAGTTTTTCTAAATATAAGATTTATACATCTATACATAAATAAGGTAGTTAGAACCTGGTATAAACTAGCAGGTTTGGGCAAAATGTAAATCCCCTTTTAAACAATACATTTCTTGTATCTTACAATTTTTAAATGTTATTTACAAATGTATTAAAAAATCACTTTTTAAGTCAAAACATTGTATCTTAATTGTTAATGAGTTAAATGACTAAAATGAGCATGTATTTCTGTTAAATATTCGAATATATTTATTAAAATAGTGATAGAAATTTAAGAAGTTTATTTAATTAAATTATAAATAATCTAATAATAGATAATTAAATAACTTTTGCGAGATAAAAAAATTATTCAAATATAACGCTCTATTCCATAAACTAGAAACAAACCTTTTAGTTCTTTTGTATGTTTTTGGCGACGGGGGAATTTCTTCAGGATCACTATCCACATCTTTGAGAGTACAATCAATTTTACTATCGGCTTCTTGCTTAGTACGTAGAAGCTGCAATGGAGGCATTTCTAATAAACGACGTTTGGATATGTAATTCCAAAACACATCTTTAGGACGTTCGATACGGTTTTCAACACGTATAATCTCATGAGGAGTAATGATAATGTCAACAGGTACATCATAGGGCATGAAAATATCAGCAGGTAGATTATCAAATACCTAAGAAAATAAACATGTGTATATAAACTGATGGCAAAATTTGTGTTATTTTTATTAAGAATACTTTTGAATAAATAAAAACAATATTAAATTGTCACTATTACCTGAGCATCATGGACAACAGTTACAATTACTGTGTTTTCCGTCACCATGTTCATAGAATTTAATATGACAAATTCTAAATCGCAGAAACCATTTCCAATACCAATCCTACGACCTGTAAAAGTAATTGAATGAGAAAAAAAAATGTATTATTTTAAAAGGTATCCTTTAAAAACTCTCTTACCTTTTTTATCAACTGCAACAGATCCCAAAATAATCATGTCGATATGATGTACATCATTTTCATTATTTTGATCTAAAGTTATCAATTTATTTCCCCATTTACGAAGTCCTTTTTGAGTGCTAGCCGACCTTAACATTTTTGCGGATGGTTCAGCAAAAGGCAAAGAAACACACTGCAATAATCCTTCCTTCAAACGCAGCAGAGGAACCAATAATCTTTTACCCCACTAAATTTAATTGTATTAACCACATTATTATTTAATTTAATAAAAGATCTATACATACAAAAACTTACATTAAGTGTCAAGAAACGAGCTGTTTCTTGAGCTTTATCAGGAGTTACTTGAACAGTCTTAGCTTTTTTGAAATCATCCAACTTTTCTAATGTTTGTGTAGCATCAATACAGCCTTTGAAGTTTGGTATGCGATTAAAGCAAGGCTTTGGAAATACAACTAACGAGTTTTCTTCCAAGAACTCCCAGACTTTTTGACGGATGTCCTTCTTGGATTTTAGTTCCATAATAACACTATCGTCTATCCGTTGAGGTTTGGTAGGTTCATCATTAATTGCTCCAGTGTCAGATTTATCAGTTCCATTATCTTTCGTTTCAATAAGACCATTCTCCTTAGGATTTTCTAGTTCTTTTACACAGTTAGTCTTTGCAACAATATTGTTTGACTCATTTAGGCTATTTTCAATAATAGCTCCATTTTGTCCATTGGCAAGTTGTCCATATTCTAATTTAACGTCTACTGAACCATTACATACTTTGTTTTTATCTATTCCATTAATTTGTTCAGACTTTATGTTATGATCAGCAGACGATTCTTTAGGAATGTCAACTTTAGATGAACCTAAAAACAAATAGAACAGCGAAAAATTAATTAAAACATTAAAGAATGAACAATGAACAAGTGGTAATTGACAACAAGACAATTATTAACACTATCTGTTTACAGTTTTAGTATTTTACTCTCAATTTTTTGCTCCCCTCCTGTAATCTTTTTAACTATTTATTTTAAAACAACTATTTGATGTACTTTTATTTTTTATAATCTAGCACTTAAATATTTTATAAAAAAAAAAAAATTATACTTTAAAAGTAATTAACAACAAACAGCCACTATTTGTGATATAGATTAAAATATTAGGAAGTAGAAAAAATTGTATAAATGGAAAGATGAAAAATAAATCATATAAGAGGTTGTTCAACAGAACTTCAATAATAGAAATGTACATTAATTGTGGGAGCTTTTGTAAATTGTTTAAGTATGTTTTAGGAGGAAGAAAAACTGCAACCTAATACTGTAAAAATAAGATAAAAATTTTAATCCACATAACAGTCTATTTCTGTAAAATAATTAAAATTATTATACTGTAAAAATTATAATAAGATTTATAAATGAAACATACTTTGAGCATTAGGACTTGATGGAGGTGATTTTGATACCGGGCTTCTCGGGTTAGTTGATTTACCTCGAGTCGATTGAGCAAGTCTTTCAGCTATAGAAAGAGATTTGTTGCTAGAAGGACTCGATTTGGCAGAAGAAGGCGAGCGTCCCGATTTCGATGAAGAAGGAGAAGAACACTCAGCTTTCGAATCATCAGCTGGTTTTGAGCTCTTAGGAGAGCTGGTGGATGTCTTTGATTGACTCATATTTTTTCTGTCCGAAACCACTAATTTTGGACTAGGAGGACTATCAGATTGTACACCTTCAGTAGGAATTTGCTGTAAATCTAAAAACAAAAAATAGGTAATTTATTAAATGAGTTTAGAAGTAAAACTAATTTTTATTTCATTAAGGCAAAGTTATCCTTCTTTAGAAAGATCCGCTTACTTATATAATTTTTGGGATAGTATATAAAATAAATGAAGAGTGAATTTGTCAAACGTTCTTAAGTATAAAAATTGAACTTTATTTTATTCATTACCGGAAACACTTGAAATATATTTTTAAGTGTTAAATATGATCGTTTTTTAATAAAAAACTTTTTTTCACTTGAAAAATTTACAAAATTGTTTTCGGTAATGAATAAAATACAAATTAAATTATAAAGTTAAATATTTATACTTAGGCACTTATAGAACGTTTAACAAATTCACTTTAACAATGTTCTGTGTCCATAACTAGGGTTCAGACGTTCGTAAAATAGTATATTTTATTATACATACATTTAAAAAAATACATGCAATGGACGACCTTAAATAGATGAAGGCAAAGGAGAAGATAAATTAAAAAAAAAAAAAAAAATGTCGTGAAGGAGGAGTGGTTTAGTGTAGTGCTAAATATCATTGGTTCAACATTTGAGAGAAAAGGAGTCACCAACCCTTAGTGATGACAACTAACGAATAGTTCAAGATTTGCTTAAAAATCTACTAAAACAGTATTATTTCTACCAAATAAAAAGGTGGTTAAACCTCATTTGATTTATAACATTTTAAGTTATTCTACCTAATTAGAACTTTTACCGGATCAAAAAAATCTAAATGGGATACTAGTCCAAAATCTGTGGTGGGCCAGTGGGTGCGGTTAGCATCAATTTTTATTTTTTATTATTATCATTAAGACACAACAGCAAAGGTAGCTAAAAACATTTAAGCAACAAAAAAGCTTTTTAAAGATTAAAATATGTTTGTTTAAACATCAGCTCAATAAAACTTTACCATGGCAAAACAAATGTTTAAAAAATAATATATGATGAGTCCAGGAGAGTAAACTAACTAGTTCACAGCAATTTTCTACTATTTTTTATTTTGTTTCTAAAAAACATGTTATTTAATGTACTTTCCTATAAGATAACAATTTTTCAAAAGTTTTTGGATAAGTCTTTCAAGTTGGAAACCTTCCAAATTTTTGTTGAAAACTAGTTTTACCCCTGTACCCTTCATACAGCTACACACATTAATTCACATATTAAATGTTTCAGAAGAACAGAGATAACCATAAGTTTTGTTTTAGCATGAAACTTCTGTTTAGATTGATTTGAATGCAACGGATCATTTCGATGTGGTGGGTCCCTGTGCCTCTTGCTTCAGCACCACTCACTACTCATAATGGGCGTAGCAGTTCCCATTATGTCTCTGATGCGGCACTCGTATACACTGTATCATATATAACATAAAAGATGCCATCGAAATAATAACGAGTCGTCGAGATTCATAAAATACTAAGTCATAGTCTCAGCACCAGCCAAAATAAATCTGTTGCTTCTTATGAGTAATTTTGTGGCAACACACCGACCAAGTGAAACTTTCTTTAATAAACTATATACTCAAATAACCCACCTTAAAAATGTTAGTTATTAATAAATTATAGCTCTGCACAAAATAATAATGCAACACATTGTCAATTGCTAATAATATAAATAATATTTTATGGCAAATTTGTTGAATGTTAAGATTTTAATCATATTTTAGTTTTAAGCAACTTATAATTATTTTTGAATTTTAATAAGAATTTCTAGAATACAATTATATATTTTTTTAAAACAATATTTATGGTATACTATATTTAATTTACATTATATTACCTCCAAACTTGTAATTGATTATAATTCTTCAATCAACTGTTACAGTTGACTGAAACAATTAGAGTAAATGTTCACACTTTTATATTTGCTGTATGATATTAAAGAAGTATAATTACATTATAAAAAAAAATAACAATAATTATTAGTGTGTAGTAACCAACGACAACTAATAATATTTGAAGACTGAATTTGTCAAACATTCTAAGTGCCAAAGTATAAAAATCTAACTTTTTAATTTAATTTGTATTTCACGCATTACGGGAAACAATTTTGAATATTTCTATTCCTCAACTGAGGAATAGATATTTATAAAAAAAACAATCATATTTAACACTTAAAAATATGTTAAGTTTTTCCGGTAATGAATAAAATCCAAATAAAATTATAAAGTTAGATTTTTATACTTTGGCACTTAGAATGTTTAACAAATTTGTTCTTCATGTGTAGCCCAAATAATTAAAAATTTATATATACAAATAGTTTAATCATGCAATGTTTAGTTTTTTTCAAGCACAGTTTTATAAATAGAACTTTGTTTTCCCGTGTAGTACTTGTATGTAATTAAACATCTTGTTGTAGATTTGGATATATAAACATTATTTTTGTTTAATTAAAGCTTATTTCTAATATTATAATTTTAATAATATGCGGCTGAATACAAAATTTAAAACAAATAAAAAATTGAGTTTTATTGACTTGGACTTACATTTTATTTATAGAATTAATTTTCATTATCCACATAACAAGCAGTAAAGCATAATACAACAAGCATTATTTATGATTTAAATTGTATAAAGGCTAAATATGTTTGACCAATAATTCACCTAACAATATTTATTTTAAATAATAATATTATCTTTGAAGGTTCTAAACATATACTAAATTATGGGTTTCCCAACTCAGAAATATAATATGTACATACTGAACGATAATTAATAATATAAATTACAAATTAAGTTACTAATACGGATGGAATTAATATTTAAATACATAAATTAAGGAATTTCAACAGTAATTTCTATATCTTTTTATTCAATAACCATCAATAATAATACAGGATGAGCCTTAAGAAGCCAAACTGTCATAAGCAGGAGCTCATACACTATATTTTTATACTTAAACATAATCTTAACTAAATAAATATAATTTTTTTTATTGTACTTGAACTATCCACAGCCTTAAAATGATTTTAAATACATTTATTAAAAGCCTAAAGGTGCAGACGCGTGGTGGAGTAAGATAAGGCGGCAGTGTATCTACACACAGTTGCCTGTTTGAATCTCGGCCACTGGCGGTTTGTTCCTTCCGGCGGGCAACTGTCTGCGGAAAGAAATGGCCACCTGCACTTCTCTATGGGGCCAACTAGATTGGTAGCGCTTAGTCGGCACACAGCTATAAGCCCAAAAAATACCAAATCTAAACCGTCTAAGTCCCAATTGGTGGGAATAACAGACATTAAACCTAAGAGAGAGAATAGCCTAAAGGTAAAAGTAAGACTCTTCTTGAAACATAAACCAATACATTTTTAGATATTACATAGTGTGTACATAATACGTAGCTTATACTAATCCAACTAATGGTTAAGTAACCCTCTTTTGGTAAAAGCAATATTGCGCCTTAATGGACCTTATCCTGCCCATTAAACTAAATAAAAAATTATAATAAATCCTTAACATAAATTTTAAGTATTCCTACTTAACATTTGTTTTGCCTAGAAAAATAATAGTTTAAAATTATCAAAATGTAGTTAGTTTTTAGTGTTCAAAATAAAATCAATATTAACGGGTTTATGTAGGGTAACTCATAGAAGTCAAATAGCAACCTATACATTTGATTTACATAAAAATGAAAAAAAATGTAATAAAAATAATGACTTATTAACTACTAAATTACATTAAAAGTTATAGTTTTAGGAGTAAAAAAAACCTTAAAGATATTCTGAGTAACTAGTCAAATCAATTTTTAGATTCATTATTACATCAGTAGATTGGCCAGTAATTTGGAACAAAACTGCTAATCAACTAACTTCTATGTTGAGTAGTTAGATGTTCCACATAATATTTTTACTATAAAAATATACATAGTAAAAATTGACTAAATAACATTTTATATCACATTCTATTTTTTTTTAATTGTTTAAATTACCATACCTAATATACGTTAATGTCAAAATTGATAAAATGTAAGTAGAAATAAAACATACAAAATCTATAAATCCCGTAGTTTTTATGTCTGACGTGTTTGAACAAAACCTACTTTTGTTATGAATTATGCTACCCAGGTATCAATAACTAAACTATGATTCTTAACATACTATCTAAACTTTGGGGTTATTTTAACTCAGATTTCATTTTATGTATAGCGCTTCTTTAGTAAAAATAAAATATTCCAACTTCTCGAATATAGTTTTAGAAATTTAAATGTGCTTTTTATTACGCGATAACAATACAAAATAAAATATCATCAATAGTCCGCATAATAATTATCTAAATTACAATGTGCATGTTGTTCTTTGCTCAAAATAAAGAACATTGTCACGAGTATAAGATAATAATAGGTAATTATGGTAAATTCACAACTTATTTTTCGGTACGAGTCAAAGGATACATATTTCATTTCGTAATTACATCAATATCCAAAATTAAATAGGTCTTATGATTAAAAAATACCTCTAAATAACAATGGTTTGAAAGGTTTTTTACTTCAACGTAGAAGAGTAACACGATAAACAAAACTCTTACGCTGTACAGGGAAAATCGCATCTACAAAAAAATTCAACATGGCGGATATGCTCGTAAAGTTTTAAAAAAGGGTAGGAACGCAAAATTAAATTTAGTTTGCATTTAAAAAAAAAAAATGTTTTATTGAAATAATACTCACAGTCGGCAGTCTACGTTGGTTTTTCGATTAAAGTCCATATGAGAATCAAAAAAAGAGAATATCGGTAAACGCTACGCGGTTTTGATGGTCGTCGAAGACACGCGCTGCAAAAGTCGCATTCGATCCGGTCGGTATTGTTCGATGGAATAAAGACCGTTTGTCCGTTGTCGTTAATACCAAGAACGGCAAAAAAAACATGGATGATGGCGACAAAAGTGGTGGTGGTGGTGGTGGTGGTGGCGACGATGGCGGAGGTAAAACTTTTACAACAGTTACGGAGGTTGACAACAACGAATGGTTAGGGGAGGGGAGAGGGGTTAAACGCGGCGTTTACAAAATCATATGAGCGTTGTAATAATATCAAAATGGATACTTACGGGAATTCCCCATGTTATTGGCCGTCCAGACTGTGTAACCGAATAAAATCGCACAACGGCTATACGAAATTGATAAATAGGTACGTCGTATGAGAAGCGTCAAGTGTCGACCCGGTTTACCTGCTTACAAACGTTATCGTTGCCCGATTGGAAGTGGACGCTGAACTGTGACCGTGTGTCTTAAAATTTTAAAAGTCGGTCTATTTTCAAAGATTTCTGCCTTCGCCGCCCTCTAGACTAAACGCAGTCGATAACTGCGACCAATGAGTAGTGACCAAGCCATATTGTTACACACTCTGACTGGTTTATATAATGTTATTATTATTCTGATTATTTCTCGGCCGTCAGGCACGTCAACTGAAGAAATTCCCAATTGAAGTTCATTATTTATAGAACAATTCCATTGAATTCGTCGGCAATTCCTATCACGATATTATAGAATTAAACACATCAGCTGACGTTATTACTGACTATTTATTGTAATTTAGTTAGGTTGTTGTTTTTGTAATGAACAATGTGTATATTTTGTATTATGTACGCGAATTATTTATTTTCCTTTCCTTACCAATAAAACAGTATTTTCGTTAACTTCAAAAACTAGTAAAAACATTACACATATTCTTACTAATTTTATGCCATGAAATTGAACGCACATATTATGTATGTTTCTTAATTTCTCTTATTTAAACCGGTGGAGCAGATAAGAAAAAAAATCTCAAAGGCAACGGGGAAGTGGGAACTCGAGCACATCATTTTATATGTGTACAGTATACTCGTTAGGTACTTGTTTAGTCCCCTCCTTTTTGTGCCATCAAACAATAGAAATTATTTTGATTTGTAGTAAATAATTATAAATTATATTAGACGTTTTCCTGTAATCCCGTTTACCCAAGCAGCATTTTTAATTTATCTATCCGATGTTGATGAATACATATTGGAACAGTATTGTGTATTAGCATACACACGGTTTTTACATCTCGAATAATTTATATATTGTACCATATTAAAATGTTTGGAATTGGTCTCGTATAGGAAATAGCTATTAAAATACAATTGATAAATAACTTTTAAGTATGAGAAAATTTAATATTGTGTTACTACTATGCTTCTAACGCTATCACGTTAATTATAGGTGGTACATCTAAGGGTACAATTTACAAATGTAAACGCAGCAACCACACCGACGGGGTTCACTTAGCTCAATCCTCTTAAATTCTTTACATGATTGCGTTTTCACAAATTGTAATTTACACTTATAGTGATAAATAATTATTATACAATTTAATTTAATCAAAACATGTTTCATCTGTAAATAACTATTTACTAATGGCCTATGATGCCGATGTAATTTTAAGATCAATAAAAAAAAAATTATTATACAAGATAAAGAATATTAGGAATTTCTTCTATAGAATTGTAAGTTAGTATTTAATTAGAAATTTAAAATAAACTTTACATAAATCCTATTAAACATAAAATAATAACTTTTTATGATAACAATTCATACCATATCAGTTATGGAGACGTATTGCTTAGAGTTAAAAGCTGAAGAATAATGATAATAAAATATAATGATTGATAAGTAAAAAAATAAATTCATCAGTCGTGTATAAACCTAAATAACCACATCGAAAACAATTTCTCAATTTTTAATTTAACCAAAAAAGGTAATTTCTATCTATAATATGCAGATAACATAAATGTGTTATTTCTTATTCAGAAAATAGTTGATGGAAGAGATAAAAATAATTATTAAATACTCTGGAATATTTTGAGAAAATGTCAAATAATATTGTATTCTGCATTGCTAAACTCAGTTTTCGTGCTATCATTGTCAATAATAATATTATTAATTATTATCAACGTTTAATCATAACATTTGTTTGGACATTTTAAATGTTATCTTGACTCCGTGGCTATAACTTTATTGATTTTACTAACTACTAAATTCCTCTAGTATCTATTTATACTTTCATAATGCGGTTAAATAAACTTTCCAAGTGTTCAAGAGTTCTTGTAGTACTTATCACAAGTGCATACACATAACTAGGTCTCTGGGTGGTGGTAGGCTCGTAAATAAACCGAAAATAAATCGGTGGAACAACATTACCCCTACAAAATTACACCTACTTACAATTACAATGATCGGATTTTTATTCTGTATAAATATTTGAGCTCTTCGGACTTCGGCATTTTTTTACGGTTATTATGGATGTCGATTTTTAAATAACTGATTTATTTACTTAAAAATGCTACTTAAAAAAAGACAAGGTGAATACCTAAAAATTGATAAATTTGAGTAATTAAAATATGATTTTAATACAATTTTAAATGAAGTATGAAAAATCGATTCCTTCAATAATCTAGAAAAGAAGCTGATAAACTTAAATATTTTTACAGAATTGAAAACGAACCATCCTTAGTAGGAGTAATTTTGTCAGGGTTTTTAGGTCTAAAACGTTAAAAAACAGATCGCTTCAATCCCCTCAAGGTGATTTAAAAGATACTTATTGGATTCTGGAATTGTATTTATAATTTTTACAATAGTTTTTGGCTACTATAATTTCCGACCAGAGCAATCCGATCCCTACGGCCTACGCGATCAATCAAAATAATCAATATATAACTTTCACTCAAGGTTTTCCGTGTAGGTGAATGATTAAATTTGCAGTGTCCTGTGTCATGATGAGTAACCTCCAATCCGCAATTGTATAATCACTAACCAGCAACCGCTATTTCTTTCTGGTTATAGAAAAAACAATTTATTATAAAAAATTTCAATTTTTATCGTAACGTTTTTTAAAATTAACTTTGAAATATATAAATATATATATACACGGCACATTTTTTTATGTAGCCTTTGAGCTATTCTAAAAACACCCAAGTGATAATTTACATCATTAGTTTTTTAACTATATCTAAGTTTTCCGGGTTACTATATTTTTATTATTGTATATTTTACTTAAAAAATACCATAGGGTAAATAAATTTATATTTGAAAATTAAATCACAGTTGTATGTATTATGTATATACACATATCACATTTATTACGTTAAAAAAAAATACAGTAATTAATATTATTTACATTTCAGAAACTAAAACGCAATAAATCTAAATTAGAAGCAAAAAAGTAGTAAAACCATGAATTTACTAGAGTTAAAGATTTGAAAAATTGTCAGCTTGCGATTAATTGACATTTTGGGGTTACTGCCTTTTTACTTAGCATCAAGCATGGCAGTATATTATTTTTATAAATTATAATTAATTAATGTTATATGAAATAATTTACACTATTTCTTATTAAATATTAATATTAGTTTTTTAGCAACATTAGTATGTTAAAAAAAATAATAGCCCTCATAAATGTATGTGTTATCTACGAATCGAGTTAGTTAGTATTAACTACAAATGCAGTCGATTTTTTTTTTGTTTCCATTTTTTTATAATGGCGTTTCGGTTTGTAACTCGAGAACCACCGAGGCAATTCGATCGTGGTTTTTTTGCATTTGTATTTTTCAGGGATTCACTAAATAGTAAATTTCCCTTATAACCAAATTTTTACTTCACAGCCTTATTTACATACTTATATTTACAAAGGTGAGCGTACACTGAGATGGACGTGACAGAGCGACCCTCCAAAAAAAATGTATGTGCCTATATTGAAAAGCATCAGCCGTGAACAACCACCGAGAACAGCAACGTGCTGAGTCATACCGCACCGTTCCACCAAAGTCGGATATGGTAGGACGCCAATCGCCATAAGGCATTAATAAAATACAAATTGAATAAAAATTGGATTTAATCAATGCCTCGCCGACCCAGCTGAATAATTGCTGACAAACGCCAATAGTTACGTATAGCGCGATCTAGTATTAAAAAAAAACCTTTGTACTTGATTGTTTATTTTAATTAAAATTATATACCGTGGTAATACCATAACCTAACATATACCTCAACCCCTGCATATTTCTGAAATCTGAATGCTGATAGAAACTTGTAATGTTATTTTGCTTGTCATTCTAATGAACGAATACGGTTTTTAAGAAACAATCGACTGTCAACAAATATAGTGCTCGTCATTTTTGCAGAAGCTCGCGATTTAATTAAAACTATAAAGACTACTTTGGGAATACTTTGTTCATAATTATGAAGAAGGCAGAGAAGAAAACCGAAGAAATGGTAATATATTATTTGAATTTTCATGTCTTTTTTAGATCTATTAAAGTTTTGAATATCTAATACAATTTTCAAGTACTTATTTTTGTAATTTTAAATGTAATTTTAGTCCGAGGAGGACAAAAGATTGGAAGAAGAATTGCATATGCTAGTTGAAAGGCTTTTAGTGAGTTACTCAAGTTATTATTATTATATTTGTAACTGTTAACTTTTTATAAACATTATAATTTTAATAATATATAATTTAACCAGGAGAAAGATGCTACACTATATAAATTAGCACTAGAAACATTGCGTAAATTAATTCGTACATCTACTACCTCTATGACAAGTGTACCGTTACCTTTGAAATTCTTGCGTGGTTACTATTCACGTCTGAAGGAACGATGTGATACGATTGAAACTGATGAAAAAACAAAAGCTTTATTATGTTCAGTGGTATCCATATTGGCAATGGGTCAAGATAAAAGCTTAAAAGATACATTACGTTACTGCTTAAGAGCAGGAGAAGTTGATGTTGGAGATTGGGGTCATGAATATGTGAGGTTAGTGTTAAAATTATACTATTTAATTTAATTTTACTATCTTTTTAAAATAGGATTTTCCTTGTTGAATTAATATTTGTTTTATTTGTTCTAAAATAATAGACAACTAGAAACTGAAATAGCTGAGGAATGGAGTAACGATCAAGTAAACAAAACTCAGTTACTTTCACTTATTAAAAGTATTGTAGCATTTGATATGAAACATAATGCTGAAATTCAAGCTTGTGATTTGTTAATGGAAATTGATCGGTTAGATTTATTGCAAGTCGACAAATCAAACTATCTAAAAGTTTGTCTTTATTTAATTAAGTAAGTTGTCAATAAAAAAATAGATTAGTAAATTATTTTTAAACCTATGAAAATGTAATTATTTCACACCATTCATTTGTATTGAGTATGAAATTATATTTTTATTGTCCTAATTTATTTATATCAATATAAATGGTTTTAGTTGTTCTATTTATGTCGTTGAGCCGGAAAGAACCAACATTTATAATGAAGTAATGAAACACTATTTGAAGTTTGAAGAATACCCAAGAGCTTTATGTTTGGCTATGTCTGTTAATGACACAGATACAATGTCAAAAATTTTTGTTGCTTGCCAAGATCCGTGAGTATTTTTCTTATTTAGAACAAAGAATATAATGATCTCTATGTTCTATACAAAAATAACACGTTTATACTTTCTTTCAAAGTTTAATACAATTGAATTTTTTACCCATGAAAGCTGTATACTATGTAAACGTGTAAAAGAATGTGTTCATTCTTCAAAATGTTCACCAAAAAAAGCAAACGTATCGTATGCTGTACTACTATTATTTATTTTTTTAATTATTGTAACATTTTGGTTTATAAATGACAATTATAACAGTTTCAGTTTTAAATACTTATTGTGCAGTGGCGCTTTGTGGTGATTTGATACAGGAGTGCGATAAAAAATTAGAAAACTATAACCTAAAATGAAATATGTACAGAATAATAGTATTATTGTTGTTATAAGCTCTGAATACATTTTTTTCTTATTTTACTGATATTTTTCCAACAATTTTTTTTTATCTTATAGTTATTATTCTCTTATTTAACTTTTATAGAGTTGTGAGGAAGCAGTTAGCCTATATGTTAGGTCGACAGTATGTAGGTTTGGAGTTGAATGACGAACCTAGAGATAAAGCAGATCTCACCAATATTATGTCAAACTCGCACATTAATGAACACTTCAATAGCTTAGCAAGAGAAGTAATGAAGACAATTAACAAATTTAACAAAACTATCATTTTTATGAGATATATTATAATTTATTTTTTTACTTTATTAGTTGGATATTTTAGAACCAAAGACTCCAGACGATGTGTACAAAACGTGGTTAGAAGGATTAGTTTTACGTCCATCATACAATTTAGATGTTCCGGTTGATTCTGCTCGTCATAATCTTGCATCTACTTTTGTTAACGCTTTTGTAAATGCTGGTTTTTCACGTGATAAATTAGTGTCTGTCGAAGATGGCAACAAATGGATGTACAAAAATAAGCAACATGGTATAACTTCAATTTAAAAAATAATAGGGTTATAATAATTTACAAAAATATATCTATATTGAAAATTATTTCAGGTATGTTAAGTGCTGCAGCATCTCTTGGTCTTATTCATTTGTGGGATGTTCATGGAGGATTAACCCCCATAGACAAATATTTGTATACATCTGAAGAATATATAAAGGTATTTATGGTTTTTTTAAAGTTTTTTGTATGTAAGATGTAAAAATTGTTTAAAAATAATAAAGAATTGAATCTAGTTGGAGAACTTCAAAATTAACGGTAAAATGTCTTATGATATAATAGGTTCAAGCCCTATTTCACCCCTTAGTAGTTTTGTACACACACTCTTGAATTTGTTGCGCTTAAATTCGGAGCCAAATAATCTATGGTTATTAACAAACGTGTATTTCCACAAATTGCAAGTACTATAATGGGTATGAAATAGGTCTAAGCGATATTGCTGTGATAGTAGTATATTAGTATATTTATAATATGTAAAAATTAAAATAATAACAATACTTTTAATGTTTCAGGCTGGTGCATTACTTGCTTTAGGAATTGTAAACGTAGGAGTTCGTAATGAATGTGATCCCGCTTATTCGCTTTTGTCAGACTATGTATTGCACGAAAGCGTATTACTTCGAATTGGAGCTGTTTTAGGTATAAAAATCTATAAATAACATTACTCCATGTATTATTAATATATATTTTTTTATTTGTCTAATAGGATTAGGACTGGCGTACGCCGGTACAAGACGCCAAGATGTCATAACATTGTTATTACCTGTTATGTCCAATAGTAAATCTACTCCAGAAGTTGTCGCTTTAGCTGCGCTTTCTTGTGGAATGATCAGCGTTGGTGCGGCTAACCAAGAAGTAATTTCTGGTATTCTGCAGACATTAGCTGATCTACCTTCCACTGAACTTCAAGATGGTCACTATTCTCGATTTTTGCCTCTTGCCCTTGGACTGTGTTATTTAGGTTTGAAAAAAACTTAATATTTTAATTATTGGGCTTAATATATTTTAGTATGACTATTCTCAGGTTTGAAAGACAAAGCTGATGCTCTCGATGGAGATTTAAATGTGTTAGCAGATCCATTTAAGTCTATGGCAAAAATGACTGTAAAAATGTGTGCTTGTGCTGGATCTGGCGATGTGCTTAAAATTCAAGAGTTATTACACATATGTAGTGAGCATTATACTCCGGCTCCTGTAAGTTTTAAAAACATTAATAGGATGCTATACTGCCTGTGTCTACGGAGTAAAGTATTGGCAAATTTTTGCAAAATCTTAATTCAAAGGTTAAACTGACTATCATAGAATCCTTGATAGAGATTTAAAAATTGTTTTATATCTATACAAAATAATGCAGAATGTGTATTATTATCATAGTGATTTTAGAGTAAAGACACCTATTATAAAATCGAAAAAGATAACAATAATTTTAGAGATAGTGATAATTTTAAAAAATATTTACGTAAAAAAAAGTTGTAGAAATTTTCTCCAAAAATTTGTCATATTTCGTTTTCGTTATGGGTATTTTTGTCTCTAAAATCATCACAAAGCGAGTAAAACGCATTCTATGTGAGAATGTTTAAACGTTAGAAAATTGGATGTATAGCATCCTCTTAAATATTGATATTAATTATATATATATAATTTTCTATATATATATTTATTTTGTATTTATAGAAAGAAGAAAACTCAAAGAAGCAAAGTGACAAAAAGGAAAAAGACAGTGATAAAAAAGATACAGCGGAAAAAGAAAAAGAGAAGGAAAAAAATAAAGAAACCGCCAGTAAAGATCTTTCATCGATGCAGGCAGTCGCAGCCTTAGCTGTGGCCGTAGTAGCAATGGGAGAAGACACTGGAGCAGAAATGTGTACTAGAATATTTGGACAATTGGTTAGATAGTAAAAACTTTACTTGAGAAGTTTAATTTTTATGTGTTTTATGATTATTTTAGGGAAGGTATGGCGAACCACCTGTAAGGCGAGCTGTTCCATTGGCCATTGCCTTGCTTTCAATATCTAATCCTCAAATGAATATCATTGATGTTCTCAATAAATACTCTCATGATTTAGATGAAGAAGTTGCTCATAATGCAATATTCTCCATGGGTCTAGTTGGAGCTGGTACTAACAATGCTAGGTAAAAAAATTAATTTCACTTAATGGTTTTTTTTTTTGAAAGCTGGAAAAGTATTGATTTTACAATAATACATTTTTGTGGCCAAAGCTCGTGGTAGCATTTATACTAGTACACTGATAAATAACTTTGTTTAACTTTTAATCTTGCCTAGTGAGGCATTACTTCGGGGCAACTTTGTTTAACCTAATCTCAATGAACCTATTTTCTATTTAAAATCAATATGCATTTTGAAGGTATTACTGAATTTAGAAAACTCAGACTTATTTTAAGGTTCAGTTATATTTTCTTAAGGATTTACTTTTTACCCTATACAATGTTTAATTTGAGTTATAGTTATTTTGGTAAGTAAAAATTGCTGTATGAGAATAGGGAAAACACCACATTTATTGTTCAGTTTTTAATCATTTTTTTTTTTTTTTTTAATAAGAAAGAATTAAATAAATTGCATAGACCTACAAGTTTAGACTTTAGACTGAAGTTAAAACAGGGTCTTGAAATTAAATAATCTCTCGGGATTCCGTTTTTTCAGTTTTTACGGGTTTCTAAAATTGTTGAACAAAGACATTTTAACTCTGGTATTATATTGTTCAATATAACAAAATTGTTAGTTGTTCTATGCTCTATGCGCTAAAGGCCAAAATTGTGATCCGGTTCAGGACTAAAAAATCATCAAAAAAAAGTGCTTAAAAGAGCACTTCTAAACTTCATTATAAAAAAATTGAATATCTTCCCAAAAAATATGCATACATTATATAATATATATTTGGGACATCCTGAGTTAAACCAAGCAGTCATCGGCCTGACCTCAAAATTTTTCGAAATGTTTTTTATAAACTTTCATTCTACCATTGTGGTTAAATAATATTGTTTATTGAAACCAATAATATACTGGCTATCAATTATAGTTTATTTTTTCATAATTCTATGTTATTACAACGTTAAAATATTTATTATTGCTCCATGGCCAACGACGACCGACTAGATAAGTAGACAACAAAAACAATACAATCACCTGTTGGGTATTACTAATAGAATACAATGGGCCAATTATTTTTAGTTTTAGTTTTTTTGCAACCATGCACTGAAAAAAAACTGGGTTTTGTAAGTGGCCTGCGTCATCAGAATGTAAAAGAAAAAAAATGTTTTTGAAATGAGCATTTAAAGGACTTCCAAATTCATTATTTTAAATGGGTTGTTTTTGTGTCTTAAATATTTTGGTGTTTCTGATAATGGTTTTTGTTCTAAAATCAGCGTGTTTAAAATTGTTTTTTTGGTACAAAGCCCTGGTTAAAAAAAAGCAAAATTGTAAAATTCAAGTAACTCTTATTATGATAACTGATTGTTATGTTACTTGAATTTTAAAAATTACAGATTGTGTAAACTGAAAAAAATCTTGCTCATTAAAAAAAAATTTTTAAATATTAAAAGCTTTATAGGTAAATTCATATTAAATAATAATATATATGTATATGTTTGATTTTAGAAGTTACTACTGACTACATAACTTGTACTATGATTACAGATTAGCTACTATGTTACGACAGTTGGCTCAATATCACGCAAAGAACACTGGGCACTTATTTATGGTGCGCATTGCTCAGGGTTTGACGCATATGGGCAAAGGTACTTTGTCTTTGTCACCATTCCACACTGATAGACAAGTGATGAATCCCGTGGCTGTTTCCGGACTTCTTATTACACTGTTTAGCTTTTTAGATACTCGTAATAGTAAGTTTAAACACTCAACTACATTTGTTTAACACTCAGTGGTGTAGTCGCAAGGGTATACTATGTGTGCAGGCCCCCCCCACATGAATTTTTCAAGTACGGTACTGTAAATGAATCCGGGCCCTTATTATATATTAGTATTTATAATAATTTTAATATAATTTCTAACATTTTATTTTTTATTTTTCATAAGGTACCTAAAATATTTGTTACACAGCTTATATTGCTCTTATACACCTGTAGACAGTACCACAATTACCGCTACAACTCGGGAAATTGATGGTTGTGGTAAAAACTAATATGCATGCTATGATCGCGGGTTGTTTTGACTTTGGTTGTCGATAAAAGAATTATTATCTTCTAATGCCAAAAATAGCACTAGTAGGGCAGCCGACTTATTTCTTTTATCGTCCTGGATTTTTTCCCCTTTTATTTTTTCCAAGAAATGCTTGCGCTGCACGCCCTACCCGCCTACTGTCCTACCGACGCCAAGTGGCCGATCTCATCAAATAAAAATAATATACATTTCGATTGTTAAACAAAATTATGTATTATAAAAAGTATTATGTATTATAGTAAAAAATAAAATTATTTATATACCAATATTATATAAAGATATAGTGACTGGGGTGGCATATATTTTGTTTTTCCCCGGGCCCTGGGACCCTAGTACTCACTGACCACCCCCCCCCCTTGTGGGGGCCCTGTATGTGTGTACCAACCTGTCATATTTCTATATATATATATATATGTTTGTATGTACTCATAACAACGGAAATTGTGTTTTAGTAATTTTGGGCAAATCACATTATTTACTTTACACATTGGTCGTCGCTATGTACCCAAGATGGTTAGTCACTTTAGATGAAGATCTTGAACCTCTACCTGTATCAGTTAGGGTTGGTCAAGTAAGTTTTCAGTTTAACGTTTCCACATAATAATACTTAATAAAAAATTATTGTAAAATATAACATCTTAATTGTATAGGCGGTTGATGTAATCGGCAAAGCAGGTACCCCGAAAACAATAGCCGGAGTGCACACCCATACAACACCTGTGTTGTTGGCTGTAGGAGAACGTGCTGAGCTCGCCACTGACGATTATAAACCTCTCACCCCTGTCATGGAAGGTTTTGTTATATTGCGTAAGAAAACGGCAGACGAGTAAATTTTTTTTCAACCATCATTATTTATATATATATTTTTTACAATATTAGATATGTGTGTCAACAGAGTTAATATTATTTTGTAAATAATAAAAATTAATATTAATTATAGATTATATATAATTGAATTTTTTTAATAGTATATTGTTCCTTTATTCTTTTCATCAAAATATATATACAACAATGTTACAAACTTTAATATAAGAATCCAAAAAACTACAATGTACATTGCTCCCATTTTGATATACATTTTTTCGACTACACGTCTTACGTATGAAATACCTGATGCGACCGGTAAATAACTGTTTACCACTTGGTCCCATTCCATACCTTTTTCTAGTTCCCAAGTTGGCCAAATAACCCCTAAAATTTGTAAATTTTTTACAAGTAAGAACGTTTTTGACCAGTGGCATGGATAAAGTTCTGTACAAAATATACAACTTACTTGAGTTATTAAAAAATATTTATTAAAAAAAAAGTTTTAACTTTATTAAAATGTTGTTAATTTAAGTAATTGTTGAAAAAAAACAATTTAATTTCAACAAATTTATTTTAGTTTGAGAGCAAAATGTTTATGATGTTCAGAATTTTATCCAGAACCCTAGCTTTTGCTATATGTTTGGTCTAACCTGACAGGTATATAAGGGTTAAAAACGTCAAGTACAGTAATGCGTCTACTCTGACCATGGATTTTATGAAAGCACACAGGATATGTCCTGTGAACAGATAAGTGGTGTTAACAGTGGTTACAAGAAATCGATAAATTCTAATAAAGATGTTGGCAACCATAAAAAATTCCGCAAAGGCTTTCCAGGAATAACACGATGAACACAACGATGGTGGTGGTGTTGTTGAAATGGCCCAAATCGTTCATAGCGTGCAAGTATCCAACCATAAGTATGCTCCAAATGACTGATAATGTAATTTGAATAATCAAACGTGCTATGTATTGTTTCCATTTCGATATTTTGTACATATAGTAGATGTCGGCTAAGGCTTGTTCTTTGTCGGTCAGTATAAGTCTAGTAGCGAGGGACGCATGAATGTAAAATGATAACCTAATGAAACAAGACAGTTGTATCTGTAAAAGTTGTGATTGATATTTTATTATGATACTGACGTGACAAACAACCCGATGTTTACGTAACAGCCATAGGTCAAATTCTTCTTGCTATAACCGTACAGTCTTAGCTTGAAAAATATTGTAATTGACAACAGAACTTCTCCAAAATGTTAACGTAACAGTAATAAACTCACCATGACTGAATTGAAGGTAAAATCACTTTCATTCACTTCTTTTGTGTAAAACGATATAAACTCTGAGTAATAATGAATAATTTTCTTTTTTATGTACAACGCTTTTTGTCCATCTTCCGAAAACAAAAAATTATGTACGTGTTTAACTATACGATTGATACTCAAAAAAGATTTGTTCAATCATTTTTGGAAAATTCCAAAAAAAAAAATTAAAAGATACATATTTAAATAATCTAATAATGTATGGAAATGTTGTCTAATGTGCGTATTTAATTAATAATAAAGCTTTTATATAGCTAGAGTAACGTTTTTTTGTAAAAATTCGAAGTATCGTGGTCCCACCCCTAATACAGCTAAACAGTTGAGAAGAAATATTATTTTTTAAGTTAAAAGCTTTATAGAATAGGCGGTAGGAGACCCTGTGCTACAAATTCTATCAATTCAATCGGTTTTATTATCATTTTGGGAACGTGGGAGAAATTTGCACGTAAAAGATTGTATGTTTAAATAATTTTTATAAGTATATATGATTGGAAAACGTCTTGTACAAGAGTACAAAAAACTGAAAGGCCTTGTTATTTCAAATTGATTTTAATTTAAAAAATAATATTTAAACTAAAATCGTTATTTTTTTTTAATTGACCTGAAATTGCAACTTTTTATATTTTGTAACTTGTATGAGAAATTAGCCAGATCATATTGTTAATTGCCAATCCTTCGAATTTGTATTGTTTAGTTATCACTTATCACATAGTATGGTACCGATAGTATAACAATGCTAAAACAGGTATTACTAGCTGTTTTTAAGAGGAGAGTGTCTCAAAAATGCATAATGTAATAATAATAATGGATTTGTAAAAAGTTCGAAAACTAGTGTTAAGATCGTGTGTAGTGAAACAGAAGAATTTACAGTTAGAATAAGTGTACATCAAGGGTCAGCATTAAGCACATGCTTATAATATTTATTTTGCAGTGGATGAGAGTACTAAGGACGGACAGGGTGATAAGGGTGATGCATCTATTGGCGCCTAACAAAATATTGTTGCGGATAATGTAGTTTTAGTGGATGAGAGCATAGACGTGAGACGTGTTTGGAACTAAATCGTTGGAGAGAAATGGATTGAGAACAAGTAGGTCTAAAACATGATACATAAAATTGAATATTATACCAGCTATATAAAATAATTTTTCCCAACGCCCCCCCCTCCAATTTACCGGGGACTTACGGCTATCAAAACGTCGCTCTAATTGTTTTATTTTATAAATATTTGTGTTATGTACGAAGTAAATAAAAAAGTATTGATTGTAGCTAATTTAATAGGCAGTTAAGGCTTTAAAATACTTTGGCCTACACTTTGTTAGCCGCTGCTAATGATAATATACTACTACTGTTTTTAATGACAATTAACTGTTTGTTACCCATTGTTAATATTGTTACAGTCATTAGGCTATTATCCCAATCTACGGTACTTTGTATTTGCCTTGTGATTCTTCGGTTCAGTGATAATGAGTAATTATGCTGGAATCTAAGCAAGCAATTGAAACCATCACCAAAACCATAATTCTCTTCAGTTATGTATACCTATGCATATACGAAAATATAAAAGACGTTTATACATTAAAATTTTATTGATTTTGTTACTAAAAACAACATTCCGATGTAGACGTGGTGTGTCAAGAGGGAGTTAATTAGGTTGAAAACTGAAAGGACAGTTTTTACAAAATTAGTGAGGTTATCAATGATATGCGAAAGGTTTAGTTAGTTTGCTATTTAATAATAATTATATGGCCATGGGAATAAGTAATAACTGAAACGTGAAGATAGATATATAAAGTCCAACTACCTACCTAGGTTAAAATATATAGTAGGAAATCATTAGTTATTACGGTATACGGCTTTAGATGTAGTTATAAATTATAAAAGTTAATATCTCTCTGCGGATGGCGTAGTGTTGGTAGGGGAAAGTCCCGAAGAATTGAGTGAGAGACTTGAATAGTGGAGAGTAGCGCTTGAAGGGAAAGGACTGAGTATTAGTAGGAGTAAAGCGGAGACTATCGTGTTTGATTTTGGAGACAGTTATATAAATATAGGGTAGGACAGGTAATGCAGATGGGTGATGATGAAGTGTGTGGAGGTTGATAGATTTAAGTACATAGGATTGGTGGTACTAAAAAATGGTGGGTACGAGGAGGATGTGAAAAATAGAATACACTGTGGATGGATGAAGTGGAGGGGAGCGTCAGGTGTTTTGTGTGACAGGATGCCTATAAGATTGAAATGTAAATTTTATAGGTCGATTAGGTTAGGTCGTTCAATATATCGTGGTGATATGATATTAATGATAACAGTATTTAAAAAAAAAATGGTTTTAAATTCGACAAAATATATTAAATTTATTATTATTAATTTGTATATAAGTTATATAAGTTTTAGCTATTTATTTGTATTAATTAACAACAATGCCTAGTTGTTTTATTTGTTCAACAATAAATACTTTTTTTTCCTTTATGTGGTCATACTGGTTTTAGTCTTACTTTTTACTTCGCTCTTGCATACAAGCTAGTATATGTTATAGCATCAATTGTGGAAAAAATGAGAGAGAATAGGCTGAGATGGTTCGGTCATGTTATGAGAAGAAATGAGACAGAGGCAGTGAGAGGTGTTATGAAGATGAATGTAGAGGGAAAAAGAGGAAGACCAAAAAAAAGACGGATGGACGAAAATACAGCGTGATATGAGGATAGCTGGGGTGATTGAACGAGATGTAGTAGACCGAGCTCTATGGAGGTGTAGGACTAGGGTGGCCGACCCCATGTAGTTGGGAGTGTAAGGCGAAGATAAATAAGAAGAAGAAGACCTTCCTCTCCTACCAAATGATGTTACTGTTTTCAAGACTTAAAAATAGCTTAAGCATTTTATTAAATAGACCGTGCATCAAAACCTAATTATGTTACCAAGATATGTGCGAGCGAGACAGAGCTAAGCTGGCATGTGTCAATCTTATCATTTTGTCCAAACTAGCGATCAACGATCATGACAATGAAAAATAGTAACATCTATCGTTTTTGGTAAATTTGGGTTATGAAATTTTCACCCCTAGTAGGTACAAATCCATTTACACGACACACACACCCCAACTCAACTTTAACAATTAGTTGTACGAGGGAATGGTAACTATTGTGCTATAAACTTCTTTCGTATAACACACTTTAGAATGCCGTGCGGTTTGTAAACCACTTTAATGAGTAATGCCTTTAAATTATCGAGCTACATTTGTAAGCTACAGGCACGCCTACAATAAATTAGTGGGCATCTAGGAATAATGTAATTCAACTATTTATAATAGTAATCATAATGTACCTACTACCTAAATTTTGTTAGAAATTGTATGCTTATCGGTTTTAATTTTTAACGCTAGAATAAAAGAAATATTTTCATTATGTATCATTTATTTAAATTATGTGATACGAGTTAAACATACTTACCGGATGAAAAACGGACGATAAAAATTTTTCGACAAAAACACAACTCATCATTCTAGTCTCGTTGAATTGACGACTGGTTTTGAAGTCATCGCAAGTTACCAGCTCGTCAAATGGATTTTGGATTTGCACAGCTATTTTTAAATATTTCGGAAATGACCCATAAGCCAGGCGGAATGCAAGGGGAGCCAGCATCAAACAGGTAAACGACAAAATAGTGGTCCTATATGAAATGTATAAACGACTGTATAGAATAAATGATTATTTATTATGTAATATTATAATTATTTGCGGTGCTTAAGATACCCTTATAGGATAAAGGTAAGACGACTATTATGGAAAAATATACAATCCAGAAGAGATAAGATGATAGGACACATATTAAGACATGAAACCCTACTA